GTAAGACGACATTAAAATGCTACTCGCTCAAATCTCAATAAAGAATCATTTCCACAGATTTGGCGCAATCTGTCTGTCCTGTCTGTCCTGTCTGGTAGGACTTCTGCTTGATTGGTGGCTGACGCAGAAAGCAGCAGGATAGAGAATTAACCCCCTTTAACCCAGAACAGGAGTCTGTGTGTGTGTGTGTGTGTGTGTGTGTGTGTGTGTGTGTGTGTGTGTGTGACCGCAGCATAATTATATACAATAAACTGACTGCAACGTCAGCTCAGAGGAAACAAACAATCCTCATGAATATTAAATTCATCAGTTCCTCTTGTCACTCACGTCTTCATTCACTACTGACCATAATGCAATTTTAAGTTTAAAGCTGCAGTAAGTAACTTTTATAAAAATAACTTTTTGTCACATTTTTTTAGCAGTTTATTTCTCTGTTACTTAGTAAAGCTCAAGTCTGTTTATTATTTAATGTTTTAGCTCAGTAAAAACCAACTGAAGACATCGTCTGTTCCTGCTGATCATTTTCAAATCCTCCATCAGTTTTTAGAATGATTTCCTTCCTTCCACAGACAAGAACCTGGCAATACGAAACGTATCACAATACAGGGGTTACAATTAAAGCTGCAGTAGTTCATTTTTTATGAAAATAACTTCTTGTTATATTTGCTGAAACTTTCACTATATCCTGACAGTAGAAGATGAGACAGATAATGTGTGAAACAATCAGGTTATCTGTCTAATATTCTCCTGTCAAAGTTTCAGCAAATATGACAAAGTTATTTTTATAAAAGTTACCTGCAGCTTTAAGTTTGAATTTTTCACATGATGTTTGATAAATATATACAATGTTATTACACATCTTGACATAAAAAAAAGATTAGTAAATAATGTGATTAATGAAATGTATGAAGCATTTAATGGGTCCAAACTACAACTGTCTGTCCCTCACTACCTTACTGTCCTTACTGTGACCGTAAAAGTAGTTTTCAAAACCAAATGATTCTAATTTCTATGGACACAGAAGTTAGCAAGTGAGCATAGAGGACAGGTTCGGCCACCCACACTATTATTGAAAGTACTGTATTATGTACTTTCTACTTGCCAATAGGGGACAGCTCCATCCATCATAAAAAAGGAACCTTAGCTCAGTAACGTTTCCTAATGGGTTTATGGTCTCAGTCTCTAGTTTCAGTCTTCTTCCATACAGCATGATGATGATTTAGTAAATGATGGTTCCATTTAGAGTAAAATAGACCATAAAGCAGGGTACACTTTGGGGCGTGGCTACCTTGTGATTGACGGGTCATTCTCAGTGAGTCCATCCAGCTCAACACACCAAACTAAAATCAAACTGTCAAACCAGACAGTGCTGATCAGATATGAATCCAGATTCTGTTACTGCGTTGTCTGCTTCTCATCTAAAATCTGTTCAAAGTTGAAATTAAGCGCAGCCAATGAGCTACTGTAGAAACATGGCGGACGCAATGAAAGGCGACCTGCAGCGTATTTAGATATAAATGTTTAATTCTAAGGTAACAAAAACACAATGATTTCTATATTCAGCAGATGATACAATGAATAATATATTCCATTTCTGACAATAGATCCTCCTAAATGTTACACACTGGACCTTTAAGAAACTAAAATCTGCTGTATTTGGTGATATTAGCCTTGGGGAAATATTTTGGCAAGAACATAGATTTGCTTTTATACACATTTCTGCTTTAAATTTGACTGCTACTTTTACTGTAATGTTGATGTTGATGATCACAACTTGCTCTTATTTTCCATGATCCATTATTACTTTTTGGGTGCGTAAATTAGATATGCGTGGTCAGGCTGGAGGTGGCCTTCAAACTCAGTGTAATTATTATTTTTGACTGGTAGTGGTATCACCCACAGTGTACAGTAGTGTATAAGTGAAAATAAAAACAGAGGAAGGCATGAAAACAAATCTTCCCCCTCCATTTGTTTCTCTTCCTCTATTCATCCTTCTCTTTGCTCTGCAGTTCTCCACCATCTGCCTTTGTCAGTCCAAGACTGCTTCTTCTCATTGTTTTCTGCTCTAAAAGTCACTGCAGCTTCTATTCAACTGTTCAGCTACTGGGAGCTTCTTGACAACAGCAGAGACAACCGATCAATAGAAAACCTAAAAACATACACACACATAAGATTGTGGTGCTACAAAGCAGTCAGGGTATGTAGAACACACACATCAACAAACACACACACACAGTGCCATCACCTTGTAAAGTAAAACACTATGTCTACGTTTTGTCATGTTATCACACACATATGACAAAACACGCATATAAACTATATGTCATGATCAGTGGTGGAGGAAGTAATCACATCCTTTACTTTTATATGTGCGTATAATCAGTGAAATGTCACTTAAATGGTGACTATTGTACTATTCTATATGATATCATTAGATTATTATGTATAAATGTATGATTTTACGTTTGTAAATGTTTGAAGTGGAGCTAATTTTTAATCATTTTGTATCAGACTGCAACTGATAGGTTTATGGATTCAACAACCCAGAGCCCAAAGTGTATGGAAGCCCATTACCGCCAGTAAAATAAATAAAATAAGGTGAAAAGTTAATAATATATATTTTTTAATGAGATACAAAATCATAATTATGAGATTAAATAATTAGCATAAGATCATATTTTTTTAATCTAATAATTAATATTTTTATCATCATCATTATGACTTTTTTTAATCACATTATTTATCTCATAATTTTGACTAAACATTAACAACATTTTTTTTATAAGTATTCATTGTATTTTTTATTTTACTGGTGGGAATGGGCTTCTGTTTAACCAATAGTCCAAACCTCAACATTATTAGAAATACATTAAAATTATTAAACCCAAAATAATCACATTTGTGAAGCTTGAACCACAAAATGCTCTTACATGAAAAATGACCAATAAAACATCTGAGTACTTCTTCCATCACTGCGAAGAAGAGTTTGTTTTCTGTGATGTGATCATAATTATGAGGAGAACCAAAAATATAGAAAAACAAAGGTTCCTTATTGTCAGACATAAATATCAGCTCAAATGTCATTACTATAATAATAATAATTACATTTTTACTTTTTTGGATATTTTACCGGAAGGTTAATATACCCAGTCCCAATGACACTGCGTACAGCCACCCAAACAGCCTCTTTTCATTCATTATATCGAATCCCATTAGCTGTTTCCATCACTGTGATGTTCACAAGTTAATGGAATCTGTCACAAAGCTGAAAAGGAACATGTTAAACTCGAGGACATACTGGCAGCGTCCCACTTTCACCTGAATGATGTGTGTAGCTGTTCATAATGGATGAAGCATTACTGCAACACAATGACCCAGTTTAATGCAGAGCACAAGGTCGGCGCAGCAGCTGAATCTGGTGCTCTTTTAGTGAATGAATGTTACAAAACTGTGTGAGATTTAGGTCGAAGCAGCATCAAGGGGCCAAAGGTGCAATAAGACACCAACAGTCCCACTGAGGCCAGCCGATCAAATAATCATCCAAAGATTATCTCAGACAGTATCAGTCCTGTTTATGGGTCTGATGTTGGAGCACTTCAACATGGACATGAAATCCTAGGGATTTAATCATCGGTACAAACGATTGAACACTGAACTGAACAGCTTCTGATTTATTGATGAAAAGTCAACGGTACGAGACAGTTAATAACAAAAGTCCCAGATAGCATTGCTGTAGGAAGTATCCAATCAGAGTGCTTCAGACTCTGTTGCTGTGCAGCTGGTGGAAGTCAGAACTCAACATCTATTGAAAGGATTGTTATGAAATCTGGTTGAGACATCCATTGTAATACCTTTAGTGATCCTCTGAGTTTCCCTCTACCGCCATCATCAGGTCAATATTCAAATGCGTCCAATACTGAGGCATAATGGCAGGCTAGGTGTCCATTCTATGGAATTGATGAACGACGGTTGCCTCTGTGGAGTCCATTAATTCCTGATAACGGACACCTCAGAAGGCAATATCTGGCTTATACCATGGTTGGTTGCCAAAGAAACAAACACTGACTCTAGACAGGGTCATTCATGCTTTTTGTGCGTCTTGTGGTCAGTTTCTCCTACACGCTTGGAAGGGTAGGGTGAAGTGAGGGAGTTGCAATCTGCAATTACACTGCTAGATGCCACACACAATTAATAACAACTTTGAGGTACTTGTAGGGAAATGGAAGTATAAAGTTGCATAAAATGGAAATACTCAAGTAAAGTACATTGCAGAGAGAATTTGTACCTTTTATGAATGTTCATGATGAAGTGTTCCTTCCTACGCAGTGAGAAATTCTCCAACTTCTTCAGCTAAATAAACCACTAAATGCATTTTCACAAAGCTGTAAACACAGCTGTTTATTAATCTTACTCCAAAAACATGATACACTATATAACTTAATAGTAAAACTTACTGCACAATGAGTACTCTTCATACTCTAAGTACATTTTGCTTACATATTTTTATCAAGTAAGTATTGAATGCAGTACTTGTATTCGTAGTGGAGTATTCTCACAGTGTGGTATTAGAGCTTTGACTGATATAAAGGATCTGAATACTTCTTCCACCACAGCTTTTGACTCGCAGCTGCCCATCATTCATGAAGATGCATGGGATTACGAGCAGTGTTGGACAGTAACTAGTTAATTATTAGTAATAACATTACTTTCCCCAGCAACTAGTAGTGTAACTAATTCCTTATAAATGTCAGTAATAATAGTACAGTTACCATACAGTTACCTTTAGTACAGTTAGGAGTAGCAGAAATGTAATATAACTAAGAGTGTAACTAATTACTGTTGGCAATGAGTAATAAGTAAAGTAATAAGATTACATTTTTAAAGAGTATTGAGCAACAAATTAATGTTTTTGAGTAACTAGCCCAACACTGATCACTAGTAATCTTGGGAAAGTAAAGGAAGCTGTGGGAGTGAGTCCGTCCAGCAGGTGGCAGTAAAGCTGCAGCAGAGTTCAGCTTCCTGTTCGGAAGAAGAGTCGCCTGCGTGCAGCTGTTTCTGTCCATTGACGTGCACCTCTGTTTCTGTCCATTGATTTTTAAAAACACATTCATTGAAGATGTCAGAAGGTCTGCGCTCAGAACTGGAGAAATATCTGGAGACTTTAAACATCCAGACGACCTGCGTGGACCACCCGCCGGTAAAACTGAGCCCGCTCCGGCTATCTGTGTACTTCTCAACAGAGCCCCAACTTTTCAATCACAACCACATTTTATTAGGATTGTGTTAAAGCTAAACAACATTTATGATAAATGTTATTGCAGCTGGGAGAGGAATACACTGCGAGAATATTCGACAATGTACTTAACGAACGAGAACAAAACAGGATTGAATTCCATAAGAATATCACACATTTTTAAGTTCCCTTGCTTACTGTAAACTGTATCAACACCTTAAAACATATTTGGAGACACTACATGACTCGTTAGAAGTCACACTTCTATTCGGCGTTATCCAACTGTGGCACTTACTGACCTACTGATTTAGCTTTGGGATCTGGTGTGTTTACTCTACTCTCATATTGTTAATGGACACGTTGACGCATTACATAGCTCTCATTTGAAGTAAGGGAGAGTCGCATTGCCTATTACTTGTGTGCCGAAATTACCATCAGATCAATCGATGCTGAAATAGTGTGAAAATGTCTTCCTCCAGTGTGTCTGTGCGCATTATCAAGGCAATTTAAAAAAAAAACTACAAGTTTTTAAATGGAATCTGGGATGACAGTCTCTCCAGACGTAAAACATCACCTACCAGCAATAGTAAACTGAGTTTTATTCTGAAAGGCAAACTTTTCTTGGATTGCTGTCAGCAGCCACATGCTCTACGCACTGTGTCTGTGCTTTATAAAGAATGGAGGGTGGATTCGTGTGGTCCTGTAGTTCAGGTTTTGAGAAGCAGGAGATCATTGTCAGATCCATGTCTACAGATTTGATAACTTGTTTAAACGTTTTTGCTGCATGAACCTGCTGATACCTGCAGGGGGCGCCAAAAGAGTATTTTTGTCAGTCCTGCACCTTCAGCAGATATCAGTGTGTCTGTCCTGCTGCCACAGTTGCAGACAGTTTGATGAAGCTCATAATGCTGTTTTCTACCTCTGCTCCGGTTTTCTTTTTAATGTAATTTTCAAATATTGTTTACACCATCTGTAGATTGCTTACCACGAATTAAACCTCAACATGTCTTGAGAGGGGTGCAGTGAAGAGGGCACTGTGTGTCTTTAGTTATGATCTAATGGTTTCCTTACCTGTCCACTGCAGGTGTTCACGGTGGAGGAGATGATGCCCCACCTGCAGGAGGTGAGCGGAGCCGTCACTAAGAACCTCTTCTTGAAGGACAAGAAGAAGAAAGGCCTGTGGCTGGTGTCAGCCCGCCACGACCGCCAGGTCAGCTCCCGTCATTCCATCCACCAACACAGGAACATTTCCTCCACCTGACCTCTGAGCGGTCGAGAACACGTTTCTCTTCCTGCATCCCTTTGTCCCATAATCCTCTCTGCTCCTCCTCAGGTGAACCTCAACGACCTCGCCAAGAAGCTTGGTGTCGGCAGCGGCAACCTGCGCTTCGCAGACGAGGCGGCCATGTTGGAGAAACTCAAGGTGAGTTTAAACACAGTTCATAGAAACATCTAGAACCGAAACAGAGTCTCCTCAGGGTCAGATCAACATGGCGGCCTCCACAGAATCAATAAATATGTGACCAAAATCAACTAAATATAAAATTTGAGATGTGCATTAACTGGAAGGTTCAATAACATTTTATTGTCATCACTATTTTGACAACTCTGTGAACACCCTCTGTTAGAACTACATTATATGTTACATGTCTATTATATTGCTATATCAAAGGTCCAGTGTGTAACATTTAGGATCTATTGGCAGAAATGGAATATAATATTCCAAGGTCTGTTTTCATTAGTGTATAATCACCATAATATAAGAATATAGGGGGAGCGGGTCCTCTTCCCTGAAGGTTGCCATCTTGAACCGCCATGTTTCTACAGTAGCCCAGAATGGACGAGTGGTGTTTAGTTAGTTAGTGGCAAACTGAAATCTGACCACTAGATGGCACTAAATCATACACACTGGTCCTTTAATCACATTATATATTATTCTTGTTCAGTCGCTGCTATATATCACCACTGCCACTTTATCTTGTAACTTTATCTTTAATTTCTCTTCTAGTTTCTATTTTTATTACTATTCTTCTCGTGGTTTTATATAATATATACAATTTTTTCTTTTCTTTCTTTTTTTTTCCCTATTTATCTGTATATATTTCCTTGTGCTGCTGCAAAAAACTTAATTTCTCCTCCTATCTGGGGATTAATAAAGGTTATTCTTATAATACCTGACAGTAAGTGTGTGTCCATCCACCTGCTTTTTGGATTAAAAATAAAAAATACTTGTTTCTTGTTGTGCAAAACAAACATAAGCAGTACAGCTCCGTGGTATGATGTTAACAGTAGTAACATCTTCTAAAGGTTTTGGGTCTGTTGACTGTTAGATATGTTCTGCTGCTTTCTGCTGACAGGTGAAGGTCTTCTGTTTATTGACAACAGCTGGGATTCATTAATGGTCTAATCCCACAAACACTCATTGAACAGGTGGGATTCATCAAGTTTGTGCAGTTAGTTTCTGCTTCCAAAGTCCATTATTTTCCACTGCGATGGAGCGTTTTAAACTATTACTTTCAACTAAATAAATATAACACAGCCTGAAAAACATTTTCATCCTGATCCTTTCACTGCACATCAGACTGTTTAAGCACTCTGAGTTCAGAGAAAAGGATTTAATCACTGTGAAGATGGAAGATGGAATGTGACGATGCAGCAGGAGCTTCTGCGTTCAGTGACCGGCCCCTTAAAAGACTGGGACGTCTCACCTGAATCTTACAAACATCATTGTCATGCTGAATGTCCACCACAGACTGCTGACCTCACTTCCTCCTCCGTCTCCTCTCAGGTGGGTCAGGGCTGCGCCACGGCTCTCGCTCTGCTCTTCGATAAGGACCAGAGTGTGAAGTTCGTCTTGGACCGGGACCTGGTAGAGGGAGGCCACGAGATGGTCTACTTCCACCCCATGACCAACGCCGCCACCATGGGGCTCCGACCAGACGACCTGCTGCGGTTCCTCAAGGAGACGGGCCACGAACCTGTCCTGGAGAGCTTCGAGTAGGGTGGGAAAGGAACCTGGAGCGGAACCGGGGTTAAAACCTGGATGAGAGCAGCCTGCAGGGACTGAACCTGACTCGTGTTGTTAGAACAGGACATGAAAAAGCCTGCAGCACATATGAACTCTGGTTCAGATGTTTAGAAATGATACAAAATGATAAAATGACAACATGAATGAGAAGTGTCTAAAAGTTATGATTTAAAACAGAACGTGAACATTTTACTGCTTCAGTTACAGCTCTGCCAAAAATCATTTTTTTAAGATTTTCAAAAGATGAAATGTTTTTGACAATTTATGAGACAGAAATTAGCAGTTTATTTCTCTGTTACTTAGTAAAGCTCAAGTCTGTTTATTATTTAATGTTTTAGCTCAGTAAAAACCAACTGAAGATCGTCTGATCCTGCTGATCATTGTCAAATCCTCCATCAGTTTTTAGAATGATTTCCTTCCTTCCACAGACAAGAACCTGGCAATACGAAACGTATCACGATACAGGGGTTACAATTAAAGCTGCAGTAGTTCATTTTTTATAAAAATAATTTTCTCTCATATTTGCTGAAACTTTCACTATATCCTGACGGTAGAACATGAGACAGATAATGTGTGAAACAATCCCGTTCCTCTGGCTCCTCCTAGGCTCCTAATGGCAGAAATACACAAAAACTGAATTCTTAAAAGTTAGCTACTGCCGCTTTAAATATATAGTGATATATTGCAGTGTGTGAGCAAGGTGATATTATTGCAATTTTTAAAAAGATAACATTTTAGGAAAGCTGTCATAGTACGGTTTTGGTCTCTATAGCTATTTTTTCCTTTAATGACAACTGTCCAGTCATCCACTAATCAGAAGGCGGTTTGATCCCCGGCTCCTCCCGCTGCATGTCGAAGTGTCCTTGAACAACATACTTATAGTGTCATAGATAGTGTGAGTGAGTACGAGTGAGTTTGTTTCCGTTTGATGGCCTTGAGTGTATGAATGTGTGTGAAAGGGTGAATGTAGCATGTAGTGTAAAAGCTCTTTAAGTGGTCAGAGGACTAGAAAGGTGCTATACAAGTAGCAATCATTGATACACCTGTGATTTTCCTGCAATGGCGTGCCAGAATGTCTGCTGTGTAACCAGGCCACTGAGGAATGATGATAAGTGTGTGGTTCCCCTCCTCTCTTACGCCGTGAAGAATGAGCGTCGTCACATCCTGACTGACAAAGAGGGGAATGGACCGTAATTGCTCTCAATCATTGTTGATGAGTCGGTCCCCAAGGTAACCTCCAATCAACCCAGAAGAATTTTCACATTTAGCTAAAATACATAGGAAAAAAAGGAAATTAAATGACAGCAAGTATGAATGAATAAGGGACTGCTACACTAGTAACATCAAGCAAATGATAAAACATTTTAAAACATGAACATTTATTCAGATGTTCAAATTTGTTCACTTTTAGATTCTGGTGTTTTGTTCTTCTTTAATTTAAAGCTGCGGTAGGTAACTTTTAAGAAAATATCTTTCTCTCATATTTGCTGAAGCTTTCACTATATCCTGACAGTAGAACATGAGACAGATAATTTGTGAAACAATCAGGTTCCTCTGGCTCCTCCTAGTGCTCCTAAAGACATTTACAAGAATCCACCGGGCCTGAATGAAAACAACCAATCAGAGCTGAGGGAGACAGTTGATTGTTCAGTCTCATTCCCAGGTTGTCAAATATCAATGCTGACAATGAGACTCAACAATGAGACAATCCTATGTGTCTGTCCATCTTTCTTAGCTCTGATTGGTTGTTTTTGTCCAGACCCGGTGAAGTCCAAAGTGAACCTGATTGTTTCACAGATTATCTGTCTCATGTACTACTGTCAGGATATATGAAAGTTTCAGCAAATATAACAAGAAGTCATTATTAACCCCACAAGAGACGTCTGAAGTAAAGAGAAAAAAAATAGAAGTCAGACAGCCCTCATCCATCCATCCATCCATCCATCCATCCATCCATCCACCCATCCCCACCCACCCTCCCTCTTTGGACTTCCACACTACCCATAAAAGTCCCAAACATCCTTATTGTGAGATTAAGTTCCTTAGAAGTTGACCTAATGATTGGTTTATATAAAGAGCCTGAAAAGGAGTTTGCGTTTATCAAATTATCTTCTGTTCTGAAATGTTTGTTACAACGATTCCACCAAAACAAAGTACATTCCAACATGATGGGAGATTTCTCACTCAGAAAACTCTTGAGATCTTGAATTCAGCCAATAAAGGTAATTTATCACTGTCAGTTAGAAGCTGCATTGTGGTATCATCACGCTAGAACCTTTCACATTAAAGAAGTTAGGATCAGTGTTTATATCAGTGTGCAGAAATAAGAGGAGGAAGTATCTTGTGTTGTTTACTGCTTGTAAACAAACATTCAGTATCAATGCCCCCTCCAGTTTTAACTTTGTTCGCAGTTATGTTATGATCAACTTCTTGACAACATGCAAACCAAAGCATAAACAATGGATGGAATTAAAGCTACATTCAGTAGAATTACCAGTGACCCAATATTATCAACAGTTTGAAACAAGGTAAACAATATCAAAAGTGGTGGAAAACTGCATTCAACACTGATGAAGAACAGTTAGGGGAAAGCAAGAAATCAGTCTTTAAGCAGTCCCGCTTCACTCAAGTCTGGACAAATGGAGGACAAATGGATCCTCAGCCAGTCCTGGTGCTACTCCTCCAACAGAGGTGGAGGAGCGAGTTTAAGTTGGAAATTCTCTGTTCCTGGCTGGGCTGTGATTAGAAGCCCCGTCTTCTCACTGCTATGGCAGTGGGACAGTTCTGAAAGGATGGACAACTGAAAGAGAGGAACAGAGGAAAAACACAACAATTAGAAAACATGACATGTGTACAACACCAGGGTTCCCACTCTGTTTAAGAAATCTTTTTCCTTTTTCCAAGGACAGCACTCACAAACGGTCATACAATTTACCGGTAGGCCTCGTACGTGGTCAGCGTTTATTTGTGGTGCGAGTGGTTGTTCTCACCACAGATGACTGATCAGCAGCGCGGTCTCCAGACTACAGTTTACTACAGTTTTCCCTTTAACCTTAACATTAATTTGACCACGGCTCATAAGTAACAGTTAAAATCAAGTAGAATTTATTTATAATAAAATACAATACAATTAACATCGCTGTTAATTTGTCTTGACATCAAATAGATCGCTGCAAGTGTGCTTTGCGTCCACACTTGATTCATGGTTATTGGAACGACCATCTGTGTGTCCAGGTTATGACTCTGGATCTTGGTGTTTGTATTTTAAAGCAATGTTACCATATAACTCGAGCAAATGGGTTGTTTTGCAGTTTTCAGAGCAATATCAATGTTCTAACTGCTGATAAGGTTGGTATAATGCTATATGCCTGCTGCTTAAGCTGTGTACAGCGCTGTTCTGGCTGTGTGTAATGCTGCTGTAGGGCTGTACTGTTTGCAAGCTTGACAGAAACTCAGATGTTCATATTATCTTGGATCTAAGTCAGATGACCACTGTGGATTATCTATATTGCTGGGCCTGTCTGTGTTGAAAAGCACTGAAAATATATATTCAAAAAGAAGAAGAAAGATTTCTGTGACGTGTTTGGCTATGTGCGTGTTGTCACTTAACAGACAGACAGGTGTGCATACCCTGGACGGCCCCCGGTACAAACAGCGTAGCTGATCCCAGGACTGTTCCTGCTGAAGGTCCAACGTTGCCTCAACAAACACCTGGACCACAACAAAGAACCAGATGTAGTCAGAGCACAGATATTAGGCTGGAATTTGTTACAATGCATACAGTGTGCTATAATACGATCTATTTATAGATGGACAGGTGATGGCAATAGGGTCTCCTTGTGCCTCAAGCTGCGTAACTTCTAAAATCAGAAATACAATACAGCAGCAGGATTTTAACATTTTACTTCCTGGAAATAAGACAGGTTGTAATAAACTGGAAATATCCTTCAAGGTTTCAGAATTAAAGGTCTGACAGGAAAAACACATTTCGGCATAATAACCTTCAGCAGAGCCAAAGATGGCGGGCCACCAGCTGTTAGAACCTTACCTTCTTTCTGTCAGCCTCTGCTCCCACATCATGATGCACTGATGTAACTCGAGTCTGACAGAGAGAGAGAGAGAAGGAGACGGCTGTGTCAATACATTCTCTGATCTTCCATTACAAGCAGTTTATTATAACAAAATCCAACTGGCATGAAAAGAATCTGCTTTCACACGTTACCGCTGGCTTCTTTTGGTTCAGCGCTATGTACAAAAGATCATCCTCCGCTACGTCACTGGTGTCATCACTGTAAGGCAACTGAGCCAATCACGGCGGAGTGTGGCAAGCATGATTTCAAAAAAATGGACAAATATTGACAGATGGTAGCTTTAGAGTAGGGGTGTAAGAAAATACACTTGAGTATACCAATTTTTTGTTTATGATCTTGTATCCATTCTCACTCACATTTTATTCATATGGTGTGTTCTTTCTACAATTTTCCTAAGATTAGATTTTGCATTATATTGAATCGGAACCCCTGTATTGTGATACGTATTGCATTGCCAGTCTGCCAGCTGTATTTATGTTTGCGGAGTGTGCGATCACATCCTTGTGTTAATGTTGCAGGTTTGACTTTACAACATAATAATAATAATAATAATAATAATCCTACAGTAGTTGTGAGCAGCTACATTTTCTCAAAACACCAACACCAGAAATGTTTCATAGGAGTGGCCAAAAGGGTGCCACTGAAAACCTTTGGGTGGCCGAACCTTGGTGGTGCCCCATCCACTGGCAGCAAGGAGGGTGTTTCTGCCTCCACAACCTGCATTATGACTTTATTCTATTATTTATTTTCCCTGGCAATTCAGTGCACTGACAGCATGCTACACTCTGAGCTTTTTCCTCTTCTGCAACACACACCTGTGCCAGTGACGTGCTGCGGCCTCTGTTTGGCTCGGCAGAAGGCCCTGCCCTTCCTCCTTGGCTGGAGGAACACTTGTAGCAGCTCCACCGCTGTTGTTGCTCTGAAGCGAAGCCCCACCCACAGTCCTTCTGCTGCAGGCACTGGAAGTGGTACAGGTGGCCACAGCTGAAGACACACACATAAAACACACATGACCACCAAATATGTCACGCTTTTTAAGATGTATAACAGGAATTGGGCTAGAGGCCCATTAGCTTTACAAGCCACTTCATACTGTCACTTTTATTCCTATTTCTGATACGTGTAGACTGACCTAATTGAATTGATTGAAAGAGAGATTTTGACTAAAATGTGACACACACACACACACACACACACACACACACACACACACACACACACACACACACACACACACACGATCTAAAACATCTATGGCTTCGCTGTCAATCACCTCCAGTGTGTGTTACCTGAACACAATGATCTCCTCCGCCGAGTCCTGCCTCCTCTTGTACTGCTGCAGGCAGATGTTACAGTAGTCCTGCCGTGGGTGGAGCCCTCTTGTGACGGCAGCGCGCAGGTGAGCCAGGGACCAGTGGAGGTCGTGGTTCAACAGACTGGTGGTTGTTTCAAGTAAAGTCTAAAACAGATAATATAGCATTATTAGAAGCCAATGTATTTATATTACCATTTTAATTACAATTATATGTCAATTTATTGCATTGTCTTTTTAAATGATGATTTTAAAATGGCAGCAACAGGCAAACAAACAATTACACCCATCCACAGTGGAACAGGAACAATCATCCTTCAGATTTTTTTCAGACAGAAAACTGCCCCCACTGTGCCTGCTGCTCAGTGAGTCGGTGTTCACTATTTTTATTGGCTACTGGCTACATCCAATCTGACCAATGACAAAAAAGCTCCGGAAAATTCATAGCACATGGACCTTGTGATAATAACTGTTTGTCCAAGGTCAATATTGAACCTTTATGCTCACTGTATATTAAGTTTACAATAGTGGACACACACACACACACACACACACACACACACACACACACACACACACACACACACACACACACACACACACACACACACACACACACACACACACACACACACACACACACACACACACACACACACACGCTTTACCTGTTCATAGTTAAAAGTGTCCAGCATACCCAGAATGAGGCCTTGAATCTCTGCCAGCTTTCCTTTCCCATAGACTGGGTCCTGACAGGCACAGCATCACATGTCATCAGTACACATTATACAGTACTATACAGTATGATACGCTATGATATAGTATAATACACTACAATACAGTATAATACAACATAATTAACATACATTTGAAGATGATGGTCCTCACTTTTGTTATTTAAACCAACTGTACTTCTGTTCCGTGCTACTTTATCAGTTAAGTCTGACTGGGGAAACAACCACTGTGTTTAACTGTCTACTAACAAACTTGTTATTAGTTAATTACAATGTCAATAGCTTCTCTCTCCCCCTGTGTTGACTGACTGAGGATTTAATGCCATAATACCCTCTCAGATGTTCTGTATAAAGTAACCTACTATCTCATTTTGGGGATTTGGGCTACTGTGTACTGTGCTACTTTAAAAAAAAAACTCAGGAATTCATGTCAGTGGCATGTAATGGTTTTCATGGTGGAAAAGAAGCATTAAATGTCCACAGGACTCTTGTCAAACCACTCCAGAGGTGCCATTTAATTCTGCTGCCCATCTATTTCAGGCTTTCTGCAGGTTGCAACAGGTTAGATTTAGGACTTTTTAAGACTCTGTGGACACCCTGTGGCGTCTGGTATGTTTCAAATAGCATAATCTTTGCACAATACATAAACTTTAGGGCTCCAAGGAGGGAGCACAACACCAAACAGATATTGCATTATAGATGTTTTTAGACTTTATTTAAAATCTCTGTACCACTGGAACCAAGAGGAAACTAAGCAGACACAAGCTCAGGGTCCACAGACAGTGACTGTTACTCAGAAGAATCACTTAAAGTAGGGAAGAACACACATACACACCTGCAGTATTCGCTGGATAATGGAAGGAAGAGAAATGAAGGTGCTCATACAGTTGAGAACCTTCATGGTCAGCTCCTTCAGCACTGAGACATACACAAACATATAATCTTAAACAGCACATGATTCGATTCTCAACAGAGGCTTGTCATACTGTAGGTTGTGAAGAAATAATAAAGCATTATCATGACAAAATGGTTTATGGACACACTTAAAACTGCACTCACTGACTCTGGCCACTGGAGGGGCACAGAAACTTAACCACTAAGAAGTAATAGTCTCCCTATTTGCTTTCATCTCTTTAAAGCTGATGTCAAATGCCTAAATAAAGATGACATGAAATATAATGTACAATATGTATTAAAATAATGTTTTACCGTTTAATGTATGCATAGAAAAACCATGAAAGCATATGTTGAAAGGGAAAATTCTTTAGTATTTTTGTCTACAACTAAAGGACATGATTTTGTCTTGCCAATTTAAAATAAACAACAACACAGACAACGAAGTGAAGAGGTGTATTGCTTTGCAGTGTTGTCCAGCAGAGAGCAGCACTGTCATCATTTTCATAACACAAAACTTCATGTGTGGAAATACAAACAACTGCGTGTGTGTGTGATTACCTTCAAATGTGTGTTTGGCATCGAGCCCCTTCACCAATTTTTGAGAAGCCATCATGGTCTCCAGCAGAGGAAACCACAGCACCTGAGAGACAGAAAAACCAATGATTGAGCAGGCACACAGTGTCTGTCTGAGGTATGCACTCCAGTCACAAATTTGATGACTCTAGACTCAACTTGACAAAATCAAAAAAGACTTGGAATTTAACACCATCAACATATATGATGATGGATGGCATGACAGCTCACCAAAAGTGAAGACAAAACCTCTCTATCTCCCCCTGGTGGATGACTGCAGTATAGGTCATAAAGCCCACTGCTATAGTCCAACTAAAATATTAAAGTACACGTCAAATACATTTTCCCCAAAGATGGTTTCTGTCATTTGAGGCAGTTCTTACCACGTTGGTGTATGTTCAAGTGATAATTTTTCAGCTTAGGTTTTAATTAGTTACAGAAGCTATAAGAAGTGTGTTTCTCGTCATGATTGACAGCAGAGCACTGCTCATGATTGAGTCAGCCAGGCGTATGGGCGGGACTTCAATACCACGCCAGCAAATATTTTGGATTCATTTTTGTATAGTGGAAAGAAGAGGAGACGCGACATCCATCTTTTACATGTTGCCGTTTAACCCAAATGACTTCGGACCTCTCTTGGACTTGAGCCTTTTCACTTGAAAATACTTGATAGCTTTTCCTCAAGCCAAAGATAAGAAAGTAAGTTATTTAAAAAGTGTGTCACGAATCAATTTATTTCCCTTCATTTCCTGAATCAGCTTAAGTTAATGCTTAACACTTAATTCCCCAGATCCACTTTGGGCCATTGTACAGCAATGATCTGTTTGAACAGACCAGTGGATTCCCTTCCAAACTCGTATTTTGATGTTCAACCAAAACAAGATGACAAATCAGCCTCTAAATTAGAAGCAGCAATGTACAGTGTGAAAAAAATATGATTTGAACATTTTGTAAAGTAATTCTATTAGAGCCCCCACATAAATGTATGAACCTAAAAAAGAGCACAATACAATAATTCTAGCAACTTTCTACCACTCGTATTTATTAATTTGCACTATCCCTTCTGTAAATAAACAAAATATTTGCTAAAGTGTGCATTATGACTGGTTTAGGACTTGAAACTTAAACGTTAGTACATTCATTGTGGACAACACACACAGACAGGCTGACAGTACCTCTCTTTGTTGCTGGTAGAGGTTCTGAGAGCTTCGATGACACAAGACAATGATTTCATTCAGTGAGTCCTTCACTCCTGTCAGTGTTGCTTCGTCGCCTCCCTCCTCCTCATCTCGTCTTCCATCCCCTCCTTCGACTCTATCACTCTCAGCGGTGAGGAGACTCAGCTTGTCCTTCAGTGTCTTCAGAGAGATTATAAAAGAAAATGTGTAACGATAACAAGTAAGTACATTTACATATTTAAGTAGTTTGTGGCACTAGTATTGTACACCAGTATTTAAATTAAATTCATGTGCAAAATTGAAAAGTGATGAATAATTAGTTCATTAATTAATCCAATAAAGCACTACTTCCTGGTTGTTTTGTAGATACCTCTAACAAGACAGCAAAAGCTCCTTGAACGTCTCCCTTCTTCTCCAGCAGGTAGGCTGTAGCCTCATTGTGGTGGTACTTCTCTGTTATCTAGAGAGAAAGAAAGGCTATCAGACACATGCCATCTGGTTCAGTATCACCACATTTGTACAGAAGATCTTGTGTTTCTAGTTGCTGTTTTAATCAATACATACTTCACTACATTTATCTGACAGCTTTTACCTACAGCCTTGGCAAGTTGGTTGCAATCTGCAACTTTACTACGAGATGCCACTTAATCCTACACACTGGTCCTTTAACACACATAATGCACATAACCACAGTTTAGTAGACAGTACTTGTATGGCCTCCTCCAGTCTGTAGTGCTGGGAGGTCTGGAGGAAGCTCAGGAGCTGCTGGGGGGCAAAGCGGCACATTAAGTCCAGCAGAAGCTCATGGAGGTCATGTTCCTGTAGCAGGAGGATCCCTGGATGGTGACCTTCCCTGAATAACAGAGCAGGTAAGAAGGGAGAGGTAAGAAAAGGAGTGTATAAAGAGGGAGGAGAGGAGGCAAATTTAGAAGAAATGCACAAGCGAGGTAGCAGAGTTATCATCAGAACAGGATGCACACTGTACCGTGGTTCCAGGAGACAGCTGAGGAACTGGAAAAGCAGCTGGTCATCCTAGAGAGAGAGAGAGAGAGAGAGAGAGAGAGAGAGAGAGAGAGAGAGAGAGAGAGAGAGAGAGAGAACCAAAGCTTTTAATAGGGTATAGTGGAAACACATGGCATCACAGCTTGGCAAGGTGCGGATAAAGGCCACCTGTGCCCATTGAAAAACCTTACAAGTGTATAAAATAGCACCAGACCTCAGCTGCAAAAAGTGCGACATTGTATTTGTGAAAAACTTACTTTACCTTACTTTTTCATCATGCTTTAAAGAACTCTATGACAATCACACTGTTAGTTTCAGGATTCAGGACATAAAGGATTCTTTATGAATGTTTATGACTGCTGTCATTAAGTGTCAATCAATTATGTCATTTTCAATGCAAAGTTGACACTGTTTAAAATGTCTTTGTTTTGATAACTTGACATTAAAGCTGCAGTAGGTAACTTTTATAAAAATGACTTTCACTATATCGTGACAGTAGAACATGAGACAGATAATCTGTGAAACAATCAGGTTCCTCTGGCTCCTCCTAGTGCTCCTAATGACATTAGCAAGAACCCACCAGGCCTGAACGAAAACAACCAATCAGAGTGAAAGATTCAGCAAATATTACAAAAGGATTTTTTTAGGAAAGTTACCTACTGCAGTCATAGACATGCCATAGCAGACAAGAAACTATTTAGCTTTATGTGTTAACATTACATTGTACTGTCATAAGTGGTTGGTTTTGACATTGGATGTCTTGACACCATTATAATTGCCTAACCCGGTCTCGGAGACCTGTGTTCCCAGGTAGCCAAACAGTACCGATACCAGATAAAGAGGATATAAAATAACATCATTATATTTTGAGCTTACCTGAAGCTCAGATTGGATTTGCTGCACCTCTTCAGCGAAGTGAAACACCACTAGGTCAGCTGACTTACTGGGGTCAAGGGTCACCAGCTCCTGTGAAAAAATGTCAGAGGGTTTGCATGTGGATGCAAATACAATCATATTGTTGTCCCTGCATTTGTAAAATCAAGGCTAACACATTCAGCTTGTGCCCAACCAGCCCTAATTTTAATGAGCACTATCAATACAACAGGGGTATGGGTGTGTAAATGTCTCATGTCTGCTGTGTTTAAAAGATGCAGATGGTAAAGGGTTGGTTCACACAAAAAACAATTCTCTTATTTTCCCATAGTAACATCTGATACAGAAGCCTCCTGGATCCTGAACATGCTCGACTATGTATCCCACCTAGCCCAGGAGTACCTTGGGATTCCACAGGAGGAGCTGGAGGACATGGTTGGGGAGATGTACCTCCTTCCTACCTTGCTCAGCCGACTACCACACTAGGATCTGGGTAGAAGTTAAGGGATAACTGTGTGTATGTGTCTGCCAATGTACTGACCTGCATGTGTTGCAGTGCTTTGTCCTTGACAGCTTGTTTCTCCTCAGGGCTGTAGCCAGGCATGGACAGCAGATTGTGGATGTAGCTGAAGATCTCCACCTGACACACACCCAAAAAAGTCAAATATTTACAGAGGTCTTCTACATTCTTCGACAATGAAAGGTAAAGAACACAGTGCCAGGCACACATACAACACATATCGACCAAATACGTGTATAGTTTGATAAATCTGAAACGTATGTTACCTTTCTGAGGGGGTCTCTCAGGTAGCACTCAATGATCCTGTCATACAGATGTTTCTTCTCATAAAGAAATTCACAGATCTGGTAGCTGGAGGGCAAGATGGAGAGACACAAAGACATGTAATAATAATGACAATAATACTAACTTATAATATTATAGTAAATATGTTACTATTATATGCCTAGTGTTCTTCCAAAATTCCTGTCTGGATGGATCAGTGAGATTCAGCACCAACTGGACACTGTAATTAAGACCTAATGCTAAATATCAACATTGTGAAGGTATAGCTGCACTAATCAATATTTCATATTAACTAACTCATACTGACAAAACCATCCAGGGAATTATCAGCAACTCTGCACTTCCCCTCGTCAGGGTTAGGGTTTACTTAAACGTACTGTTTTGGTTTTATGGTAAAACAAATCCAGATTTAGTGTTTGGTTTAGTTTCAGTTTTCCTATCAACGCTGTTTCCAACGGCAACAGGCAGCTGTTTTCAGTGAGAACGCCCTGATAAACCTTCTGCATGTTACATGCACCCTCTGTACGACACAGTTGGAGATAAAAGTGGAACATAGATGGGCTAGTAACTGATGCATCCACCATAACACAGAGTATTGTGTGTGTGTGTGTGTGTGTGTGTGTGTGTGTGTGTGTGTGTGTGTGTGTGTGTGTGTGTGTGTGTGTGTGTTCTTCTGACTCTTGTGCTATTTATTGCTCAACGCACTAGAATCTTCAATGGTTCATGTAAGAATCCATAACAGCAGTTCATACATTTCTCTTTAAAGCCAACATTTCTACCCAGACCTCACAGTAGTGTTCTCCCTCAAAAACCTGTAACACCTGACACCTGACTGACAGTTTCTACCTATATCCTTTATGGAACACAGCACCAAGGTGACACCCTGTGTACAAGAACAAAAGCAGTTTCCCCTTTCTGAAGGAAATCGCTCTCACATCTTTTGTAAAGTAGCATCCAGGGAATATGTGAACTACATTTTGCATAACCTGGACCAAGGACATGAGCTCATAACCCTAAAAACCTTTAAAAAGCATTGTAAATATGCAAAGGTAAAATATGCTTGCTATTCAGTTATTAGGTGTAAACTCACAACTTGGCCTTCTCTGCCAAAGCCAGCAGCCTTCCTTCATTAAACTGGACCACACCGCCGACCTGCAGCAGCTCCAGCAGTACCTAAAAAAAAACATATATATAGTTACTTAGTTACATTCCACCTTTCGGTGTGTGTGTTTGTGTGTGTGTTTATACATATTATATAAATGTAAATATATAAATAAAACAACCTGCTGCCTCTCAGTGTGTCTGGAGTCATCGTCTGGGCAACACAGAAATTCCAGAACCTGGAAAAACAGTAAGAGCAAAGATGTGGATGAATGGTACTTGAGGTCTTGTTATTAACAAGCATTTTGCGGCAGCTGCCTTAATTACACAACTATTAATGAAAATCAGTTATGGATCATAAGTAAATTTAATTGGTGTGTTGGTCATATGACGGGATCCAAGATGCAGCCTACACTGTATACTTGGGGTAGGTATATCCCAGTCAGGTAACTATTACAAGCCTGTTTATGTGTTATGGCCTTTTTAACAACATTGATTCTATCTTGATACATTAACATGTGTCACTACTGTAAATAACGTGAGCAAAGTTAGATTGTGTGTGTGGGTATTTGGCGGATCTGATTGGTTACCTGATCAAAGAGCTTCCTGTTCACAAAAAGCGTGTTGTCTGGCTTCGCCAACTGGCGGGCCAAGAAGGTGAAGAGCCCGCCCACCTGGGAGGGAGTAAAGTCTGGGTTGTCCACCATCACCTAAGTGACCAGAAAGACACATTAACAATTACAGAAAAGAAAAGATACAGAGAATATAAAAATAATAGTAGTTAATGATATTAATAGAACCTCATGAGTCATTTCTTTCCAGGATAAAGACGACTCTGCTACTGTTTTGTCATGCAGGTGACCTAAGTGATGTATCTGTTTGTTGGGTTTGAAAAATCATTAATTTTTACAAAATGTGTGCAAAATGATGTGAAATGAACATAACAGCACGTGTAATTGTTTGGGACTTTACCTGAAGTAAGATGTCCACTATCCGCTGCTGGTACTCAAGGGCCTGCTTATCATTCTTAAAGTCTTCAAATGTCTAGAATGAAGTAAGAACCAATTCTTAAATGACTTGACATTTCAATTTTCTAATAAGGAAAAAGAAAACACTTGCAAGTGGCCAGATGAACACCAAAACAAGACTAATACTGGGTATAAGTGCAATTCAAACAATTCAAGATGTATGAAAATGTACTTAGATGCCAAGAATAACTGGCTGTGAATCATACACGTAGGCATGGTAGACCCTGCCAGTCGCAGAGCTCCTTACACTCAATGAATGAATGGAAACCAGAGAATGAATAATTCTCAATATTCCTTTGGAATATGTGACTATGTGAATATGTGGCTGCTGTTAGCCAGTTAGCTCAGTTAGCTGTGCAGATAGCATGTGTGTTGGAAAAAAACTCATGGCAGGCTAGTGTGCCTGGCCAGCAGAGGACGTCAGCAGCTACAATAGTACATGGGTGTTAATAATATAATTAAAAATATTCAGGTTGGAAGCTTTGGAAGTTTACAAATACTTTTTTTTAATTCATCAGTATCAGTTTACTGAAGCTGAGGGTGGTGTTAAAAAGGAACTGATTTAGATTAATGGCATACTATAAGATATTCAAGATACTCATAAGATAGTCATCCAGTCTTTCAACATGGAAAACACACATTTACCAGCGTGACAGCAGTTAAAATAGTGAAGAAGTCTCACCATGGCGAGGACATTGAGGAACTCCCGGGTATCAAAGTGGAGGAGTGTGCGAATATACGGGAAAACCTCCTCCTCCTCTGATGAGTCGGCTGAATGGAGCCGGATAAGAAACTCAAACACCTGACACACACACGCACACACAGCATTAGTGTACTAGTATCTATAAAGGCTTGCTTGGAATGACAACAGCTACATTTCTTCAGATGACACAACAGTGGCGTTACCACTGATCACCCTTCTCTCACCCCTCAGCAAAACACATGCCTCCAGTATTTCTTAACAGGCTCAGCTACTGTGTCACATTGAGGCAATAAATAAACAAAGTGCACAGAAACAACAACAACAACTCAACGATTTACCATTAAACCAAACTATAGTGCTACTCTGCAAAAATGGGATCACTTTGTCGAACTTTCCTAGTATATGCTGCAAACCCTACAGGAGAATAAATACACAGTATCTACACCTGGTGTTTGACTTGAACCACGAGGTCCTCAGGGATGTCTCCTAGTGGATATGCCCTTCCTGCAAGACAGCAGCTGTATAGACAAACACACACAAACACTTACTTACGTAATCGGATTTGAACTGTAAGTATATAAGATGAAATACAGAAATGGACGAAAAATATGATATCAATAAGAGATGAGTAAATAAATACATTGGTTTACATTTGTTGTCATGACATGCCATACTCCTTTCTCTGCTGTATTAAGCACCTCAAGATCAACATCATTTCGTATGACTTTACTTGTGATTTGCAGGACCTGAGAAATGACTGGACTTGACAACTGGACTTGCTTGATTTTCATCACAGTAACTTGGGACTTGTTTGAGACATGTGATTTACTCCCACTTCTAACTAACATCTCTTAGTGATTTACATTGCTTAGTACTTGAGGAGCCAGCTTTGACAGTGAACATGTAGTAGCAGCTATAAGCACATACCAAACCTTTGGCCATAATGTATGTATGTGCACGGACTATTGGACTGAGGTATAAACTGATATCTGTGTGAACTTACCTTATGTACACCAGAAGTTTGTTTCCCATCACCACTTCCTCATCTATCCAAGAAGAAAAATAAGAGAGTTAAAGACTTAAATATGCTTTCCTTATACTTTCTGTTCTTGTTCTGTTGAGATGCTTCAAATAGTTGGTGCTATGAACTCTTTGGGGGTGTGGTTTCCAGCCTTACCTGTTAGGCCCCTCCCCTCCCTAAGTGGTGGGCCAATCACTGCAAAAAGTTTCTGAAATATAAACGTGACATAGACAACATAGAGAGGTACGTTATCAATTATCACATTTATCAGGATTTGATATACAGCTATAAAGGCGAGACAAAAGTGGATAAACTTGGATTAAACCACATAATCCTCATTAAGGTTCTAGCCTCAACCTCTGCTTCACAAAGCTTTTGGTACAAATTTTATATACTCGAACTAAGAGCCCCAAATGGCTATCCTAAAAGGTCAAATGTTTATTCCTTGCTTACATATTAAATCCAACTAAAATTACAGTAATCATATTGATTAAGACATTTCTTCCCAGATATTGGGGTTGCAGGAGATTTTATTTGGTCACAAGTGGATTTACAGAATTTTTTCCTTCTGCTAAATGCAGTATTTTAAAAATATTTAAAATGTGTACATTGTTTTACTATTGAGGTAAAAAACAAAAGCCTTAACCTTTCCTAAATGCACAAATTCTGTCTCATAAAGTGAGTGCACATTGTGTTTGTTTTACAGAGAGAAAAAGCAAAAAGGTTTGGGAAACACTGGATTAAGGCACTTCATGTAGTCCGACCAGATGAAAGTGATAAAAACATTCTGTAGAGGACTTACCTCCATAGGTGTAATGTAGTCGTTCATGCCACGGTTGAAAACATAGATCATTGCATCGTAGAGCTGGTTCTCCCAACACACTTTGACCACCTACACACACACACACAAACACACACAAACACACACAACACACACACACACACACACACACACACACACACACACACACACACACACACACACACACACACACACACACAGAAGACCTTTAGTGACAATGATACCCTCATTAGGTTTCCTAGCAGCTCCTTGCTAACTAACTAACACTCACCTGCTGTATGTCCAGGCTGGTGACATCCAGATGGACGATGCATCTCTCCAGGCTGTCCATCATACCATTGCCATGGTAATGGGCCAGGAGGTCCCTCATGATGGGCGTGGTGAGGTGGCCAAGACGGTCTGCAACAATGTATGACTCCAGTGACTCCAGAAAGACACCCTTAGCAACCATGTTCTCCCCCAGCCGAGCATACAGCTGGTTGAACAGCAGGTCGCTGCGCGTGCACACAAAAACAGTCATTAAAATCAATCATTAAAATTAGGTTTCATATAGTTACTGTGCTTCTTTGGCTTCAGCCAACTTTAACCTGTTAGGTGGAACCTGTAGTTCCATTCAGTAGTTTTGGACCAAGGGGAGGAAAGGCCTTTTGCTTCTGATCTGTTTCTTGTTCACACTGACATTGATGTTAAGTGGCGTCACAAAGAGCGAATAAGAAAATAACTTATTGCAAGAATCAATAGTGCAGTCACTACATTCAACTCCTTCTTTAAACTTGATAATGGCACTCAGTTTTGGCCGATATGCAAAGTTTCAGGTATCGGGATCAGTATCGAGAAGGAAAATCTGAAAATCTTCCAGTTGCCAAAAGTGTCAGGCTGAACATCAAGAACACTGAATATACTGCTGGAACCAGGAGACAGAATGTATATGTGCTCCAGCCTGGGAAACGTTTTAGAAGCTTAGGGGATATTTGATAGAAAAATAAAGACTTTAATAAAAGAGATTAATAGGAACCATTCATATTAAGCTGCGACATATACAGCAAATCAGCTGTGTCCTTATATTCCATGCATTCCTGCCATCAGCTACTCTCATTATCAGCTGAAAGCTTATATATACTTACGCCCTCTGTAGCAGGAGACAGTAATCCACCAGCACTGGAACCACATCCTGAAAGCACCCGAGAGAGAGAGAGAGAGAGAGAGAGAGAGAGAGAGGGGAAGAGAGAGAGAGAGAGAGAGATAGATTGACTTCTAATGTTCTTTAATGAATCATGTCCACAAATAAGAGCGTAAGAGAGAAAAAGCCCAAGGCGTTCATACTGACTGTTTCAGCATCAGTAGTGGAAAGTATATGTACTCAAGAACTGTACTTTATTTTGTAGTTCGCTACTTTAAATGGTAAATTGTATAGCACCTTTCTAGTCTTCCAAGCGCTTTTACACTACGTGCCACATTCACCCTTTCACACACATTGATGGCAAAGTCCATCGAACAGAAACTAACATTCATACACACTCACACACCGATGCACGGCATCGGGAGCAATTCGGGGTTCAGTATCTTGCTCAAGGATACTTTGACATGTGGCACCAGGAGCCGGGGATCGAACCCACAACCTTCCGATTGAGGAACGACCTGCTCTGCCTCTGAGCCACAGCCGCCCCTTTACATTTACATTTCTTATCCACGACATTCCACTAAACCAATCCACACTAAACTTTACACTACATTTATTTTATTTATTTATGTTTTATTTTTTGGCCTTTTCATGCCTTTATTTTTGATAGAGACAGCTGAAGATCGACAGGAAAGTAGGGGTAGAGAGAGAGAGAGGGGATGACACGCAGCAAAGGGCCACAGGTCGGATTCGAACCTGGGCCGCTGCAGCAACTCCGTATATGGGTTGCCAGCTCTACCGACTGAGCTAACCGGACGCCCTACACTACATTTATTTGACCAACTAGCTAGTCACTAGTTACTTTACAAATAAGGATTGTAAATATATAAAAGGAAAACATATGATAAGGATACTCTGTAAAATACAATGCATTAAACTAGAGCTTTTGATGAAAGATAACTCGGAACTTGGAGCAGCTTCTTCTTTGTGTATATAGAAAAAAATATAGATATTTATGTGATATTGTAAATCATATTATATATCATACATATATAACAGGTATAAAAAGAAAATAAAACATGTGAGGATGTGTGTTCTTTAGGGCATGTTAGCTTACGTGGAAGTGTTGCTCCATCACTTGGATCTTGCCATGTTCTGGACACTTCTTCAAAGCATGCTCTGCAAACTGGAAAATGACCTCTACCATCTGCACACACAGAGAGCGGTACGAGTTCAAAAATGAGCACAAGAATGTCAGAGTACACTGTCCAGAGCAGATACACGTAAAGGACCAATGAGTAGGAAAAACTCAAGACTCAAAAGGCCCTATTTAGAGCCTGAGCTTTTTCCGAAACATGGCGGTTCAACATGGTGGACTCATTCTAAGGTAACAAAAACCATACAGTTCTTAAATTCAGGCGATTATAAACTAATGAAAACATACCTATGAATATTAAATTCTATTTCTGCCGATAGATCCTCCTAAATGTTACACACTGGACCTTTAACACAGCAGGCAGGTTTTCTGTTCTTACCTTGTCACCCACCACTCCCTTCCTTTTCACTGGATCTCCAAACAGGCCTAGAATAAGCACACGTCACACATTATTTTCATATCTTTTATCTGTCAAACTGATTTTTATTCAAAATATCTCTGATTAATCATAATTATTGCATACTGAGGCACACATTGTAGCTCCTTCAAGTACATGTATATCAAGAAATAAATGAATAATTATTAAATATTCAGTCTCTTCCAATACTTATCACAATACCACTAGCAAGTGAGACGCTTAAAGAGTAGTAACTAGTCTTTGGTAGGTTACTTTTATAAAGCTTTGTTTGTTTCATTGGCCTCTTCTTGCACAGTAGCTGGTAATGAGAGTGTGACTTTTCAGACAATGTGCTTGCATTAACCCTTAGACAGACTACTTGCTCATCAGTGACAGGACCAGATAATTGTGAAGCAACAAGTGTAGCTCTTATGCTAAAAGTAAACGCTTCGGTTGAGTCCATTCCTTAGGCATCTGTCTCGTCTCTAACCTTTGTAAATGTAACCCTTCTCAACTGTACTATCTCTGTAGGGACTACAGGAACAGCTAGAGAGATTACTCTTTCCAATGCTTTGCTTCTGTTTCTGCATTCATTCAGAACCAACCCCTGTACGGTTCATATACAGTCAAAGATTGCAATATTTGGGATATAGCAATTGTTTCATTATCACACAAACTAATGTAAGCTCTCCACGACCATCCCCTGAGCATGTTTACATGGTATGCAGTACTAAAGTGTATGGATATATCCCTGTGGGTCCAGAACTTAATGTTACTCAATGTTCTTCTTAGACCCTTTTAGTCCCTGCACCTTATACAGAAATTACCCAGCTATGTAAGCTGTAGCATCATCGTCACAATAGGAACAACATGTTTCAGCACGTCAGAGATCCTCAATCATATGGTTTATTTTTGTGATAGGCTAATAATAGTTATAGTAATGGTCTTATGCGCCTGGGTGTCCGCTGTTATAAGGGACGTGAAACTGTTGAGACTGAGACCAAGGTCTCAGCTGTGACAGTCCACAGTCCAACAATTGAACATTACTTGTATAAAGTGTTTTTGGAAAAGAATTGCATTGATCATGCCCTAACTACAAAACCAAACTAAAATGGAACCAATACCATACTTTTGCCAGTATGGACATGAAATGGGTCTCAACTTGCATTGTGATGGTCTTAAAAAGGTTAAGTTCATACTCTTGAAACCTGCAGAAACCTCAGGAGACTGACCACTGAGCTTTTTACTGATCAGTCCTAAATAAACCATATTACCACATTCCTAGATCAAAGGACCACATCAGTGCAGTGACTGTGATGAACAGACTGATTTACAGACTGCTGGCTGTGTGATGTGCATTATACCCACCAACCACAGCCTTAGCAGTTCCCTCATGGAAGGACCAGGCCAGAGAGAGAGCCTCGACAAAATGCTCCTGCTTCAGAAGGCAGTCTATACGCTGGACACAGACAGAGGAACGTTGATCAATGCACAGCGAGCAGCTGTTGGTCTACTGATGGAAACTAAATCCTTTCCAGTATAAAGGAGCTCAAGAAGAAACGGAACCAATAAAAGATTCTATTCACTTATTGAATGTATCATCATTAGTGCTTAAAAACTAGTTTTCTGATACAGTATTTATTTAGTTAATTTAACAATAAACACACATGAAATACAAACAGTGTCAGGCTGTCCATCTGCATCTGTAATTCTTTGTAATTAAAAGTGATTTGTGAAGAGCTACAGTTGATATACTTAATTATAACAACATCATACATACCTCTCTCCAGTTCCTTAGAGTCATAATGTGAGCTGACTGCAAGACAAGAGAATAGGATCATATAATTAGATAGACCCAATACCAAGACCAACACATTTAGGGAACTAAGATATACTTATGACACGTTGAGCGTAACGATATATAGTCCGCCTCTTCACTGAGCAAATTTTTTTATTATGCTGCTCTAATTTGCAATGGTTTATGGTTTATTATTTTTTTCAAAAGATTAGATTAGATTAAATTACATATTATCATTTGTTTCGGCTTTGCTCTGTTTTCTTTCTAGCATTTTTTGAATTTAAAGTGGTCAACAACAATTACTGCTGACCAATGTGCAGAGAGAGACCACAAACAGAAATGGCAGCTCACAGCTGTTGAGCACACACAGACAACAAACAGAACAAATACACACACACAACACAGTACCTTGGTGCCCAAATAGACGATCTGTCCTGCGTAGCTCGAGACGGACTGGTAGCAGGCCTTCTCTCCGACTAAAGCCTGGAACACAGACACACTGTTAGACACACACACACACACACACACACACACACACACACACACACACAGAGAGAGGTCCAAGTGCATTATCACTGGCTAACTCCCACCAATAAACCCTCCCATTAGCTTCTGCTGCAGATGGATTGCAGCCAACCTATACATGCCAGAGAGAGATGCTTTAAGGAAATGTGAAACCTGTTGTTCTAACTGTTCTAATGTGAGTGGGAAGACTTTTCCAAAGAGACCGTGATATGACGATGTTAAAACCAGCAGATTTTTTGCAGCTCGGGATTGAATCCAGAATCAAGAGTAAGAGGTAACCTTGAAATAGCAATTTAACACTTTAAGGTTCAGACTGAGGGCCTTAAAATCAGCTGGTGGTGAGAGATCAGGATTAGTGTAATGTGGTCAACGTTGGCCAGGGCCTAAAAGAACTGCGAAGACAAGAAGACTAGAGGAGAATTGACTTGACAATTGAATGATGTATCACTGTCAATGGGGTGCTGTCTATGGCTGCCATGGGAGCAAGGCATGCTGCTGTCAGATTCTTGGCTGCAGTTGGGTGCTGAGCCCAAGAACCTGGCCTGTTCTGTACCAGTGACGTCTGAGCACTGGTGTCTCGTCATAGCAGGAAAATGAGATTGCGAGTATTGCTGTGTCCGCCCCCCAGAACCGCCCACAGACGATTCCACTGGGGTTATAGATGAGTGGGGAAGGACCCCTACTGTCACATAGAGGACCACAGAAACCAGGAAATATTCACATTTGAGGAGCTTGAAACATGACTCAAAAAGATGAATGGATAATCAAAAGAGTTGCAGACTAATTTAATAGTTGACAACCAATCGATTAATTGACTAATCATTGCAGTTCCACTTCCAAAGACTTCCAGAAATCTAGGATATCACTAACCAACGGCAATGTCGGTCTCCTCGAGTCTTGACTATTATAATGCTCTTTTTTCTTGTTTAAGCCAAGAAGCCATAGCATGTCTACTATAAGTTCAAAAATACAATGCACAAAGACACAGTACAGTATTCCCGTATTATTCCAGAGCTGGCTTCATTACACTGGCTTTCTGATTGAATTTTAAATCTTTCTAGGACATCCTTCTGAGAACCAGGGATCCTGGTGGAGCCCTTCTACAAAACAGAATATTCATCCTAAACATGACGTCCCCCCATCAGCTAATCCCTCACCAGAGCCTGGGAGACATTCCCTCCAGTGGCCAGCGATTTGAAATGCCGGCTGTTATAGACCAGTTGCACCTGCTCCAAGTCCAGAGTCTCCAAAACCTCCTGACTGGGCCGGTCCACAACCTGCAGCTTTTCGTGGCTGTCTACCAGGACCAGTGTGCGGCTGTTTATCCACTGCAGAGACACAGAGACAGGAGGAAGACAGGTCAAGCACTACACACTACAGCAAACAAAGATATTTGTCTTTATTCACATATAAGCCATGTAGGAGTTAGATCATAATGATGGATATACTGTAAATATGTACTACTATTGGTACCTTGGTATCCTCGTGGTTCTTATAGTAACTCTTCTTCCTTCAATAAATAATAAAGCATGCTGGCTGTTGTGGATGAGGTCATAAATGAGGACATACCAAGCATTGGCTCTAGACAGTGCCTTTTACTGCCACAGTAGACTCTCCTACACACCGGTCCTTCGGTTCCAGGTTTGCGGGGAGTGTGTATAAAAGGGCTCAAAACGTCATCCTCAAAGCCATCTTAAACACTGATTATACAGAGGGACCTGAGCCCTTACTGAGAATGCATGTCAAAGTATGTGTGTGTGTGTGTGTGTGTGTGTGTGTGTGTGTGTGTGTGTGTGTATAATGGGGCACTGTACCTGGCCCAGTGTCTTGAGTACTTACACTCAGGCTAATGATGTCACAGCTGAGGTGGAGTTGTCTTTGTTTGATGACATGGATGGTCCCTGTCTCCTCCTTCTTTACCTGAATCAAAAAGAGGTGAACATTCAGACTCTTGTTCCCACTGATCATTGCTCTCAGAATACACTGTATTAAAGCAGTTTAGCATGCAGGGATGTGGGAAATATTACTTTAAAAAACAGTAGTATTCTAATGTATGTATTTGGGGAGACACTAACCCATAACTAACTGGCTAAAGACGATGCTGTACATTTCTGAAACTCAATTTTATCTAAAGTGATGTATAAAACATTTCAAGTAACATCTTAGTGGAGAACTTGACCTTCATGGCAGTTTGTTTTACCGGCCAATCTCAGCTCACCTCTCTCAGTAACAAGCTGTTTTTGCAGTGACTGCATAATTTTCTGTATTTGTGTATGTTTCTTGTAATGGTAATGTGCAAAATGAAATAATATTCCAAAGAGAATCACCTGGATACTGGAACCCATAGTGGAACCAACAACCAGACGACATTACAAGTCACATAGATCAGTGGTTCGCAACCCCCACTAGGGGTCGCCGAAGCTTCATGGGGGTTACTAACTTAATGAAATTGTTATTTTACAGTTTAGATTATAATTAAGATATAAACTACAAAGACCTGAGCACAAGCGTGTCATTATTACTGGACAAATATGAGACTTCACTCTTTGGTTTGATTTGTATGAAAAGCCTCTGATGCAATATTCACAAGAAATACTATCCTCAAAAGTCATCCAAATTGCTTGTTTTACACAAAGTTCTTGCATTTATTTCTTTCAACAATTACAGTGTATGACTTTGTTCTGTACTGTTATTGTTATGCATTGAAAATAATATAAATTATCCATAAAATATGTCACTTAGTCAGGGTTCATCATCTTTTCTATCACTAAAGTAAATCATCATTTACTTTAGTGATAGAAAAGGGCACCCTTAAGGAAAAAGGTTGTGAACCACTGATGTAGATCACCCATCATCTCACAGTAATTAAATCTCTGTTTGCATGCTCTACAAATCAGACTGCAGCTACATGTCTGGCTGTTTTAGGATCTTAAATTAAACCTATAACTGTTCACTGAGTATATAGATATCAAAACTAAATACATTTTGATAACTGCAGGATCTATTCATAATAATATTCATTCCTAGCTGAGTGTGGTTCTAAGTACTAGGAGCAGAAGATAAATGTTTCTATAATATATTATCTGATTCAGAGAGTGTAATTGTGTGTGTCTTTTGTGCATGTTGCTATGCTGAAGTTAAGAGGGAGGCGAGCAGGTACCAGGAGGAAGTGGACTGTGTCTCCTTTGCAAAAAGCCAGGATTGGGTTGACCGTCTTCTGAACAGGAACAAACTGCCAGGCCAGCTGAGGAACACTGGACGGATCAGACTGAAAGAGGACACATCACATCAGTAACTAACTCTAACACATAAGCCAGATGTTAGTCGGGGTGGCAGGTGGTAACACAGAATTAACCCTGACATTGTATCAATATATCTGTGCCAACATACACTCATTAACAACTAGATGAACAAGCAGGCAGAAATACTGACCTTGCTGTAGGGAAAAGTCATCCAGACTTTCAGCGAGGGCTTTAGTCCAATGACCAGAATCTGGTGAGAAAAAACCAAAAGGCAAAAAAACGTCACAAACTTTACACAAAGTAAAGGTGTATAAGCAGAGGAGGGAGATGGAGAGTGTTTGTGTACCTTAGTGAGAGAGGCCATAGCCAGCAGAGAGTAGTGTGTGATGGGATGGTCTCTGAAGTCTGGAGGAGCATGCAACGGTTCGATACAGCACACCTCCCCCTTAGACCCACTGAAGAGACATCGAGAGTCACAGGACCGCATCCCCATCACCCTCCTGGAAACAAAGACAAACACAGCTGACACAAACACACACAATGTGGGCTCCTTCCTGCAGGGATGTGTGGAGGTGTGGTTGTTCATTTTAGGGTGATGAGTCATAAAATATGATTTGATGAATATGATGATTTCATCCACTTTCATTTAAAGCATTCATTCATTTCATTTACCTGAAAGCCAGCTCGAAAACTGATCCTCCACTGTCATTGCACACTGCAAGAGTTGGGTCGTCTGTAAACTAGAGACACAAAAAACAGGGAAATAATAACCAGGCCAAGACTGATTACTGAGTTTACTGTTTTAAAGATGTTTCATTGGTAATGGTTGTGTATGGGGAAAGCTTTTTTGGTGCAACCTAGAGCCATGATCCCCTAAAGAGAGGTGGCTCAATGGATGGTAGTGTAGGTAAGTATGTAAGTAAGTAACTAAGCAAGTAAAGCTTTATTTATATAGCACCTTTTTGACACAGAGATCTGTGCTTTACAAACAATAAATATACATAAGGGTTTAACCATACCTAATCAAACAAACATAGGGAGCATGTAAATACAGACATAAGGAAGATAAAACAGGAGGGAAAGATGAATTAAAAGAGAGACGACAGACCCCCTGGGTTTTGAGCAGCCACTTAAAACAGTCCACAGATTCAGTGAATCTGAGTGATTGGGGAAGACTCCTTTCACTCACCTTTAGTTTTACAGTTAGAGCGGGGATTGGATAAAAGGCAGAGAGTTGAGTAGCGAAGTGGCCGAGGAGTGGAATGAGGAACAAGGAGATGTGTGTGTGTGTGTGTGTGTGTGTGTGTGTGTGTACCTTCACATGCAGTATAGCTGTCCCAGGAGGGTGGGCATCATTGATAGTTCTCAGAAGCTTCCCATTGGCTAGATCCCACATGGTGATCTAATCATACAGACCGACAAACAGCAGGAGAGAGAAAGACTTGCTCATATACAGTAACAGGTAAAACACAGTTCTCTGTATAATATTATACAATCACTTGAATGAATGATCATTTTTCATAAACAATTCTCAAATTTAGTGCATGATATTTGGGTTAGTTACACATACAGAATTATGCCACTGCAGCAAATACAGGAAAGCCTGAGTATAATCCATTTACAGCTGTCTGGAGTTTTGCTTCAACAGAAATAGACCTGATGAACACATCATTTTATATTCCTAATTATCTACACAGTTAAAACTGAAATGTGTACAAAATAAAAAGATTCTGTGAATGTGCATAGAAACAACCCACATAAAAGGGTTCATGTGATTCCGGAGAAGTGTGTGCTCAGCTGCAACACTCCCTCTACCACCTCAAGAGTAAGCAGGTGCCTTTAGAGCTGCACAAAAATGCTGCAAGTTCATTTCCATGGAGTTTCTACAGTAGCCCAGAAAGGACAAACTGCCTCTAGACACGGCCATTCATGTTTTTCATGCGGCCACCACAGTTTCTCCTCCGTGCTTGGAAGGGATGGGTGAAGCGAGGGAGTTGCGATCTGATCTGCACCAAATCATACACACTGGTCCTTTAAGCCCTAATCCTTAGACCAGAGGTCACTCTCTCGCCTCCAGCTAGTTCATAATGCAGCAGCTCAGCGTCTTACTGGTTTTAACAGGCAAAATGACATTGCCCCAAACCTGGCTTCTCTCCACTGACTCCCTGTTTGTTTTACTGATGACTTTTAAAGCACACCTGGGTCTGGCTCCAAGCTACATAGCAGAAATGTTGACCCTTGTATTTTTGGTATTCATTATTTCTATAATTAATTATGTTTTGTGTATCATAGCTATAATTTTGCCACACCATGATTGGAATTCACCAAGCTGCTCTCAATTAGTATAAGGAGACAGTCCCCTGAATAACCTTCCAATCATCTCAGACATTTCAACATCTACAACAGATTGGGAAAAGGAAAACACCAAACAATGCGTGACTGCTACATATCTGTGTAATGTGTAAAGGTAGATTATGTTATATACGGACGACAAAAACATAAAGTATGAGTCTGCATGTTAAATAATATGCCTTTAAAAACAATGTGCACTTAAGCCAAAGAGCTGCATACCATATTTTAATACCCAGCAGCGAGCCAAACTTGCTCCTAATCCTGTGTGCGTTAGCTATGGTAATAGTGGTTGAAATTGTGAAACCAAGTGAAGATTCCGTGACTTGAACAACCTGAGGCTTTCAGTTACAACCATCATCTCTCTAAGAGCACCACTCACCCTCATCAGGACTACCTGCTAGAGCAAACACCACGTACTGTATTCACACCACCAGTAGAAACCTTGTTGAACTTTAACCAGTGTCCCATCTCCACCCACTTTTTAAAACTCTAATCAACACCCGGTTGACAAGCCTCTGAGTGTATGGATGTGTGTCTGAGTATGTACCTGTCCTTTGGCGAACCCACAGAGAAGTCGTGAGCAATCGTGGTTGATGCTGAGGGCGGAGACGGCTCCAAACTCTGCTCCTGTTGCCTTGGTACCCAGACAGAGCCGCAGAGCCTGGTTGGTGTCTGGAGAGGAAGATGAAGAGTACATTTAACTGCTGGTAAGGCTTAGAGAAGGGGTGGAAGGTAAATACATTAAAATAAAAAGGCAAACTCATGCTTTCCCAGTCCTCAGTGGAAAAACAATCAAACAGCACATCGATACCAAAACACAACACACTGACACCAAATAAAGAGCTGGAAATGCGGCAAAATAAAAAATAAATATATTAAGCAACAAAGCATGCACCAAAGTAGCTCAGCCAAACCAAAATGGACATGAGCAGTGACTCTTTGGAGCCAGTCAACACAAAATGAATAACATTAAGCATGAGTGACCCATCTGACAGGGATGTTCATACCTTTTCCTGTCCAGGCATCATTATGTCAGCAATATAAAGAAACACGGGTCAGCCCCAATCACACCCCAAACAACATCACAGCATGAACTGAGACTTAATCAATCATTTGGTATCTGTGGAGACCAGCAGCTCATCTCCCCCTGGAAATGACAATAATCCAAACAACATGCTACAAACATTTTATGTCTCCTCTCTTACTCTTTCTTTTAGCCAACTTCTACCTAAACCAGGTCCAGGTTTTGGCTACGTTCACACTGCAGGCATAATGGTTAAAATCAGATTGTTTTTGTCCATGTGTGACTCATCTGTTTTGTGAGTGTGAACAGCAAAAATCACATAGAATCTCTTCTAGGGATTTTATCTCTGGAAACAGAGTACAGTTGTAGTAGTTTGATTTCTTGTTAGTTGGACAGTTTCTTCCTTTCTACCATGACTCCCTCTTGTTGCAAGTTCCCAGCACTGCAGAGGCGTGCGTTTGATGTCATTGTCTTGCAATGGACAATTGTCAGAAAAAAATGCCGGCATCAGTAAACGGAATTGATAAGGTTGGAGGCATACGATTCTGATGGATCGGACAATTTGGAACCAGTTCAGTTTCTTTGAAGGTCATCCGACTTTCTTCCTCGCTCTATATAAACCGTTTATTTGTTCTTACATTTTAGTCACAGTTTTGGAAATTCTTTTGGCAACTTTTCCACAAAAAAAGTTAAAGAAATCTGCAACTTCCCCTGTTTTAAGGAAAACAACTGCTCTTCAGTCATCTTGTCAATATTTGGAGACTGTGTTCTTTTTGGATTCAGCTGGATAATTAAGTTTTACAGAGCATTTTTTAAGCTTTTGTTATCTTTCTCAAATCAAGACAAACCAGTGACTCAGTTATTGTTCAGTTTATTATTTGGCAGTTGTGGTGTATGTAACAGACTGTTTTATCAATGGAGAGAGGTCTAAAGATTCTGTCAAACCAGCAGGGTTTTTAATGGTATTTCTACTTCAGGGAGAAGTTTTAATGTATAAAATGGCTGCTTGTGGTTGTGAAGAGTGGTGAGAGGTATAGATCATTTGTCTGTGATCATGATGGGCTGACTAATGCCTGGTGTGAGATGTAATGTATACACTTATTCACTGAGACCTGATCAAGGACCAGATACTGGATGCATTTCTAGACTGACTGGTATACAGTATGTAGTATGTAAGTTGTATTTGTTTTGGCGGACAGAGAGAAAGATTTACATTCAAATGTGGTTTGGACCATTGTGTTTTTCTGATTACAGATATTGGGCCTCAGTACTAGACCAGTGCAAAGAAACATGAACAGTAACTCAAAAGATACAGGTAACAGGCTCAGCCCTACATTTTCTGCATAAGAGTAACATGTACACCCTGTGTGGGCTGCTGCTTTAGTGCTCTGGCACATTCTTTATTCCAATTCAAGCTTTGATGACTGCTACTGCAAATATTACTCATATGACCGATATGACTGCTGATAAAGGCTAATGCTTTTATTGGTTCTACTGCTGTTAAATACTACCATTATCATGGCTCCAACTATAATGGATACTGTACGCTGATACCATTAATGCCGGAACTACATCTGTTACAGAAACCACTGCCATTGACCGTCCCATTATTTTTATTTCAAATGTACTATCACTGTCTCCACTTAAATGGCAACACTACTACTGTAGAAAGGTTTTACTTCTACCTAAACTGTAACACGCTACCACTGTGACTCCGTGCTACTACTATCATCACCTACTAAACACATTTTAACTTTTATCTGTCCTGTATGTACTGAAACTTTTTAAAGACATTTTAACTGTTTTTAAACTGATCTAATACTCTTCTTCCCTTTAAACCAGCGACACTTAACTTACAGCCAGGGTGCCAAATCTGGCCTGCGATAGGATGCCGGGAGCCCACAGACCATTTTCTAATTCTCAATAATTTGTCAAAATAGCTGCTGAGAAAATGTTCTACAGCTGACCTCTAACCTTAACATGTATTTGGCCACAGCACAGGATAAAATACAAAGTAAAGTTTTCCAGGACAACATGGATTATTTTCAGGAATTTAATAATTTTAATCAATCTATGGAAAACTAAAACTATTTCCAGGTTTTCCAGGACATGTGGGAACCCTGGTTACTTGGGACACTGCATATTAGCCTACACACAATAAAAGAGCTAAAAAGGACCAGTGGCATTTAGTGGCATCTAGTGGTGAAGTTTCAGATCGCAACCAACTGAACTTAACTGAACACCGCTTGCATCTGTATTTGATCACCTGGGAATGAGACAGGCTGTAAAGTCTGTAGGAGAAACTACGGCTGTGAAAGGTCGTATCTACAGTAGGACCTTTCACAGCCGTCCTATCTACATGTAGAAACATGGCGGTTCAACATGGTGGACTCCATGGAAGGCGACCTACTCCCTCTGTAGATATAAACATCTCATTCTAAGGTAACAAAACACAATGATTCTTATATTCAGGTGATTATACACTAATGAAAATATAAGAATATTATATTCCATTTCTGACAAAAGATCCTCCTCAATGTTACACACTGGACCTTTAAATATTCATTGTGTCCCTGGTAGGAGCAGTATATGAATTATTCCAATGTCTGAGAATGTATGATAGAAAAAGTTTGGGCTTTGATTTTGTATAATCTCTTTAAAATGTAACCAAGAATTTACAACTGAACTGCAACTGCAGCTATTAAATGTAATAAAATATCTGATATATCTGTCACACAGGCCCAGTGTCAATCCTTGTACCCACTTCATTCAGTTAATAAGTTAAGTAGTACGTCAGTTAATTGGGCAATAAAGAATTTCAAAGAAAGATTGGTTATGGACCTTTTAATGTTTATTCATTTTATCTGATAAATATTATTAATGTCAGGTTATAAACTGGCCTCCAGTCATTTAGAAAAAGTACTCCCAGGCAAAGCAAGTTGGGTATCCCTGATTTAACACACTGAATTTAACACACAGACCACAAGGATCAAATCAGCCTTATCATTCTGACGTGGGGAGAGAACATACAGTAATGTTTGTGTTTCTGCACAAGTAGTGGTCAAGTATTTTTTTGAACAGTGCTTGTGTAATCATAAATTCACTGTGTGCAGAGCCCTGTATTAAGGAACACACTGTAGTCTTGATTCTTGCTTTCCAACTGGATGCCATCTTCAACTACAGTTCACTTAGCATTCTCATTTAATGCTCCTCCTTATTCTCTGTTTTCTACTGTTACCCTGTGAACATGGCAGACCAGTGAGTCTTTACCCTCCTGATGTCCGCCCTCTACAAATAATGGATGCCCATTTTAAAAGGTTGATTTAAAAAAAAAAAGATCCAAACAAAAGCTTACATTGATGTAATCAGCCTGAGCCAATCATGATAAGGTGTTGGCAAGGTCCGGGAACAGAAGGGGGGAGCTGATACTGGATGGGAGATAAGGAGGGAGGCAACTGGTGCCTAAAGGTCCTGATTACCTGAGTCAATAAAACCCAGTGTGTGAGCGGCTCAGGTGCACTTTAGCATCACATCCTGCCTGAAAGCTGGACCAACAGTCAGTCAGCTCAAACAACTGGTTTTGGTTCTGCAGGTCATAAAAGGTAAGTACTCCTACATTTACTTAATGTGTGACTTTAGGCATCTTTACTAGTATAGGCTGATGTTGACAATAGGTTAAAGTATCATGAGATTTATTTCCACATAGTCATTACTTTTGTTCATTCATTTGAGTCTGTCAGTCAAATGAAAATAAAATAAACTGAAACACAAATCTTAAATCTGATCATAATACAACAAAACCAAAATCAATAACAACAAAACAACCACAACTATCAATAAAATCAATAATGTTCTAAAATAAAGGCAAATGGTGTGCCTAACTAATAATTACAACACAGCTACATTAAGTACACAACCACACATAAAACTAATAATAAATAAGATGACATCACATAGAAAATCTGGATATTTGGTCATAGAGTCTGTTTTCTGCAGCGTTTGTTAAAAATTTAAGCACTTACTGATTCTCTTTTGATTTTGATTTATTTGGCATCTCATACATATACTGTGTGAAACACTGCAACAAAAACATTTCATTAAAAATGTGGAGGATAACACCAAGAAGTTAGAAAAATAACTTATTTCCTTTGAAGTCTGTTTGGTAACATGCTCCATTCTAAAGAAAACTGAATGTTTTAAGAAGTTCGTCTTAGGCTCTAGACAGGGCAAAAAACTTGCACCGGACAAATGCTGGTAAAATATGCAAGTGACTGCTAAATTTCCTTCACTTATCAGACACAAAAAACAGTGGTAATCTACTGAGTGGTAGGTCAAATCTGAACATTCACTTGCCATTAGGCCGGTAGACAAGAAAGGTCTTTTTGCACCCTGGCTCTGGGGGCTCACTAACTGAAATTTATCCACAAACCAAGGGTTGAATATATGTATATATATCACCTATGACCTTTTCAACGCCGACCTCAACGACTACAGCCACGTCATGGCAGTCATGTTCTCCGTGCGTCCGTGTGTCTGACCCGACTACTCTCAAAAAGCTCTCAAAGATTCAAGTACACCTAAACATATAAACTTCCTCATGAGTGTGATCTGGCTTCAACTGAGACCCCTGACAGTATCGCTGCCTTATTCTGGGCTAACTGAAGTTCAATGAGATCCTTTTTATAAGCAGCAGACCACATGACTAAAAAGTGTTGGTCAAGAGTAACTTCTAATAATTTGATGTGATTAACTGACGCCTTGTCTAAACAACCAGGTCTATTAGCCAATTTCTTCCGTTTCTAATTTTCACATTTGATGAACCTGTCTATTTGAGACTCAAATAATGCCGAGATCAGATACAATCCCAGCAAGATAAGTCATAAAATATATTTTATATCAGAGCTACTCTCCTGACGCTACTCCTGTACACTCACGCTTTTAATCTATGATAACATCAGAAATATCAACCTATTTCTTTCTGCCAAGCTGCTGCTATCATTCATTTTTCCGCCGCTTTCTCATTTGGCTGAGCTCCTGAGGCTAAAGGGTGCCGCTAGCTCCAAACTCCAGCAAAGATGAATGCAGGTGTGCTACCGTGAAGATGACTCAAGTTCAATAAGTCATGGATTAATGTGATTGATTGAAAAAAGAAAAATAAATCCTCTCTTTATTCGTCAATGAAAACTTCGGTCAGTTTTTGCATTCAGGGTAAAATTTTAAATTCAATCTTATGAATAGTTCCAAAACATACTAATTTGCAACCACACGATGTAGATGTCCTGTAGATATAGTGCAGTTAATTTATGTCTACCTGAAGCAGAAATCCCAGCTAAGTTCTGCTGTTAGCAAACATCGACCCATTTATCCATTAATAATTATATTAATGGATAAATTCCAGGGCGCAGGCTCACTGCCATGGTTTACTGACACACCTTGGTTAAATGGAAAACAGCCATCACCACTACTTGGTATTGGTCCATCTGTGCTTTTCCAGCGATCAGTGCATTTACATGCACCTAAGTAACCGGATTACAGTCGGCTTACTCCAGGGAGTGATCGGGGTAGGGGGTTTGGTAGGTAGAATTCGTATTATCTTAAAAACTGTATAATGAACCCAGATAGTGCACTTTTGTGTAAAACAAGTGGTTTGGATGAATTTTGAGAAGATTATTTTCTGTTTGACAATTGACTTTACTTTAAAATGTACTTTTATTCACACACGTGAATCAACTACTGAGATACAGACCTACATATACACGTTTTTAAAGTTTTCTAGCTAAAATCTAAAATGAAGAATGCCTGCCTCATGAAGCTTTGGCGACCCATATGTTGGGAACAACTGCTCTAGCTGGCCTAACAAACACTTATCAAGCAGAGAAGACCATGCCTGCTTCAAAGACGTTGTTGAACTGAAATGATGTTGTCTTTGTCTCTTGTTCACAGCCAACCTCTTCCCCTGCCGCTGCTCATCATCAACATCACAATGCCTCATCGCAGCTGCTCCATTGAGATTAACAACTCCTCTGGCTGCTACACTCTCGCCAATCCAAGGTTAGGTGTTGCTTTTGTCTTTTTTAGAAAGTATTGAGAGTACTTATCAAACCTGACCATGGTGCCAGTATTATTAGAGTTATTGGTTTAGTTAGGGATTTTGTCAATATTGACATGCTACACATCAGATCGGTTAGATTCTCCACAATTCAATCATTAATTCGTAATAGTTCCTTTTTACAGAAACCATGAGCATCAATAGGTATCAAATGAATGATTCCTAATCAATATGTTACTCTAATTTTTATTCAAGTAATATTCATACTGGTTTAAATAAACACTTTCATAATATTTTCCATCGTTGCCAAGTTTTGTGCAAAAGGAATGAAAGGTCTGTCCCATAAAGACGCTTGTTCCAAATAAAGGCAGGTTGAGTTCAGTCACTGAAGTAAATAAGAACCTGGGCCATTCATTGAAGTAGATGCTTTTATCTTTTAAAAATCTTCAAATGTGGTTGTTTTTTCAATATAGATTAGCCCAGCACATAGCAAATCTAAGTACAGGACAGGAGGAAGTTGACTGAGGTTCTGACCGAGGCTTACTCAACTGTAGAGCACAAAGCAAAAAGGGGCAGGACTCAGAACGGGGCAATTGAGACTGTTTGTGGATGTAAACTGTATGATTTTGCGTGAACCACTCTGATATGTGATGTCTCTGTGTGCAGGGTGTTCACTGAGAGTGGCTGTTGTGAGGTCCCACTGCCACCCATGCTAGGACCCTGCTCCGCTGCCAGCGCACTATTCAACAAGACCACCGGCGCCGCAACCGGAGCCGTCGGCGTATTCACCTACGACCTTTTCAACGCCGACCTCAACGACTACAGCCACGTCATGGCAGTCATGTTCTCCGTGCCCTACGACCGAAACCTCTACTCCAACTGGTTCGCTGTGGGGATCTTTGAAAGAGGGAACGACTGCGACTACAATCTTTATGATATAATGTATAATGGAAGCGAAAATAATTTTGTAAGAGCAAAGGCTGACGGCTCCTGCATTTCTTTTGAGGGCGATTATGTTATTGTCAGTGCCTCCATGTCAGACTCAGGTGAAGCGGTGCTGAGGGTGGATATCAATGATACTGGAATGTATTAAGTCAAATGAAGAAAGATGCTACTGTTGTTATGCCATTTGAGATGATCACAGCCATTTTAATAAAATATTTCAAACTCAGTCACTAGCTGAAGTGGTGCTCATTAATTAATATACTTGAGTGTGTGCACTGATTGTACACTTAATATTGGTTATTGAAGGTTTTCAAAAGCTTACCTCTATTAAAAAACTTTTTAGTGTCCAAATCATGCCTTCTTTGTATTTCTCCATGTATAGATAAAACTCAACTCTATAGGGACTGAATTTGTTATTATTGGCATTTTTTTATAGAGCTGAAGCAGATTTCATTGGGCTTCCACAGATCTAGGTGATACAGGGCCGTTTCTGGCATTTTAATGCCCTAGGATAGATACCTTTTTATTAGAAACAGGATTCTCTGTGCATCTTCCAGCAACATGCAGCTGAATCAAGTGCTTCTCAGTTCAAGGACAGCAAATTTGCAGAGAACAAAGGACTGGAGCACGCTGATTCATTTGCAGCCTTTAATTGAGCAAACAGACTAAAATTTCATCAGTACTGTGTCTTCATCAGTGCACACTGATTAATTCCCAGCCTTAATTGTGCAAACAGACTTGTTGGTGTCGAAATGTTAGTCTGGTTTGACAAATAAAGGCTGGGAATTAATCAGTGTGCTCCAGTCCTCCTTTGTTCTGTGCAACCTTTTTTAGAGATCTGATCCGATCCAATATCCGTATCAGGTGCCAAGACGTATTGGCTCGGATGTCACCAATCTGGATTCCATAATTTGATGGTTTTATGAATTATAAATGTGTAATATTGCAATTTTATAGGCAAACTCTTGCAGCACAAATTAAATCATGAATAAGTAGTTCCATCACTGAGGCTGATGTGATGTGCATCTCAATGGATTGCCAACAATCCGATACATTAAAGATATATAGGAAGTAACTACCAATGCGATAGATTTCACCCGTATTGTGATGAAGTGCAATTCAACACGATTTGATTAAACACAATGCGATTCACTGCAATATGATGCAAAAGAATGACAATGAGAAAGAAGAACCGACTGTCTAAGAGGACCTGTTTGAATTTCATGATATGGTTTTTGCTTTGACGTGCAATGTGATACACTGAGTGAGGCTTGTGTTTGGCACTAATAATACAGTATGCATGTGTGTAGGTGTGTATGAGAAGGACAGGCACTAGAGGGTAGCAGAGTTTGTACAAGCTATGGTCAATAAGTGTTACTTGTTGGGTGCGTGTACGACATAGTCTTTTCTGGTTGGAAGGAGAAACACACCTACTGTTAAACATTATTAAAGACTTGGATATCAACAGGTTTATGGATATGCACAAATATGAACAACGACCTTTTCAAGAAGGTGGTGGAACAAAAGTCCACAACCGGTAGAAAACTTTGAAAACCCTTTTTGACGCAAAATGGCTCAAGCAGCTTTTACTACGGGAGCTACATTACTGCAGTCTGAAAAGGAGAAAAAAATCCTCTGTGGGATGTACAGTATGACTGGATTATGCACAACTGCAACAGGAATATTAGTGGAATATTCATTTTCATCAGCTATGTTAACAGATAGGAATATTGTCTTTTTCAGAATAAGGAAAAAAACAGAATATTTTGTGCGTGTAAATGTAGTCAGTGAGGCACCAGGACATCCTTAGAAATATAATATCTTTCATTAAATTTATCACAGCAGCCCATGTCAACTTGTTTTGATAAGAAATAACTGGTGACTACACTTAATCAGCTTTATATACACTGTTTGTGTTGCATCTGCATTGTAATAAGTTGTGTGAAAATATCCTTAACACCACTGTGTGCATATAAATAAAAGGAGGGTAAATCAAGTTTAGACTTACCAAAGACCAGAGCCAGACCATGTGACGTTCCCACAGCGATCACCCCTGACACTGTCTGAACACAAACACACAGCTCAGAATGGATGAGGCAAAACACCATGAAAAAATTGGCTACCAAACTTTCTGCCTCCACCAGCAGACACACCCACCTGAGGGTCTACTTTCTAATCAGTCATTATAAGAGTCTGAATGTTTTTTTCAATAGCAGTACTCTTATTGAGCTGCATCTCATTGTGCTTCTCTCCTACTAGAGTTGCAACGATTTGTCGATTAATTGATTTGTTGTCAACTATTAAATGAATATATAGCCAACTATTCTGATAATTCAATAATCATTTTGGGGCATTTTATAAGAACAAAATGTCTAAATTCTCTGATTTCAGTTTCTAAAATGTGAATATTTTCTGCTTTCTTTAGTCCTCTATCCAATACTAAACTGAATAGTCACCTTGGGCTTTAGGAAACACTGATGAACATTTAGCACCATTTTCTAACAACCAATCAATTTATCGAGAAAAATATTGACAGATTCATCAATAATGAAACTAATCCTTAGTTTCAGCCATATCTCCTACATCTTTTTCTCTAGGCCATACAAAGTCAGCCAGCAAAATAGCAATAGAGTCTTTCAGCTTTTCCTTTAAGCTTATATCATGTCTCTTTGTTCAGCTGAATAAACTATTAAATACTCACTATAGCAGTTGGCAGTCCAGCATCCACTTTGTCCTGAGGAAAACATACAAATGTTTTATTATGCTTAAACACAATCTTACACTTAAATCAACTCCAAAAATAGTCATCATTAGCTCCATAACAGCAATGACACAAGCACAATTCATAAGCACTCACTGTTTTGGGATGTTTTAATATTTCATTTGGTTCACATATGTTGGATATCTGTATCCCAATCCAAAACACTAAAAACAAACACAAGGCTGTCTATTTGACATCGAAGACTGATGTCCTCTTTTTTCTGTGTGTGTGTGTGTGTGTGTGTGTGTGTGTGTGTGTGTGTGTGTGTGTGTGTGTGCCTTACAGCAGCAGAGACGATCTGTGCAGAGATGCCCTTCAGCAGACTGTGTCGAAGAACAGACCCGTGAACTGTTGCATTCAGATCCACTGTCCTCCTCTTTCTTCACCCATGTACACGTCCACACACAGACACACAAACATAGGCACACACACAAAGAAGACATTTTCAATGTTATTACCTTTTATGTACAAAGATGGTATCTATCAAAAGTTATAAAGGGAAAACATTTTAATATATGGTTTGTAGTTAGAAATCTAAATTGCTTTAGTTTCCATAAAACATTTTATTCATTATGTATTTATTTTTTACTTAAAATCATAATACATTTTTTTATTTATTGTTATACAGAGTGAGTAAGTAATTAAGTTAGTTTATTTATATAGCACATTTAAAGAGCAGAATATCACCTACAATTATAACTTATAAATCAATTTTACAATATATAATTTTTTTACACATAGTTTTTGTTTTTCACAAGTAGCATAAAGGAAACTACGACCTGAATTTCATTATACAACCCTGACCAATGACAATAACCTTAAAAATGCTTTACAATAAGAAAAAGGCAACAAACATGAAAAATGGAGATCTAAAGTGACATAAAACTGATATGATTGTTCACGCTGAGGTCACATTGCAAAAATCCGACCTGTATCTGATTAGGACCACATATGAAAGTGGCGCCAATCAGAACTAATAAGATCGGATTTTATGTGGTTTGTGCTGTTCACACTGTCATGAAAAACAGATCTGAGTCACATATGAGTAAAAACAAATGTGATTTGGGTCACTTTGTCCTGCAGTATGAATGATCTCCTTTAGATCGGAGCACAGAGCGAGGAGCAATAACTGATCACAATGACCTTGAACTGAATTCTGAACTTCAAGTGAAGAGGAATCACAGTAGGATGATCTGGTCAGAAAGCTTAGCAGCAGTATTTGTAGGCAGGATGATTGGTGAGACGGGTTAAGAGGAAATAACAGCAGAGACCGGACAAAACCAAAAAAGCACAAATGATCATCCCCATCTCAGCCTGAGACGCAGTGCCTGAGTTTCACCATGTTCCTCAGCCAAAAAAACAGGAAGCAATAAAACAGCAAACACCTTGATTACAGGAGAGGGAAGTAAATGTAGACCACTGACTACCTTAGAGACAAGGCTGGATAGGGCAATAAATAAATACTTCTGCATACTACTGTGTTAAGCTGTGAGAAAGAATCCTCCACCCAAATCTTTATAGAATTAAGGCAGTTATGTAAAACAAACTATTTTGCTATATCGGGCTTAAACAAGATGTATAATTGAATATTATAGGAGATACCTTTAAAGTAGTGCTGTCAGTTTAACGCGTTATTAACGGCGTTAACGCAAACCCATTTTAACGGTGTTAACGCAAACCCATTTTAACGGCGTACAATTTTTTTAATCACGAGATTAACGCCTAGCACGCTTTGTAGTTTTTTCCACATGCTGTTGCGACAACTAGTAACGTTAGAAAAACTACAACACCACACCGGATCTAGCTAGACCGGAAACAAAACAACAGGCACGCCGCACACACTTGTTTAACAGTAGTAGACGTTACGGTTTGAGTGGATGGCGAGCGTGAGACGCCGAAATGGATGGATTCCTTGTTGTCTGAAAATGTCAACAGGCTTGTCTGTTTGAGTAACTGACTCAAAGCAAGAAGTAGTAGGCTTACCTTTTATTGGTAATCCTTACTGTTCATTCTTTCTGAAATAAGAGGTTGGGTTGAGCCTCTGGTGAATAAAGAGCAGCAGCCTGACTGCTATGTTCAAAGCAAACTTGAGAAAAGTATTAAGCCATGGTTTAACTGCACTATAGGCTGAGTCCTAGTTTACCTTACATGTGCACTTTGTAATCTATCGCCCTGTTTTGATCCCTTAGAAAGGGCTGTTGAAGGGGCTGTTTGTGTGACAAAGTATTTTTTTCACCCTTTTATTGATGGACTGTTACATTGTGTGAGAGATTATTTGCTCCAAGTGAGAATCTTAGTGTGAAATTGAACACTACAATATACGCCAATGTTGTTTTCAATAAAAACAACATTTGCACAAAGCAAGCCGATCCACTTTTCCATGTTGATAAGAGCATTAAAATGAGAAAAAATAATGGGACAAAAAGAAATCAAGGGACATTTAGAATAGATAAAAATGTGCGATTAATCGCGATTAAATATTTTAATCATTTGACAGCACTACTTTAATATGACTTGTCTGGCCAAGGGGAAGTATATACAAGGTATACAAGGTCTACAAGATCTGTGTGTGTGTGTGTGTGTGTGTGTGTGTGTGTGTGTGTGTGTGTGTGTGTGTGTGTGTGTGTCCTTGCCGTTTGAGGTGTGCTGGGTCTCCACTGTCAGAGCTGGCCAGAGAGGAGGTGTCACAGGAGTGAGCGTCCATGTTGTCTGTGTTTAGCACGCAGGTGTCCTCCAGCACAAACGGTTCCTCCTCATCCTCCAGCTGCAGACACACAGGGCAACAAAACAAACACACCTCAGCAAGTGGACACCCAAATGAAGTCAAACAATAGATGATGATGACCTGATGATGACCTGACTTTACAGTCAAGTCATCTGACTTAAAGCTCTCTGATGCTGTATAAATACTGTATATAATGTCTTGGAGCAGCTTATCTGATGAGCTGATTAAATTACTTTTAAGGAAGTGTTTTTTATACTATTGATAGCATGTGTTGCAGTACAGTACAGTGTAGTAGTCATAGAGTAACATGTCCTTCACCTCATTGAGGATGCTCTCCAGTGTGGGAGGCGTGTCCACTTGGGGAATGTCAAACTCCTTATCGTCGATCTGAGAACCAGTAGAACAAAGACACAGAGGGTTAGAAAGCAGTGCATTTAACCACGCATCAGCACTATGCCAGTGCTACTGAAGTTTGTAAATGCATCTCTGTCACTTCATCGTCCCTTTCCAGGTGTGAAGGAGAACATGTCACAGTTTGGTGGAGCTGGGTGGAACTATATAGGGTTCTACATTACGTCAAACTCCATGTACCAAAAAGAAGGATACAGGCATAAATTCGATGGGATATAATACTAATAGGTATGTTTTCATTAGTGTCAGACACTTAGAATAACTGATCTGAGTCTGCCCTTTCCATGGATACTTTCTCATCCAACTAAGTGAATTAAGGGTTTATTTAGAGACAACCCAACGTTGGTGATTGTTGGAAAGACTAACAAAGACAGTTCTGGTGAGTTTTATTGTATGTCTATCATGTCTGAAGTGTGTTTTACGATTTATCTGCTAGGTAGAATTACTAGTTTAATCATTTGAGTCAGGTGGGCCGTAGTGCTCATTGTTTTGGTCTGAGATGCTGGTGTGCAAGAAGAGTGTGAGGAAGATGAAGCACTGTCTGTAGACGCCCTCTCAGACCTGAGTGGAGGTCTGGGGCCATATTCGCAAAACATCCCGAGGCTAAATGTAGGTCCCACATTACGGAGGGACAGTCCTACGGATTTCTTCTTGATATTCAAAAACAGGTATTCCATTCACTGTAACTAACCACACATGCAATCTGTCCCAGAAAAAGTCGAACAACATTACAGGTGGGGAAAGATGTTCCGGAACAGTCCTAACTTCATGACTCCTACGTTTCTGACAAAGGGAAGTAGTACGGTGGCCGAGAAGGGCAAACACGCTGCAAACGGCAAAATGCTGCAAACACAGGAATGATGCAAAACCAAAAACACACACACACATAAAAACAAATGCAACAGAAAAACGCAGCAACAGAAGAATGCTGCAATCACAGAAACGAAGCAGAAGCAAAAACTTACAAACCCACAAAACAACTGCCAAAGAAAAATGCTGCAAATACCAAAAACACACAAAACAACAAAACAACTGATGCTGCAAATTCACTCCACAAAACGAGAGAGCGCCAGGCCACTAGTGGGACCCGACCTGAGGGATGGACCAGTCCTGTGGGACCAGACCCGAAAGACATGAAGAAGAAGATGAAAGTTGGCTAAGTTTTGGAGAGGAGAGTAAAAAGATAAGTTTTCGTTTATGTCTTTTTTTAAACACTTGGCCGTAATCTTTTATAATGATATAATATTATAATTATATTATTTAATATTATAAAAGAATATTACAATTATTATATTATATTATTATAATATTATATTATTATAATGTGTGTTTTTGGTATTTGCAGCATTTTTCTTTGGCAGTTGTTTTGTGGGTTTGTGAGTTTTTGTTTCTGCTCCGTTTCTGTGATTGCAGCATTCTTCTGTTGCATTTGTTTTTATGTGTTTGTGTGTTTTGGGATTTGCATCATTCCCTTGTCGGCCACCGTAAAGTAGCGGCACTTGAACGCACCACGGACACAAGTTGCACCATTAAAGCAACCTTTACTTTGAGTTTAATTTTGTGAGAAGTAGTGGAGTGGAACATGACACTAACTGACCATGTGAGGCACAGCTGGAGCAAACATTGCTGGTTTTAATGGATGTTCCGCTCCGCTTTCACAGCGCGGAGCTGCACCGTAAACAAGAACCCCATCACGTGATAATGATGAGCCTTTAGGACCGTGTAATACACTGAGACATTCACAAACACTCAGCCTGGAAACAGATAGTGTCTTTAAGGCTGTTCGCTTACTACAATTCAATATGACAGCACTGAAATTTCACAATAAAACTCCCAGCAGTCTTCCTCACATTGGACAGCTTCAGGAGAATCATTCGTGCGCAACTGGGTCTGATTTAAAGCGGTCATGTGACAATGTGGTTCGTTATGAACCGGGTTTATGCTATGGCTCCAGTGGATTGAAGCTTTAAGAGCAGAATTCCGAGCAGTCGCTGGGCAGTGCCACTTCTCCTGGTGTATGGACGCCAGGAAAACAACAGTGCTGCGGCAGCACACAGGTCATTTTCAGTTAAAGTCTTCGGTCGCCATGACAGTAGGATAAGTAGCTATTGTCTCACCGCGTCCACCTCCATCAGGTTGAGCTGCGAGGAAGCAGAGAGGAGGCTGCGGGCGTCCGGAGACTCCGACATCTCTGGGATAACACGGACAGCAGAGCTAGCCTGCGTCCCTACGCTGTTCCTCCGACAGGAAGTACATTTATTACATCTTCCGGTTGGCTTTTTCAAAATAAACTTTCTAAACCTACACAACTCACAAAAATACAAATGTAACATGTATAATATTAAAAAATAGAATATAACAGTACAAAAATAAAACTCATGACAGATTTCTAATGCCACTTTTAGATAATTCTATTCAATGTTTTACTTTAAAAAGAAATACATAAAAAAAAAAAAAACTTAGCTGTACACTTTATATAGGCACATATATATATTGGGGTCTTTTTCCTTTATTAGACAGGACAGCCGAAGATAGACAGGAAAGGGGGTAAAGACGGGATGACACGCAGCAAAGGGCCACAGGTCGGAATCTAACCCATGACCACTGCACCGAGGACTCAGCCTTTCTATGTGGAGCGAGCTCTACCAGCTGAGCTAGCAAGCAAATATTAATATATGTGATTGTTTGTGATTAAATTAATTAATTAATTAATACATTTCTGCCACCCTTTAAAGTCTCCATGCCACCGTCTGGACACCCAATCAATATTACCCCTGTGTCTGTTGAGCTAGGACACTTACGAACATCACCTCAACACAAACACATAGCCATAAAAAGTCTCTCATTTGTTCCAATATTATTATCTAACACGTATTTAGGTTAATACTTACAGATTAGTATGATTTTGCGTCCCATTTTGTGAAAGACATTTTCCCATTCATACCTGTCCAGTTGCTTGTTTTATGTGCTGGAGGAGTCATGCCAGGACATATCATGTGACTCCTATTGTGAATTGACCTCTAACAGATGACAATGCAGCGTGGTGGGTGGAGGATGCTAATACAAAGAAAAATAAATATGCATGTACTATTATGCTGTCTGATGCTACCCCCAAATGTAAATGCATACAATGCTTACAATTCTGGATCCAGTGAAAGGAAGCTGGCACTCTTTAGGCATTATTCAAGGGACTGGAGGGGTGGTTCCTGCTTTGGTCACCAGATCAGTGACACTTGCAGCCAGTTGTGACTGATATTTTCAAGCAGCAACAGTATGTGAGCTAAAAGAATGTCATAAATAAAGTGGCTCCACATAATATATGTCTAGTTTGGATCAGACCATTTCTCTTTGCCAAAAATCTGGAAATGGTTATTCATGCATTCATAACAGCCGGTACTGCAATTCCTTGCTTTCTGGCATCAGTAAAAAGTCCCTCTCCCGTCTCCAGCTTATCCAAAAATCTCCTGCAAGGATTTTGACTGAGACTAAGAAACACAATCACATCATACTGATCCCAGTTTCCTTATACTGGCTACCTGTTGCTTTTTGAATTGATTAAGATATAATCACTTACAACACCCTTAGAGGCCTACCCTATGTTCTGCAAACTGTCTTTTTCTTTAATAGATTTGTCGGGGCTTTTATTGCCTTTAATGGATAGTGACAGCTGTAGAGTGTTAGGAAAGGGGGAGGAGAGAGAGGGGACGAACCCCAAGCTGCTGCAGCAAGGACTCAGCATTGGTACCTGGGGCACCAGCTCTACCAGGTGAGCTACCAGGGCGCCCTGGCTCAACTTATAACTCACTTTCAAAAACATGGGTTTTTGAAAGGTCTTTCCTTGATTTCACTTACAGTGGCAAGAAGTAGTATGTGAACCTTTTGGAATTTCATTTTCTGAATAAATTTGTCAAAATGTGATCTGATCTTCATCTAAGTCAAGGGTATTGACAAATTCATTGAACACACTCAACATTCAAAATGGCAGTGGAAAAAGTAAGTGAACCCTTTGAATTAATAACTGGTTGACCCCCCCCCTCCTCCCTTGGCAGCAATAACCTCAACCAGGCGCTTCCTGTAGCTGTGAATCAGACCTGCACATCGTTGGAGGAATTTTAGCCCATTCTTCCTGGCAGAACTCCTTTAGCTCTGTCATTCTTTGGATGTCCCGTGTGTATGGCCCTCTTCAAGTCAATCCATAGCATCTCTATTGGGTTGAGGTCTGGGCTCTGACTTGGCCACTCCAAAAGGCGGATTTTGTTTTTCTGAAGCCATTCTGTTGTGGACTTGCGCTGGTGTTTTGGGTCATTGTCCTGTTGAATCACCCACCTTCTACACAGTTTCAGCTGACCTACAGACAGTCTCACATTATCCTGAAGAATTGTCTGAAATACTCGGGAATTCATCTTCCCCTCAATGATTCAAGCTGGCCAGGCCCTGATGCAGCAAAGCAGGCCCAAATCATGAGGTTTCCTCCACCATACCTTACGGTTGGGATGATGTTTTCATGATGATATGCCGTATCCTTTCTACGCCAGATGTAGCGTTGTGTGTTTTTTCCAAATAGTTCAATCTTAGTTTCATCAGTCCACAAAACATTTTGCCAATACCTCTGTGGAGTGTCAATGTGCTCTTTTGCAAACTTCAGGCATGCAGCAGCTTCCTTCGTGGTGTCCTGCCGTGGATACCCTGCTTGTTCAGTGTTTTACGTATTGTAGACTCATGAACAGAGATGTGAGCAAGTTCCAATGATGCCTTAAAATCTTCGGCTGTCATTCGGGGTTGTTTCTTTACCTCATTGATTGAGTCTTTGTTGTGCTCTTGGTGTCATTTTGACTGGGTGCCCACTTCTTGGTAGAGTAGCAACAGTCCCAAAGTGTCTCCATTTGTAGATAGTTTGCCTAACTGTAGACTGGTGAATTTCTAAAGTCTTTGAAATAACTTTGTAACCCTTGCCAGCTTTATGTAAATCAACAATTCTTGATCATGGATCCTCTGAAAGCTCTTTTTGGCGAGGCATGGCTCACATAAGCTTGTTCTTCTTGTGCAGAGCAAACTCCAACAGTTTGAGGGCTTTTTATCAGTCAAAGTAGCTGTAGTCCACACCTCCAAACTTATTATCTTAACGAGACTCCAGGTGTGCTAAAACCTGACTCCAATTAGCTTTTTTGAGGTCATTAACTCAAAGGTTTACACACTTTTTCCACAAGCACTATGGGTTTTTTTGGCTGTTCTCAATAAAGATATGAAAGATCAAAAAAATGTGTTATTATTTTAGACACATTTTATTTGTCAATACCCTTGACTTAGATGAAGATCAGATCACATTTTATGACAAATTTATTCAGAAAACCATGAAATTCCAGAAGGTTCACATACTTTTTTACACTCTTTGTGTTTTGTAATGTGTTTATGGCTTTTGCACATTTTATTCTCTTTTTGTTTTATTTATGTTATTATTTTAATTATTTAGTTTGTAGAATGTAGAATAAATATGTGAAAATGTTATTCTGCCTGAACAGCGGTTTGCGCCACCATGCTGTCCAACCCTGAACACTGGTTTGAAAATACAGCTGGTTTCTGGCACAGGGCAACGGAGTATGGAGGAATTTGAAATATGGTTCCCTCTATAACGATACTTCTTCCATGTGGTGACAGAGGAAGAGAGCTTTTGGCAACAAGTACTCACAATGAGAAAGAGAAAGCACATCCAGGGAAGATAAGAATGAGACCCAAACCAAATAGAACAGAGACTTTAATGGAGATAAGTTCTTCATTGTCTTTGGTGGCACACTGTCTTCACCAGACATCTTTGTCACACTATCACTCACTCACATATCTAGTGCAAACGAAAACAATAATTGAGCAGGAAGACACAAATATAAAAGAAACACAGAAGATACAGAGGAAAAAGCTGGACCAGTGTTGGTAAAGTCTTTTACAGTTTTTTACAGACGTTCAGTCATCTTATTTGATGAAACACAAGCAAGCATATCAGAGCATGAACTGTATTCTTTTTTACCAACGATGACTTTACTGACAACCCTACTGCACTCTGCTGCATCTGCACTTTAGTACGCTTTTTGAGATGCCCTGTTGACATTTGTATTCATTCATGTTATTGTTGTGTACAGGTATTTCTGTGAACCCATTTACTGTCATTCACATGTAAGACCTACCGTAAGTATAGAGTAGACCAATTCAGACATTCATACAGCTTTTGTACCACTTTATTTTTCCACCAAAGAACCGATAAAGAATTTCACCCACACTCAGATACATTTTTATTGTACTGCAAAGTGTGAAAATGGGAAAAGGTGTTAAAGACATTTGCATGAGAAGACTTCTGCTGCACTAAGAGGGTGATGATAGGAGGTAAGTGAAATGGATGATCATTTATCAGCTATGTTCAGAATGACGCTGTAACAGATAAAGTTGGACGGATGTTGTCACACCACTGATCTCTTTGCTTTCATTTCTGACTAATACCAAGTAACCAACCTACTGTGTTCCTTTACCTGTGACCTAAAGGGACAGCTCCCCATAAAATACTTATTTTCCCTCTTATGTGTATTGCTATTTATCCATTTGGATTGTGAAAACATCGGCCAGAGAGATGTCTGCCTTCTCTCCAGTACAGTGGAACCAGATGGCACTGGGCTTGTGGTGCTCAAAAAAAAAAAAAGAAAAAGAAAAATCTATTTGAAAAACTCAACAGCAGTGTCTCTTCCAGAAATCATGACCTGGTTATTCAAGATAATCCACAGACCTTGTTGTGAGCAGTTTTATGCAAGAACTATTTTCTTTCTACGTATTACGGTGCAGAAGGAAGTGTGCATCCACTCCAGGAGTGCAGGATGTAAACATACACGGCGTCCTCCTCGGCGGAGCTGTGACGTTAGCTAGCTCACCTAGCACCAGTGAGAGTGTGAGTGAACGTTCAGCTGTGGTTGGTGGTTTTAGTTCAAACATTAAACCATAGAAAGGTCACGAATAGCCAAAAATGACCTCCAGCATCCCTACATCCACATTCTGCTGCCTGCCCTTGAGGACTGCTTCTTTGTGGAGTTCTCTCTCCTGATTGGATAAAGAGGGAACAGGATACTAGAAAATATATTCTCTGTTTACTGCAGAACGGAGGGACTGGGAGAGCCAAGTTACTGACTGAACACTCTGTATCAATGATGGCTGTCAGAATGTAAAGCTATTTAACATTTATTTTAACAAAATAAAATCCCGTACAGCACCTTTAATAATGAGAGAAGTAACAGGAAAGTACAGGAGATTTGAATGAATTAATGAGGGAGAACAGCAGTCTGTTTAAAGAGAAACTGGGGGCAACACAGTGGTGAATATTTAATGACTGTTATACTAATGGAATTCATGCTGTGGAAATGCTTTTGAGCTTATCTTGGCAGCCATTATGTTACAGATCATTTATGTCACTCTTTCCTGGTTTAGGACAAGCCTTTATTTGTTTCTACTAATTCTCTGTCTGTAGTTTTTGCTAAAATTGCTTATAAAACAAAAACTGACAGAACTTTGCACATCATTTTAGTCTGGCTTTATAGAGCTGAAACAATTGTATAGTTAACCGACAAAAAAAATTTTTTTCCAGCTATCTGCCAAACATTCACTGGTTCCAATTAATTATGAGGATTTTCTGCTTTTGACATGTTTTACATAATTGACCTTTCCCACCCCTTTTTGCCGTCTATGACAACCACATTTTGAAGATGGTTAAAAGATACAAGAGGCATGGCCTATATATATATATATATATATATATATATATATATATATATATATATATATATCACATCTTCAGTTAGCTCAACTTAGCAAAACACTAGCTAATCTACATTAATCATTAGATTACCTGTTAGCTGGTTAGTTAGCTAATGATATTTCTTTATATTGTACCTTATATTTACTTTTTCACTTAAAATTACAGCTTCATTTTTATAACGTCTTTATTCTCAGCATTATTTTTTTCTTCCAAAAGCAGCCTTAGAACTCAGTTCTCCTGCATTTTGTGACCACTTTAAATGTGCAGAACAATGCATTTACCCCACCGATCATTTTGCAATTATTATGTTTTCAACATTATTATATATATGTTATCATTATTACATTATCAAATACAGTATATTTGCTTTCTTTTATCCATCAACATCTGTGGTTTAGTGCAACAGCAGCTCTTTCACTTCTTATTCAGAAAGGTCATTTTGGTGTTTGTGATGCAGAAAACTCCAAACATACAACAGTATACTTATCTGAAGTGTTTTAATCATTTCTGGACAACAGTGGTATTTCATGCTTTACAGATTATAGATTATAGATTCATTATTGATTTTGGACTCTTCAGGGGGATTGTTGACAATAAAAAGAAAAGATAATAACATCAATTAAATTGGTGAGTTACCTGATTTCCAAAACTATATGAAAATAAGAATAAGGTCAGAATCTGGAATTTTCTTTTATATATATATATAGCTATATATTATATATGTTATTTCTTTCTCCCCAAAGCTATTTTCATATATGCAGATTTCCAAATTCCAAATTCCTTATAAATACAGTTTTACTTAAACAAACCAGAGGCAAACATAAGTGTGTGCCATTTTAATTCTGGTTACACAAATACTAGCCTATACATATTATATTTAACTTTCATATATTGTCATTTCAACACAAATTTCCATGAAATGTCAGGTTGACAAACGTATCTATGAATAATGTGACAGAGTATAATCACTGAAGGTGAAGTTGTTTATGGTTGCAGCAGTATACTGATACCATGATATCCCGTTTGCATTTGCTTATTTACAGAATTTTATTGTATTGGTGATACTAAAAAAAATAATAAACAATTGAATTCGACAAGTAACCTGTCAAACACAACTCTGCACAATATTTCAGACACATTGCACATGTACAGATATACACAGGCTCACTATATTCTACTTTACTGTACATTTTTTATATTTTATTGTATTTCATTCTCTTTCTTTACTCTTTACACTACATGCCCCAGTTCTGCTGTGCCAATTTAAATTTCCCCTACGGGAGATCAATAAGGGAGCATCTAATCTTATCATAAAAAATATGATAACATTTTGTGAAATTACAATAAAGCGTTTTTGTTTTGTTTGTTTGTTTTTATTCCTTTAAGGGTCATTATAATGATATAATGATAATAATAATTGTGTAATACTGTGATATTTTCTAATCATAAATCTCGTACTGTTGCAACCCTACTTGTATCACAACTTTATGGGTCTGCTAAAATAAGAAAAGGAATGAAGAAAGGAATGAGGAAGGAAAGGAGACAAGGACGCCGCTAGACAGTGTTGGGTCGCGGCCCGCTGTATTCCTTCGACTCTGTTCACCTCCATTCACACAGTAAATAAAAGCATGGAGGCTCTGACTCTCGGGATCTAACACCGAGCAGCAGGGGGTAAAGACACTGCCGCATGCGCTCTCCCTTTCACCAAAACACACAGGAAGGAAGCGGGACAGCCTCGAACGCTCTGCCGGTGGGATTTAACTCATTTTACGGGGAAGAGAGGATTGTAGTCGGCGTCAGGAGCGGGGCAGCCCGCCGTGCTGAGCATGAAACGGACGGCTGTAGTGGCCAGGCACAATGGCCTCGTCTCTCCGCTGGGGAACAACAACTCCGGGGCTTCGAGCATCGTCTCACCGCCCCAGCCGAGAGCCACTAGTGTCTGCGCTCCTGCCGACAGCGGTGCCGGCGGTGGGATGGACGGCCTGCTGGATTTCTCCAAAGGCCCCGTCGTCAAAACCGAGCTGGTGTGCAAATGGATTGACCGAACTTCTAAGAGACAGAGGCTTGGGCGGACGGCGACATCCGTCTGCGACCAAACTTTCAGCTCCATGCACGAGCTGGTGGACCACGTCACCACCGAGCATGTAGCAGCGGGGCTCGAGACCCTCAGTCATGTCTGCATGTGGGACGAGTGTCTGCGCGGCGGGAAGGCGTTCAAAGCCAAATACAAACTCATCAACCACATTCGCGTGCACACCGGGGAGAAGCCTTTTTCATGCGCATTTCCCAACTGCGGCAAGATGTTCGCACGCTCCGAGAACCTCAAGATCCACACGCGCACGCACACTGGTAGGGTTTCATGATTGTGTGAGCACACGCGGAGCGCTGTGATACGGCCATTAGCAGGTTTAAATCCGTGTCAACACAGCAGCCCCCCCCTGACAGACACCGAGAATAAAGAGGTTAATAGAGATTGTTCCCAGTCTGCTAGGAATCCCCTCCATGTTTACGTAGGCTCGGTTCAGTACCGATTCACATCCGCCCTTCGTTGCCTCCTCGTTTCCTAGAGGAAGCACGGGTGGAAACCGCAGCTCACTCAGGAGTCATGCAAGGTGACAGGAAGCAGCACAGAGCAGCTGGATTATGGGAGAGGATGGGTGCAGGAATCAGATTGATTAGATGTACACAGCAGAAATGAGTGGGCTGAGACACACATGGCTGTGATTATCATTTTAATTACCAGTCTGCATGCAAAGTATTAGTCTGCAGGAGTTGTATTGTTTTTCCCACTGACCCAGAATCAGTCACATAGAACTATTCTACGACAGCGTGTGCAGTTTGAGTAAACTCAGCTGCCGGATTTATTAAAAAGTCATACTCCATTTATATCAGTGAGGCTATCGGTCTACCCAGTGCTGCCTTTTACGCACTAGGGCTGCACAAGTAATAGGGCCATGTGCAATATCGAAATAGATAGATAGATAGATAGATAGATAGATAGATAGATAGATAGAAATTTACAGATCACAGAAGCTCCATGTTTTTGATAAAGGTGGAATGTGTGACAAACAGCATTACACTGTAAAACCTGATGAGTTAGTTGAACTCAAACTGTTTGAGGAAGCCTTAAACAGTTTAGATGTACAAGTAACTCATTTATTGTTAAGCCAAGGTAAATTAAGTTAATTATACTTACTAAAGTATACTAGTATAGGCATGTTATTATATTATGCTGCATTTCTTCAAACTTATTTAATATGTTTAAACCGAATTTAGATGAATAAAGTAAGACTAACTTAAGTGCATGTTCTTTATACAAATGTTACCACTGAAATGTAATTTATTCAGTTTTCTTCCACTAAACCAAATTATTAGATACGTATGATGTATAAAAAACAGTAACTCAATTAATCGATTATTAAAATGGTAGCCAATTAATATTGGGGCTTTCATTTTTGTAATGATGTAAAGTCAACTTAAAGAAAATGAGTCAATGGAACAAACTGGAATTAAATCACCAATACTTAAAATACTGCACAGAGTTATTACTCCAACAGTTCATTTTTGAGTTGGGTGTTAATTTACTTCTTTTATTAAGACCTGCTGTTAGAATTGACAGTGTATAATGAAGTACTGTAGTGCTGCAGAGATATCCTGGCCTACAAAACATGTTTGTTTGGTACAGAGCCCAACACGTCATCATGATTTTAATCAGGTTTTTTTTCAGTGAATATGAAATTGCTGATGCAATAATGATCACTCCTACTAATCATGAGTCATATCGCAAAATCTGTCAAAATAATGGCAGTGTGATGTTTGTACCATATCGTGCAGCCCTACTACTTACAGAGCCTTAATGCAGGCTTTATAAGCTGCATCTAAAGGCTTCATTAATGGTTTATTAGGCCTGTCTGGTAACTATTTTTAATGTCCAAGAAAGAATTGTGATAAACAATATTTTTGGCATTTTAAGATGATTCTGACGTAATGATTAGCATAATATCGCAAAGTCACCCTCTGTAAGAGTAATGTAGTTTTAATTCTTGAGAATATTCATACATTGGAATGTGATACAGTTTGTAATAGTTTTTTTTGTGAGATTTTGTTACGACAGTGTGAGCAGCACAAATCACGTGGAATCTGATCTTTTTAATTCTGATTTGGGCCACTTTCATATGTGATACAGATCAGTTTTTTTTGCAATGCGACCTCAGTGTGAACAGCCATATCCAAATTCATGTGACTTTTACGTCACTCCAGATCAGTGGTTCTCACCCTGGGGGTCGGGACCACCACTAGGTGTTGCCAAAGCTTCATGGGGAGTTGCAAGGCCTTCTTGATTTTAAGGGGTGTATGAAAACTTTAAAAATATACCCATAGGCCTCTGTCTCAGCGTTTTATCAATCTGTGAAGAAAACTGAAAGAATTTGTTTGCTTAGAGAGAATATAAAATAAAAAGAATACACAATACAGACAGAGAATTGTAAAAAAAATATATATGAAAGCTAAAAATTCATCCAAACCGCTCGTTTTCCATAAACTTCCTGCAGTTATTGTGTTCACTATTTGGGTTCATTGTACAATTTATCGGTAGTTCTGTACTGTTAATATCCATCAATGTCACTTAGTGGTCACTCAATATATAGATAAGGGATCGCTTGAGGAAGAAGGTTGTGAACCAGTGCTCTAGACTGACATTCGTCATGCGGGTCACTTCAGGACTGTGACCTGTTCACACTGGAATCTGATATAGGCCACATTTAACAAATAATATGAACAGCCAAACAGAAAAAAAAAAAAGATCGGAGCAAATAATCAGAATTGAGCACTAAGGCTCGCAGCAGCCTCAGTACTGAACCCAAGCCTGTAATGGAGCGGGGAAACACGGCACCACGATTCCTAAAATGTTGGTGACAATTTTATGTAGACAAACATGTAAACACAATGGGCAGTACCGAGGCCAGAAAAAAGATGGCCGCGGTCTGACAAGTCGATAACGTAATTATGGTGACAGGCCTGTGATTAACAATATTCATGCCTTATAGAGCAGTTAGTCAACATCAGTAAGAGCAACTGTTGGGTCACCAGGTTGTGAACAATCCCTTTGACCAGTATCTATTTGTATTTTTAGGGGGTCATTTCATGGTTTTGTTAGACAGTGTGAGAGAAAGGAGAGATGACTAAAAAGACCAAACAAGTGCATTGACGGAGGAGGATGAATATCAGCCAGGGGGATTTTCCCCAACTCAGAAACCCAAAAGTTGTTGTTAACGGCTAGAAACAGTACTATATTATTTAATACATTAAATAAACCCATTAGTCACTACATATAACGTCATTGTAAAGGGCGCCTCATTAGAAAGTGGTACCATCTATCATGTAAATGAGGTGGACAAAATATTAGAAACACTTTTCAGCAGGCCCACCAAAGGACAGCCTGCAAAATGTAATGAGCAGAGTATTTATAACATCAACAAGGTTTGGTTAGGTTTAAGTACAAAAAACATCTTGTATGTTCATGAATACATATAATGTAGATAATCTGTTAAACATCAGACAAAGCGAATGTTACAATAACTCTAATAAACTTTGACTATCCAGATAAGGTGTTACCAGACTGGCTGGTACACAGCTTTAGTATCATTTAAATTCTTTAGATATTTATATCTCCTTTATAGTATTTTTCATAAGATACATCCCCTGTTATTGTTAAAGCTTCAAGTAGCACCCCCAAATGCAAAGACTAATCAGAGGAATTCCATCTCGCTGTCGTTTTACTGAAACTGAATTGTGTTGAGTTTGAAAACTCAACCTATAATCTCTTCATTTCCTCTGTAATCATTTCAGTTATTTCATGTATTTTTCTCTGCAAACATTTGACAACAAAGGTGCTATATAAAAGTTTAATCATCATAATGACTGTTATTATACTGTTGGTATCGTAGTAAGGATTTAAAAAAATGTACTATTCATATCACTGGTTGACAATGTTTGAACAGACAAACATGCCATCCCGTGTCTGTTTCATCTACAGTCACTCATATAAACCAGAAATCTCTTAATATTTGAAATGGAACAATCCCGTCGTCTTATTTTTTTGTTCAGTCTTCTGTCTCCTGGCGTGTTCACTTGTCATTCACTGCTAAATGAGTCGATATTGATATGGTTGATCCCTTACTCCAATCCAGTTACTCCCTTACTTACTGGAAATTAGCAAGCATTTAATAATCACAATCAAAACAAACAATCAAAGTTAATATGAACTGCTGGTAAAAGAAACACAATTTATATTTTGATATAGATTGCTGTGGGTATAAAGGAATACATTTTTTTTGCATTTATAGTAACAATTTAGATGTGATCATAAGGCTTTTTAAACTCCTTTTTATAAAGGAAGGAAAGTAAAGTTTGAGTACCTTGAAAATGCTTGAAAAGTGTTGAAATTTTACTCCTAAAAAGCTGTATGAACTGTGGATAGTTCAAATTGTGCTCAGTTGCATTAAAGGTCCAGTGTGTGAGTGTGTGAGATTTAGTGGCATCCAGAAGTTTAGCTGCAGATCGCAACTCACTCTTCACCCTCCCCTCCCCTTCCATGCGCAAAGGAGAAACTACAAAAAACCACCCCTATCTAGAGCCCATGTTTGGTTTGTCTGTTCTGGCCTACTGTAAAAACATGGCAGTTCAGCATGGCGGACTCCGCCATACTCTGTACCCTCTATCCCTCTGTAGATAAAAACGGCTCATTCTAAGGTAACAAAACATATAATATAAGTATTATATTCCCTTTCTGCCACTAGAGCCTCCTAAATGTTATCCACTGGGCCTTTAAATAAAGAATCATGTTTGTGTATGTCTAAATAGGGGTGAAGAAAATGTGGTCCCTTCGACAACAATAGTTGGCCCATTCTAGACTGTAATAATGGTGACTGTGATATTTGTGTTGCAGGAGAGAAGCCGTTCCAGTGCGAATTCTGTGAGCGACGCTTTGCCAACAGCAGCGACCGAAAGAAGCACTCGCAGGTCCACACAGCCTCGAAGCCCTACGACTGCAAGGCTCTGGGCTGCACCAAGTCCTACACCCACCCCAGCTCCCTACGCAAACACATGAAGGTCCACGTCAAGTTGTCACCTACCTCTGAACCCCAGGACGCGTACGACTCCATCCCTCATCAATTTCAACAACCTCATCAGGCTCTCCTTGAGCCCCTTGACCTTAAAATTAACCGCCTCTCTCCGTCGCTTGCCAACAGAAACGCTCACTTTCCTCTTCTGTCCAGTCACGAATTGGACATTAGCTCAGCTGCCGAAGTGGACCATAAGCTGCTGCTGCGGAGTTCATCTCCAATGGCAATGCCTCTGGATCTCTCTCTGTCAGGCCTGAAGAGTCAGCTGGCCCACAGGCAGCAGAGCGGCAGGACCCCACGGAGGAGCCAGCGCTCAGTCAACCCAGCCTTACCTCAGTTGTCTAACATTAAGGAGTGGTATGTCTGTACCAGGACTACAGCGCCACACTTTCCTCTACTTCACCCAGACCACATCAAATCAGAACCTAGTGATGATGAGGAGTACGTCACGTAGGATGGAGGGACTGGTGAATTTGGACACAAAGAACAGACATCATACATTGTCAGACCCAGACAGGCCAGAGGATGCTCTGTGGAATCATAGTTGCTGTAATTTTCCCGAACCAGCAGTGTATGGTTCAACATCAGTGGCCCTTCTGAGATGGAGAAGGCTGTGATCAGATAAGACTGGAGGTTTCACTCCATCTCAAATACAAAACTCAGCTTGGAGATCGTCACCATCTGTGGACCCAAAGCAGTGGCTTAAATGTTGCCAGAAGGGAAAGAGGAATTCCATCATTGTGGTTATCAAACAAAATGTTTGACATAACACTGCGTCAGTGTTAGCTAGCTAACCTGAACTAACAAAGGGGATGACGTTGTACAAATGGACCAGGGAATGTTGGTGACTGCTCTGTCCTGCTGTTAAAGAATATGAAGAGGGTGTTTGTACATGACGATCTCTCTAGAGAGACACATTATTGATCTAAGAGCTCCACCTAGATGCAGCAATTTCAAGGGCTAAATTGACACTGATGGAAAGTGGTTAATGTTAACCTGAGCTCATGGTAGCACTGTACACATGGTAACACAGCAGGTCCAAAACAGCAGGCACATGGGGCGGAGGCGAGTGTGTGTCTGTTAAGGCCTTGGTATGCTTTAAACAAACTAGTTTGTACAAGAGGGCTGTGTATTGGCGAGAATCTGGTGACACGATATGTATCACAATACAAGGGTTTACGATTCAGTAGTTCTGATATATTGAGATACTGTGAGGAAGGTCATATATAGCGGCTTTTTTTTGTGGCTTTATGCCCTAATGGATAGTGACAGTTGAAGGTAGACAGGAAAGCGAGGAGAGAGAAAGGGGATGACATGCAGCAAAGAGCCAAAGGCCACAACTGAACCCAGGCTGCCGCGGCAAGGACCCAGGCCCAGCACACCCCACTAGGCAAGTCATAGGGGCGCCCCATAATTGCTATTATTTAAATCAAATTTAGGAAAACTGCACATAGCATAAAGGACTCACCACCATAAGAGTAAAAGCGGTTTGGGGTTGAAAGACAGGAATCGATACAGATACAGGTTGAGCCGGGCAGGAAGCCACCGACACAGGAACAAGAGAAAAAATTTGGTCAGGCTTCAAAATAAAACACCCTGCGCAGACTCCCTATTGTTAAAACAGAAAAAAGAGAAACCATTCAATTACATAGCCTATTAACCCATGGTAGAAGCGAGGGACGTCAGAAAATAACAATACACTTAAGTATTGAGTATAATCTTGAATCTTGTTTTGTGATATTTTATTGATTCTCAAAAGAACTGTATCGGTCAAGGGGTATGAAACTGGATGTAGGGACTATGATAAATACAAATGCAGGTCCTGCTGTCCAGACTCTTTTTTTTTTTTTTTTTTGTCAGATTTTATGCAATGGTGGTGTGTTCTTTATAAAATGACAGTTTTACTAAAATTAGATTTCTTAATCACAATTAGGCATGGGACAATATGAGAATTTCATGTCACGATAATCCTGTTATTTAATAATTGCGATGTACGATATCATGACGTAAAAATGAAAATATACTCAATACTTTTAGCAGCACTAAAACATACTGGAAGCACTTTACCTTGCATTTTGAATATGGTAAATGGATCTGTACTTGTAAAGCCGACCACTCAAAGTGCTTTTACACTACAGCCACATTCACCCTTTGACACACATTCACACAGCGATGGCAAAGCCCATCTATCAGAAACTAACGCATACTTCGACATATGGCAGGAGGAGCCGTGGATCGAACCAACAACCTTCCCAATTAGTGGATGACCCGCTCTGCCTCTGAGCCACAGCCGCTACATATAGCACATATTTATTCACACATATTTATTGCATCACCGATAGGAACCTCATTTCCTTGTTTTTTCTTTATTTTGGAATCTATCTCCACACATCCGGTTTAAGCTTTTTTGTGCGAGCCTTCAGCCATGGTGACAGGCTTATGATTTTGGAATGTCTGGAAAGATGCTGGCTCCCCCTTGTCCCCTTGTTCACGAGTATCACGTTGATCATGATAATGGAAATTCACCACAATAAATTTAACTGAGTGGTTTTTATCGCAATATGTGATAATATTGTCCTATCCCTAATCTATAATATATTACAACCACTGTATCGTGATACGTATCGTATTGGCAGATTCCTGCCAGTACACAGCCCCAGTAGAAGCACATGCAAAAACATAGAAAAATGACTGAGTCAACTAAAGTATACAAAATCAGGTAGGAAAAACACTCCACCCTTCCTGGCGGGATATGAAGCTGCGCAGAGCACGAAACAAAACCTAGTAGAATCAAGGCGTCGGGCGATCCGACAAGCACTTTGTTTGAAGCAAACTGAGGCCTTTACTAACAACCATTGGTAGTAACTTGTTCAAAATTGTTTTATGTGATCACAGGTCTAATCCCACACAGCAGCCAGCAGTGAAGCTGCCGTTTGGAGACAGTGGGACTGATCTTGCTTTGTACTGATCATCAAGTGTCTCCTTAACCTCATCAATTATATGGACCTTTCAGTGGGTTAATCACCTGCATCTGTTTACACTCCATTTACGATTTAGTCAAGACCCCAAGGTTACCAAAATTCCCATATATGTCATACCCATATTCCTTTAACATTAAAATGTGTATTAAATGAAGAATATAGTATTTTCCCTTTGATTAAATGGTGCAGCCCTAAAAAGTGGCATCTTGGATTTGAATATTAAATCAATGTGAGCATCCTGTGTCAGTGAATCAAGGAAACAAGCGGGGTGTATTGTGTAAGATTGTGGTGCTGCTTGTAAGAAATCTATGTTTGACGTTACTGCATTGAGAATACTTTTAAGCTGCAGTAACTTTTACGAAAATAACTATTTGTCATATCTAATGGCATTTGCAAGAATCCACAAATCTACGAAAACAACCAATCAGAGCCAAGACAGACAGTTCGTTGTTGAGTCTCATTCGCAGGTCGTTACATATGGTGCTATCCATTTGTCTCGTGAACTTGGAGCCCGAGTTGTTCTGCCGCGAGAACGTGATGTCATTGCCTGGCTTGTACCACTTATAGAGTTCCATTTGTCTTTGGGCATTACGAGTCGGAAAGAAGTGCAGCAGCTGTCTTATTAGTGCAATGCATAAATTTGGTGACCGGACTAAAGCAGCAATGTAAACAAGTGTGTAAGAGCATTTGAAATCGACATTAAAACGACCAACGTAGTACAAATACAAAGAAAACACATCTTAATATGCCATCTTTGTTTTGCCGGTCGTACGTGCCCCCCCCCGTTTAGCTCGGTGTACCCCGAGCTGGATGGCTGAAATTCCGACCAAAATGTCGCAAGATAGCTGCGAGATTAACATTTTCCAACTCGGGTTTCCGAGTTCACGAGACAAATGGATAGCACCAATACAAACGCTGGGAGACTCAGCAATCAACTTCAATCCACCAACCAAAAGTCTTTTTCTATCTCTCTCATCTCTGATTGGTTGTTTTCGTTCAGGGCCGGTGGATTCTTGCAAATGTAATTAGGAGCTCTAGGAGGAGCCAGAGGAACCTGAGTGTTTCACACATTATCTGTCTCATGTTCTACTGTCAGGATATAGTGAAAGTTCCAGTGAATATTTTGATATAAGTTACTTACTGCAGCTTTAACTGGTTAATAATCAACTTTACATACTCCACTTGCAAGGAACTGAAATTGTTTAAAACAATGACACAGGATTTAAATCCTATTTAACGTTAATGACAGTGTATTACAACCCAGGGGCCAGATGTGTAAACCATGAATACGCTAATTTCCACACATACACATGTGAAGCATAGCTGTGGGTGATATAATAAGGTGTCCATGAAATATAAGTTGAGAGACCTTAGAGTAAAACACTGTTTGTTTTGGTTGTTATTTTGCAGTCTACAGCGTTCTGGAAAGTGCCACTCAAAGGCGCATTTATAGAATTTATCAGTGGTGAATTGTGGAGCACTTTGTAAAGTCTATTTCAGTGTGAGCTTTTTAAATTAATCATTGGATCATACTCCTGACGCCTAACAGTTATGATTGAGATATCACCGCGCCGATGGTTTCCAGGTACATGTGATGAATTACTGATGCGGGCGCTATAAACAGCCACAGCTGTGCATAATGACAGCTGCTCTGGTGCTGTTGGAGAACCTCACCGATGTGACACAGTTGCTGAAATTGCACTTGATTGACAGGTCTAATGAGTGGTGCACAAGTATGAGGCTTGTGCACATACACCCACTTCCACAATGATTGAGATTTATAAAACAGAACAATGTATATGTGTGGCTTTATTAACCCATTAATGTCCACAGTGGAATTTTATAATTTCCTTTACAGCACTTAAAGGTCCAGTGTGTGACATGTATGATGATCTATTGTCAGTAATGGAATATAATACTCATAGGTATGTTTTCATTAGTGTATAATCACCTGAATATAAGAATTGTTGTGTTTTTGTTACCTTAGGATGAGCTGTTTAGATCTTCAGTCCGCCATGTTGAACCACCATGTTTCTACAGTAGCCCAGAATGTACAAATCAAACACTGGCTCTAGATAGTAAGAAAGTTATTTTTCATAAAAATTACCTACTGCAGCTTTAATATAATATTTAACATGTTAAATGAATGTGATTTGCGTTGTTTTAAAAAAATTCAACTTTGTCTACCAATGGCATGATAAACATGTGACATGTGGCCATAGAGTCTGTGTTTCCACCTGTAGCAGACAAACGTCTGTTGGGCTTTCCTTAACATACTAAATATAGTTGTCAGTCATTAATGGGTTAATATACAAAAAGAAAATACGTATGCATAACTCTGTCTTTGTGCTTACACACAGATTTAAGCGTGTTTAAGTTTTATGCATGTGGCCCCAGGTTTTACAACCAGGGTACAGCTGGAAGTGAGCTCACCTGAATGTCTGTCCCTCCTTGCACAGGACCATTGGGTGCACAACCACAGTAAGTACAGGAGGTCAAAGTTGAAGCAGGAAGTGGGTCTGTAAACTGTGATGGATGCTAACAAGGGATAGTTTGGGGAATAATTTCACTGTTCATCTTTGTTTTCTCCTCCAAATAAGTTTGGCTGTTTGTTGTTAACTGGGTGAGAACATTATAACAACTAAGAGGAATGATAGGAACAACTGAACTGAATAATACCCAAGTTGAATGAAACAGCAATCTCCCTTTAAACAATATAAGTGATTTGAGAATTGTGTCAATTGTATGTAATTAATCTGGACATTTGTCTAATTTGCATGGTCAGCACAGTGGACAGTGGCCTCATCACCTCACAGCAGCGAGGTCTAAGGTTTGAATCCTGTTAGGGTTTTCTCTCACACTCCAAAGCAGTTCAACTGCAATTCTGATTAATTGGAATCTGAATTGCCCATATGTGTGTGTGTGTGTGTGTGTGTGTGTGTGTGTGTGTGTGAGTCTGCATTTTATTTCCGCACATGTGCTCGTCTGCTAACTTCCAGGTGTCGTCCCTGTGTCCCTGCACAGGATAAGATAGTATAGGTGATGGATATTCCTGGCATGCAGCCACAAACTGAGAGCAGAATAAAATCCATTGGAAGTCAAGTGTCAAGAGTGTGAGATGCTGCCTTCTAAATAACATCAGCTCAAAATTATTTATAAGTGATGAATTTTATCATTCCTTTCTTTTCATTATTTCCCCATATTAATGTCTTCATTTTTGAAGCACTTTGTTAACTCTGTCTATAAATGACTCTTTCTAGCATTCAGTAATGATGACTGAGATATCCCCTTGATGATGGTTCACAGTCACATGTGATGAATTATAGGTACAGGGGCTATAAATAGCCACAGCCGTGTGTGATGGTGTTTGAGGACCTTGCTGGTGCAACCTGTGAAATGGCACTGCATTTTTACTGTTCTCCTCATTGACAGGTATAATAAGTGGCGGAGCTGGCTTCAATATTGATATGCAAACGGATGATTGAGATTTATACAGAATCAGGCGTCAGAAAACGCAGTAGAAGTGCCCTCCTGGACGCCCATGTGGTAGATAAAACATGATATGGCGTCCTCTACAGTGTGTGATAAAGTGCTCTCTAGGGTGCCCTTCAAGTGGAGAAAATGTGATGCAGTGCCATGTAGGCTGCCCTACATGCTAGAAAAGGGTTTGGAACTGTTTAATCATAAATGCAGCACTTCTGTGCACTGGTCCACTTTAGTCCACTGCATTCTGTTAACTCCAGTGAGATCTTTCCCAGCCTGACCCGCTGATATAGCAACACTTAGTCACAATGATACTAATGATTAGTAATTATTAATAACTTAGTAATTAAGTGAATAAGCAATGTAAAGAACATCATTTCGTCTTTTTTTCGTGCTATTCATATTAAATAACGACAAAGTTTTTATCTATCTACGTTTTTTGTCAATTTTACTTTCAGTATTCAGTAATGATTTTTTTAAAATTGCTCTGTGGAAATAGGTGTTAGGATGTTCCTACAGCCTCTGTCCGTCTTTCCTAATAATAGACCTTTTTCACAGCACACATGTGTTACAATGATTCTAATTAAGATCTTGTTCCATTTAGTGTGACATGGTGTAAGTGTGAGTCTTACCATGCACAATAGCAGCACCCTGACTCTGTTTGACATTGGTGATGAAATAGTAAGTTAAACACAGGCGTTACCCTACTATTTCATGTCAAAATAGCTGCTGTGAAAAAAAGGTATATAAACAAGGCTCATCGGGCTTGATGAGAACCAGGTTTAATTTATGAGTGAAGTGTGACATTTGACACAAATCTGACCCCAGAGCAGCTCAAAGGAGAGTACTAGGAAGCTTGTTTCTTGACAGACAATGCCCCCAAAGACAAAATAAACCCGTTTAGATTCTGACTGGCACGTCTTCTTCTAATGCATTTGTAAGATAGATAGATAGATAGATAGATAGATAGATAGATAGATAGATAGAAACGGTTTTTATAATCCTCCCAGGCCTGATGTATGAAGCTTTTCAATAAAGTTGAGAGGAAAAAAAATGTGACTGGAGTTACGCCTCTCTCTCAGCCACTCCGCTCTCTCCAAAGCTAAAACGTCATCACGTCAACAGCGTGCTCGGTTGACGGTCACAGTTCAGCAACATGGCGGCACACAGGCTCTCTCCATCACTGAACAGGCTGCTGTTTGCTGTAAAGGTGAGCTATCAGTGGCTCTGCGGGACAGTCTGACAGCCGTGTGTTTAACGTTACCGACAGCATGCTGATGGCGTGACAGCTGTTAGCATAGCCCCGTAGCCTGCTAATGACAGCAGGACCCTGAACGCTCTTGACGGAGCAGGCACAAAGATACACACACACACACACACACACACACACACACACACACACACACACACACACACACACACACACAGTTAGTTGATAAGAGCTAGTAACCGGTCTCATTGTTTAAACTGTGGAAAAGCCTCCCTGCCAGAAGCTGAGGTAAATGATGGTGTCTGGAGTTTCTTTTGTCCAACAAAGTTTAACTTCAGTCAAGTGTAACTTCGACATTGTCTCAGACAGGCTGTACTCCAGGTGGGTGAATAAAAGCTATATTCTGTTTTTAATAAATGTATTTCAGCGGCCGGAAGGTCAATACAAAATGTCTAACGTATAAGGCGTCGATATTATCTACCAAACAACCTGGACCGTATTTCTCTCTGACTGTGGCTCCATCTTTCGTTGACTCTGGAACAGCATTTTCCAGCTGAGGGACTTTGGAAACTAAAGGGCCACTGTTGTGTGTCAAGTTACACATATCATATATCAGTCACATATTTATTTAATCCTGTTTAAGCTATTGTAACTGTATGTGTACTTAATGTAAAGTTTATACAGAACACACTTTATGTTTAAGGATTATATTGATGCCTAATTGACGAGAAGACAGTCGACAAATACATTCTTCTTTGTAGTTGCAGTATCGTGTTTTTACGGACATGTTAGGAATTGTTAAAATGTGTATTTCTTAAAGGGAGTTTGGTGCAGGGAGCTTTTAGTGGAATTCAAACCGATAAAACGTATCATTTTTTATGTTTTGTCACCACTGCACAAACACTAGCTAGAAAGTATGATAATGTTGTCTCATGTTGACTGATGTTAATTATTAGTTTGATCAGTGGTTTAATAATGTATGTATTGATTACTGATCTGGCTAATAATCAACTGGTCCTTAGTTTCTAACAGTAATGTGCTGTAAATGGTTGCCCTTTGTGCATGTGTTTAAACTACTTTACTAATTAAACATGACATGATTGTTCTTATGGTGCTATTAATGACTCCGGATGAAACGATGAGAGTTGTGAAAGATCTTGTAGTGTGTGACCCCAGTTGCTGATCAGTCAAGCAGTGTGAAAACCACAACAACTTTATGACTCCAGATTACAGGACTGAAAGTCTAGCAGTGTATCCAACGCTTGAGGGATGCAGACTGCTGCTGCAATGATTTTGTTCTTGGATCCTCTAAAAGGTCTCATATCTGTGGGGTGGTAGCCAAAAAGGTTCTGTTCCATTCAGATCAAAGAGAGTCAGGGTGCTGCTATTGTGCATGTTGGCTCACTGGAAAGGCTCTGCTACACTAAATGGAACATAGCCTTGATTATTATCATTGGTAACACCTGTGTACTCTCTGGTGCTTGGTCATTGTTTTATTAGCTCTTTGGTTGTTTTAAGTTTGAAAAATAACAATTTAATTTAGCTTTCTTCACGGAAATGGACAACATGCAGAGATATGGTAAATGGACCTGTACTTGTAAGATATTCCTTTATTTAAGATAAGATATTCCTGTATTTGTCCCACAATTGGGAAATTGTAGAGACTGTAGATACAGGCCTACTATGTGTATTTTTTTAAGTTTTCTTACTGCACTGCCTCACAACAAGCCTAATTGTGTAAAATAAAGAATAAAATGAAGTAACTAATGTAGTGTATCTCTATGTGTTTTGCAGTATGGCTCATTCAGGCCCATGTGCTGTGCAGTGCACAGAAATGCTCAATATTCCACCGTCTACAACACCAGTGAAAAGGTAACACACATGCACTGATCTGCAATCAGCTGTTGACACTGAAGACTGTGAGGCAAGATCTGATTTATATATGACACTGAAGACTGTGAGGCAAGATCTGATTTATATATGACCGTAATGAGAAGAACTGCCTTGCTCAGGAGTTACGGGTAAAGAAAGTGTTTGTGTTGCTGAATTGACAAATTTCTGTGTCAATGATAAACAGATCTGTCTGCCGTTTCCTTCCACAGACCTTTGATAAGATCCTCATCGCCAACCGAGGAGAGATTGCTTGCAGAGTAAGTCTGGCTGACACACAGATATATGTACTGTAAATTAACTGCAGCTGAAACAGTTGTTAGAATACTGTTGAGCACCTAAAGACACTCACTGCAGGTTCTTATGTTATCATTTTACTTCTTTTCCCCTATTTTGTTTATTAGACATTCCCACATTAACTCGCAGGAAACCAATACCATACCAATCAATAACAGTGTTGTATTTGACTGGAGAAACATCAGTATTAATGTTGTATGTTTTTTCCATCAGGTGATCAAGACTTGTAAGAAGATGGGCATCAAGACTGTAGCTGTACACAGTGACGTCGACTCCAGTGCTGTGAGTCACCCTGTCTGCTCATCCAGATTTAGATTCCTGTATTTCCTAGAAAATTCCTGTCAACATATACTCCCCTTTTCCCAGGAAAAGTAGCAGTTGAGTTTTAGCCTGCATGTTATTTAACTGAAAACTACAAAAACACTAAATCTCATTAACGCTGTCGTAGTTTAAAGCAGCTATAACTTTCAATATGTGTTGATTCCGGTGGCCCCTATGGACAAAGGCCTAACCAAAACTCCTGGAAAGATTTTATGTTGTCCTGGAAAGTTTTAATTGTATTTTACTCCCTCACTTGCCTATATAAACCTGGAGGCATATTTTGTTTGAAACTTGACTGTTGGTAGGATGAGCTCCATGAAAACTGTAGTTAAATGTGCCAATTCTAGGCCTAGTAGTAAATTCTATGACCGTTTGTGAACAAGTGCTGTTCTGTTGAGCGAGTACTTTGCTGAAATGTACCTTTTACACAAGTATGAGTATCATCAGAGTCAATGTGTCAATAGCCGTACTTATAAATATAGCTTCTATAAAAAAACGTGTTTGGTAACTAATTCTCAGAAGCTCAATTCTGAGGCTATTCTGTAAATAGTTTTCATACAATATAGCATCTTCTCACAAATACATATCAATTTCTGGCTTCACTGACACTGGGTAGGTAGGTTTGGATAGCTTTTTTCCCATAATAAAAATCATCATTTAAAAACTGCATTTTGTATTTACTCGGGTTATCTTTCTCTAATATTAAAATTGTTTGATAATCTGAAACATTTAAGTGTGACAAATATGCAAAACAATTAAGAAATCAGAAAGGGGGCAAATACTTTTTCACAGCACTGTATGTTACTTTCATCATCATTTAGTTAGGGTTAAACAGATACAGATAATGGTGTACCCGCTCCCTCGTCAGCACTGTGCAGATGGAACTGCTGTGTTACTCTGCAACATTGTCTCTGTTGAAACCAAATGTGTCATATCACAGTGTCTTTGCATTGCACTAACTTTCTACTGTTGAGATGACATCTGGATTTAACTCCCCCTTGTATGCGTGTGTCTAGGTTCATGTAAAGATGGCGGACGAGGCAGTGTGTGTTGGCCCCGCCCCCACCAATAAGAGCTACCTGAACATGGACGCCATCATGGATGCCATCAGAGCGACTGGAGCACAAGCTGTAAGCATTAATAATTACATTATATGATAGACACTGTGGTTCATCTGTCTACTTGATGCATCATCAAGACAACACATAGCTCCTGTAAACAGTGAATCATGTGGCTGCATCTCATTTGTATAGTCATTCGTCAGTCTGCTGATATGTTGTTGGTGCCGACTCCATCCATGGTTAAATAATCTCAAAGCCATAGCATTGTGTTTGAATGCCTTTGAAATGTTTCCTTTCTCTGAAGGTTCATCCTGGTTATGGGTTTCTCTCAGAGAACAAAGAGTTTGCAAAGCGACTGGTGAGTAATGCATAGAATCAGGTACACACTCATTTTCTCTTGACACACACACACACACACACACACACACACACACACACACACACTACTACTATAGTACTACTAAGTTCAAAATGAATTTGATTTGATTAAGTTGATTTATTTTAGTCTCATTAACACGAGTATTCACACTTATCCACTGAAGGTGTGTTAATGAATGATCAACAAATAGTTAATGAAAGAATGAAAATACTGAAATACAGTTATGACCTTTTGAATTTGGGGCTCTTCTTGGACTCTGGATTTAGAGCCTGTGTGTAACTGTGGAGAGTAAATGGGGTGAGATTATGTAATTGTGACGTAGCCAACCACTTCTGGTGTGAAACACATCCAAGCTGATTCTGTCATCTATTGTGTAAGCAGCAGCTTTTTGAGTGCTAACAAGCATTTCCTTACTGAAGCAGCCATGCTGACTGTGTGTAGAAATGGGTATTTGACTAGCACGTATTTATTTTCACAAAGATTTAAAAGCAGATTTAAAGTTTATTCTTGACCTTGGGATCACTGTGTGTGACAACACAGTCCCAACTCACCATGATGAGATACATCTCCCATCAGGTTTTTACCATACTGAGATTGTTCTTGAATGTTAAAATAAATGTTTTTTGGATCTTTGTTTTAAGCAATAATTCAGCATTCCTGACCCTAGATGTACTTAAAGCTGCAGTAGGTTATGGCATTTCCAAGAATCCACCGGGCCTGGACAAAAACAGCCAATCACAGCTGAGAAAGATATAAAGACGCTTTGAGTTGAAAGCGTGAAGGTAGTTTAGTGTTGAATCTCATTCCCAGAGTCCCAAAGTATCTGTATATGACACCCTGGGAATGAGTGACTATTGTTTTACTATCACTTTAAATGACCAGGCTCAAACTTTACTGCTGTTTACAGTAGTAGTTAACTAAAACATGGACAATAAACAGTAAAGTATTATGTTATGAAAGGTGGATCATAGAAGTACTAAATGCCAACACTGTGTGTGTGGTGAGGCTAGTGAAGCTAGCCCAGCACGGGTGTGGGATTTCAGGTCTTTGTTCTCTCTATGGTATTATGATAAGTCTGATATGGTAAATTTCATGGTATTGTTGTTTTGTTGCTAGGCGGCAGAGGATGTGACATTCATTGGCCCAGACACCCACGCTATCCAGGCTATGGGGGATAAAATTGAGAGCAAGCTGATTGCCAAGGCTGCCCAGGTCAACACTATCCCCGGATTTGATGGAGTCGTCAAGGTACGGGCTCACATACAAAACTCTTTTTATGGGCCACTATTCCCTATTCACATAATTCTTTAATGTATTTTTAAATTATGGTGGCTATAATAGGCAATAAGAAAGTGTGCTTAATTGAGTCCTGTTACGTATACAATAATTTTCAGTTCATTTTACCAGAAACAACACATTTGTTGTAGTTTCACAGTTAAGTAGTACGTGAAAAATTCTTTTCACCACTGAGATCCATCTGAGAAGAATCACTTAGTCCATCATCCTAAAAATGTTATTGCACTAATTCATTTGCTTAATTGACCAATTCCATGTCTAATAAAGCAAAATCTTACCTTTGGTTGTTTGTCTTTCGAGTGCAGCTTCTCCTTTGCCTTATTCTGGTGGCAAACCATTAATTGGGCTCATTACTGTCCCCCGAGGGCTGGAAGGGGGGAAAACACCCACCGAATCTTTGGTTGGTGGGAGCAGCAGTTGTAGTGGGTGTTTTCCCCCATTGGTCATGGCAAGAATGAGCCCATTCCACACTCAAAAACAAACACACAAAGGTGAGAGTTATGCGTTACCACAGGTGTTTTTAAACGGTATGATACGGTTTTAAAAGAGAGAAGACTGTAAGGTTGAGGAGTAATTTGGTTCGGCAAATGCACATCCAGATTCTCTGATTTCAGCTTCTCAAATGTGAAATATTTTCTGCTTTCTTTAGTCCTCTATGACAGTAAACTGAATATCTTTGGGTTGTGGACAAAACAAGACATTGGAAGACGTCGCTTTGGGAAACACTGATCAACATTTTTCATTTTGTGACAGTTTATCGGACAAACAATTAATCAGTTCATCAATAAAATTATCAACAGATTAACCAATAATGAAACTGATCATTAGTTGCAGCCTTGGTGACAAGCCAGTTCAAAGCACGGACAATATCTGCCCAGTTGTCAGTAATGCTTTGGTTAATGATCAGTAACCATAAACCCCTCTTCTGTGTCAGACTGCTGAGGAAGCTGTGAAGATCGCACAGGACATTGGTAAGTCATAATTTATTAACACATAATTTATTGTCTCTTTACTCGACATAGAGTTGCAGTTAACGTTTACAGGCCCCTGTGAGGGACATTTATGTCAAGGCAGTTTGGGGATTTTAATGATTTCCACAGCTGTTGTTTTTCTGTGGCAGAATATTTGGGAAATGTACTCACAAGAAGAAGGTTTTCTGAAAATATAACAAAATCTAATGAGTCAAAATGTACATCCAGTACAGTTAGAATTTGGTTGTATGCTCTTTTCACCACAATCAACCACTTTTGGTAGCCTTGCCTGGCAGAATTCTTGTTGGATCTTTGACCACTCTTCTTGGCAGAATTAGTGAGTCCAACCAAATTTGTTGGTTGTCTTTCATGGACTTGTCTTTTGAGGGCAGTCCACATATTTTCAATGGAGGTTAACGTCAAAACCTTTCCAAAAGCTTAACTGTAGCTCGAATTAGACCTCCCAAAACCACTTTTGATGTTTGTTTAGGCTCATGGTCCTGTTGGAGCACACGGTTGAATCCCAGATTGCATGTAGCTGGAGTAATTACTCCGTCCACTTCATGCTATGCACTAGCTCCACTGGCAGCCAAACAGCCCTACCACCACCATGCGTGACAGTTGGTCCAATATAAATATCTCTATCTTTGTTTCATCTGACCACAATACTCGCCACCAGAAGGTTTTTGTCTATGTGATCATGAACAAACTTGAGCCAAGCTTTAAAGGATAGCCATGAAATGATTGGCTGGGGTTATTACAGGCCTGCAACAGCTGCAAATTCCAGATTTTCTTCTTCTTTTTTCCAAAGCATTTGATTTATTGATCGCTGTGGGGATGTAGAAAGAAGTTCAACAAATATAACAAACAAATGCTTCTGAAATACATTTCCAACCCTAGATTCAAAGGTCCAGTGTGTAATATTTAGGGGGATCTATTGTCATAAATGGAATATAATATTTATAGGTATGTTTTCATTAATGTATAATCACCTGAAAATAAGAATCATTATATTTTTGTTACCTTAGAATGAGCTGTTTATTTATTTTTTTGCCCTTTTATTGCCTTTATTTGATAGTGACAGCTGGAGATAGACAGGAAAGGGGGGGTAGAGAGAGGGGATGACACGCAGCAAAGGGCCACAGGTCAGATTTGAACCCTGGGCCGCTGCAGGACTCGGTCCATGGTCGCCAGCTCTACCAAGTGAGCTAACCGGGCGCCCAGAATGAGCTGTTTTTATCTACAAAGGGAGTGGGTCCTGTTAAACCGAAGCCCAGAATGGACAACCACATACTGGCTGTAGATAGGGCCATATATGTCCCATAGCGACTGTAGTTTCTCCTACACACTTGGAAGGCTGAGTTGTATTCAGTTGGTTGCAATCTGCAATGTCACCACTAGCTGCCACTGAATGTTACTTTAAGGAAAAGGGGCTTTCCTTTGCAGAGGAGCAGGAGCTTCTTGTTTTGAGACATTCTTGACTTCTTGAAATCTGTTCCATGCTTTCTAACATCTGTACTGAGCCTTATGATGTGTGCAGTCAAACAAGACCTATTTTTACAGAGAAGTCAACAACTGTAGTAAATCATTATCACCGTCGAACAAGTTAAAAGGCATCTCATAATATTGTCATACTGTCATGTTTTCAGAAGACCCACAAGAATGTATAAAAGAAACCAAACCTATTTGTTTTTGTTTAGTTTTTGTTAAGAAGAACACATATCCCAATCATAAAAAAACAGTTGGGAGATTAATGATTTAATGATTTCTATCTGTCATGGCATAAATGTTGCTAAATGTCTTTACTTTACATGATTCTGTCTGCAAGTAGTGCAGCTGTCTGACACTTGCATATACTGCACTGCAGTGTTGAATATATTTATATACTACTGTATATTTTAGTAGTTGACTTTTAAACAGGGTGTCAGTGGGGTCTTAAAAAGTCTAAAATCCAATAAATAAGACAACAAGACAGGGCTTAAAAATGTATTGGATTACTGAAGTTGATGTTATAAAGTTGAATTTTTCATCAAGACATTCAGTGTTAAACAGGCTGTAACAAATACAAAAACATGACATGGAACAATACTGATTTTCTTTCATATCCTTTGTACTTTTGCCAGTATGGATGTGAAATAAGTTTTAAACCTGCAGAAACCCTGGTTAAAGTGCTCTGATGTATATGTATCTGATTACTGCACGTACTTGTGGTCAGATTTGTGTGTTTGAAGCAAGGAAGAGGTTCCCTTTTACACATTTACACTTTATCTTTGTTGTTGCTAGGCTACCCAGTGATGATCAAAGCATCCGCAGGAGGAGGAGGAAAAGGAATGAGAATATCTTGGAATGATGAGGAGACAAGGTTTGTATTCCTGTTTCTACCACACCCTCAAGCTACACTCTCCTCCCCTTTTTTTTCAACACCTTTATGAAAACAATGTTCGAAAGCTCGATTGGTATTGAACTATCGTATCAATAAATTATGTCTCTATCGGATTACTGTGTTGCAAAATGGCTGCACTTAATGAACAAAATATGCTGTATGACAGAAAAACTGTTGTTTTACCACTAATGAGTATGAGTCTGTGACATTTTATGATGTACACCACCCTTGGGGATGTGTAACTATTTAGTTTTTACTCAGAGTACTGTTGTAACTTATTTCTGTGGAGCAGCCATTTTTATTTTAGTAACACATAAACCCCACTTAATAATTTCCGTTAAAACTGGGCTAAGTTTGAACTTACACACAGCTGGTGCAGCGGGCTGCTGGACCTCAGATACTCCTGCAAAACCTTCTGTTGCAAATGACTACAACCACATACAATCTCTACTCCTGCAGGTTATTTTTGGACTTAAACTGTCTAAATCCTTCAAATGATATCACTGCTGCTCATCCAACAACTCCAGTTTAGTCTCCTTAAAACTTACTTAATCTAGAAAATCATCTCCTTCAACAGTCTGAACTGCTGCTTCACCGTCTGCTCCTAAATCTAAGACTTCAGATCATTTTCTTTCTTACTTCTGTTATTATTAAAGGTCCTGTTTCTACTTTTACTTTTTACTCTTAATATGAGCCACTGGAAGAGACACACAAAAGTTACAGTGGTTATGTTTATATATAGTATAGTATAGTATAGTATAGTATAGTGTAGTGTGTGTATATATATAAATATACACTGTAACTTTTGTGTGATTCTACTGTTACAGGGAAGGTTTCCGCTTCTCGTCCCAGGAGGCAGCATCCAGCTTTGGTGACGACAGGCTGCTCATTGAGAAGTACATAGACAACCCCAGACACATAGAGATACAGGTATTATAAATATATATAGATGCTGTATATATGTAAGTGTGTGTATATATGTATAAATACCCACTCACTTTTTTCAAATTGTTAATTTTCATCAGTCTACACTCAATACCCCATAATGACAAAGAGAAAACAGGATTTTAGAAATGTTTGCAGATGTATTAAAAATAAAGAACTGAGATATTATAAGTATTCAGACCCTTTGCTATGACATTGAAGTTTGGCTCGGGTGCCTCCTATGTCTCTTGATCGTCTTAGAGTTTAAGGTCTAAATACTACGACAGAGTATTATGGCCAGGTGTCAGAAAAAAAATTAGAGAAGGAACATTTTTATTTTTTATTTTGTCATTGATGGTCGCGTTTCTCTCTCCTCTCCTGCGGGACAGAGAGCAGGACTCAGCTCCACACACTCATAGGGTGCATCCCAAGTTTCTTAGACTAGTAGTATTTTATTTTCAACCGGTAAATTCCGGTAAAAATTGGTGGCTATATGTTGCAAAGTATCAGGACCTACAGTTTGAATTAATCTACTTCATTAACATTAGTTGTTTCAAGAATCTGTTGTTCTAAATATAAAGTAAAACAATCAAGTAAGTCAAATGAAATCAAGTAAATTCCCATTGCCTCTCATCGACCAGAGAGAACTAAAGAATACTGTGTGCTTCTTGTAGGTGCTGGCTGATAAACATGGTAACGCTCTGTGGCTGAATGAGAGGGAGTGCTCCATCCAGAGGAGGAACCAGAAGGTTGTGGAAGAAGCTCCCAGGTCAGTAAGAGACTGTTTGCTCTTGGCAATCTGACATTTAGGAAATTAATATAGCAGCAAAGAACTATATGTTATGTAAAGATATAGTTTAGTGGTATATTATGGTGTCCTTATGACTGGTTATTATTATATTATGTAAAATGCTAAATCAGTACTAAAGAGATGGGGGGGCTCTGAATCCTTACATTTGTGACTTTTTGGTACGTATCTAAAATTTGTATCAGTTTGCACCACTGAGGTGAGTCCAAGTGTCTAGTGTCGTGTCCTCTCCAGTACCTTCCTGGACCCGACGACACGGCGGGCGATGGGTGAGCAGGCAGTGCAGCTGGCCAAGGCTGTGCAGTACTCCTCTGCTGGCACCGTGGAGTTCCTGGTGGATTCTAATAGGAACTTTTACTTCTTGGAGATGAACACACGACTGCAGGTCAGTGTAGGGTAATGTACATGTCTGGGTGTAGACACAGTTCTGACAGTTGGGTTCACACTATTTTTTTCTTTGAGTAAGTGCTTATTCCTTTAGCTTTATTTTCACTTGGAAACACTCAGGTGCAGAGTTCCTACATACTTAAACACCATAAACACTGATTTCTATTATCAGAGTTTTATATTTTTTATACTAGAAACATCTGCCAGTGCAAATTGGTGGGCCAAGTCCAGAGCCCACTTTGGGCAGCCCTGCAGTAGAGAGATGACAGGAGATGAGGTGTGCTTTCAACCACATTTCATGGTCTCCATCGGTGTATGGCGTTTAAGAAATCCACCTTTAACCAATCAAACTTAATCTGCTGATGAAGACCTTAATATGAGGCAGAAATACCTATAAAAGGCCAGTAAGGGTTCCTTGAGTTTCACACTCTAGCGCACTACTAGTTTGCTTGCAAAAACCTGTTTCTCCTCTGTTTAACCTTTGACCCCAGGTGGAACATCCAATCACAGAGTGTATTACTGGCCTGGACCTGGTGGAGCAGATGATCAGGGTTGCCAAAGGTTACCAACTGAAGCACAAACAAGAAGACATCCCAATAAACGGCTGGGCCATTGAGAGTCGTGTCTATGCTGAGGTCTGTCTGTCGATATTGTTGATACGTCTGCACTTCATCAGTTGACCATGACGTGGAGTAAAAAAATTGTGCTCACTATTGATGAGGATGTCCCATGTTGTGCGACCAATCAGTGGTCTGCAGTGTTTTCACGTCACCTTTTAGTATCAGTAAGATAAAAGTCCTCAATTTGAAACATTTAAACCTTTTGTTGATGTCACATTCTGCTTATTGTACTGTTTCCTCTGTCGTTTGTTCTGTTAGGATCCTTACAAGTCTTTTGGTCTTCCCTCCATCGGACGGCTCTCTCAATACCAAGAGCCAATCAACCTCAGCAAAGTAAGAGAGAGAGAGGGTGTGTGTGTGTGTGTGTGTGTGTGTGTGTGTGTGTGTGTGTGTGTGTGTGTGTGTGTGTGTGTGTGTGTGTGTGTGTGTGTGTGTGTGTGTGTGTGTGTGTGTGTGTGTGACGCACAACCACCATCATCGATCTACATAACAAATTAGAGTTGCATCACAGGAGAGCATTCAGTCCTCACTCACATACTATAGTTTGTAGTTTCATCTTTTTTTCACAGTTCCTTGCACACATTCCACTCAGTCTTGTTGACACCTCATTTGCAGCTGGTATTAAAATGTGATCTGTATCCGGACATGTTATCCAGGATAAAATTTTGCATTAACTTGGTATTTTGAATGAGTTCTGGTTTTCCTCACTGAGATCGCGTCTCTGTCCTCCAGAGCAGAAAAGTCATTTGAGTGGCAGCAAATCAGTCCCAGACTCCCTTAGAAAAATCTGAATTTTGTGAGTTGTTGATTGCTGGGAAACTTGATAAACTTTGTGAAATACTGTCTACAACAAATTTCCTCCCCCCCTTACAAGTTCTGATAGATATTCCTGTATTATTGTAAGAATATTGTGTCTGTTTGTCTTGGTGTGTTAGCTACATTGTGCTAACAAAGAGTTATGGATTGCATTTAAATCATTATTTCTTTTAAAATTTTTTACTCGGAACAGAATATTCTTTTTCCGCTTTTTTTTTTTTTTTCCCTCAAATATTTTAAAAAAGATACACAATGTACAAACATTTTTGGCTAATTGTCGTTATGGATTGCATTTAAATCTACCAAGATCTGAACACAATGTGGGCCGGACTACCTCCAGGTAAGGTCAGGAAGATCTGATCATGACAACATGCGTTTTTCCTTGTCTGGATAATGCGTCCAGATACAGATTGCATTTTAGTACCAGGTGTAAATGGTGTGAGTAATTGGCAGTTGTCCTGCCAATATGAACATTTTCTCCTTTGCTCTTTGCATTGTCAGGTCCGTGTAGACAGCGGCATCCAGGAGGGAAGTGACATCAGCATCTACTATGATCCCATGATCTCAAAGGTCAGTGTATTAAATAAAGAATTGGGTTTTGTAAAAGGTGTGTTTCTTATTTTATTTGATTTTCTTGCTTATAAAATGCCCCCATTCCATAAGGGTTTGTGGTTTCCTCTGCTATCTCTTTGTAGTTGGTTACCTATGGAGCTACAAGAGCTGAAGCCCTCGCCAGGATGGAGGACGCTCTGGATAACTACGTCATCAGAGGTACACTGAGAGACATGTCAGCTGAGACACACTTTTTAAATGGCGTTTTCTTTTTTCTTTTTCCTCTCTGTAATGAAGTTTGCTAATCTTCTCTCCAGGTGTGACCCACAACATTCCCCTACTGCGAGAAATCATCACCCACCCTCGCTTTATCTCTGGCGACATCAGCACCAACTTCCTGCCGGAGGTTTACCCCGATGGCTTCAAGGGTCACCAGCTGGAGGCAGACAAACGCAGGGAGCTGTTGGCCTCGGCAGCGGCGCTCTACATCACCACTCAGCTGCGTTCACAGAAGGTCCTAGGAAGCCTGAGGTGAGCAGGGTGCCAGCAAGCACATAGACAATGTTCAAGTGCTTTAGAAAAAATATTATTATTACCCTGTATGATTGCTATAATTATGTGACCTGGCTCAGGTTAAACCCTTTGCAAAAAATAAACAAATAGATACAGACAATAAATGCCATAGAACTTTCTTTTATTATCTAGTTTGACAGTCAGTCAAAATGCTGACATTGCAAATCATCCCCCCTAATACCATAAAATGACTCTGAATATCAGGGTAAGCCAATCAGAGTAGGGTGGCTCATGACTTTCCTATCCTGGGAAAAAACAGGATGCTGCTGGGAAATAGCAGGGTCCCTGTTTTGGAGCTGGTAAATTATATGATATTGGATCAGTGTATAGACTGGCGTACTAGCCAAGACCCACACTTTATAGAAAAATAACAATAATGGATCTATTTTTAAACATTAAACATACAATGGGAGATTACTAAAAATAGGTGTAATGTAGGAGGAACTTGGGATCTAACAAACGACACAAATACATCATGGTTCACAAATGCAGCCTTTTTTAAACTTTGTAGAGGCTGCTTATTCTTGTGAGGCACTGCAAGTGGACAGTATTTTTATCCAATCTGAATTCAGTATTGAATCCACTTAGGCTACGTTGGCACTGCAGGCGCAAGTGACCCAAATCAGGTTTGTCTCATGACAGTGAGAGATGGATTCATTCATTCATTCATCACAAAAGTGATTTTTGTCAAAGATGACAAAATGCTCTGTATACACAGTAAATAAATGCCCATGAAATGAAAGTAGCATATTGACCATATTTTAACTTTCTGATCTTATTTATGTACTTTTAATTGGAGAATTCTTCAGAAGAAGAAGCTCTGATGCTTTGGCCCCCTAATACTATAAAATAAGCTGCGTGTGTGTTGCAGGGTGCCCTCCAGCCCCATTGAATGTAACCACTGGGAGCTGTGTGTGGAGCTGGGGGAGGGACACCATTCTATGGAGGTTACCAAATCAGGAAATGTTTATACTGTGAGTATATAATGTGCATCCATGAACGCATTCAATATAGCAGTTTCCCTGTATTGATATCGAGTGTATCAAGCATTAGGCCATGCTCTAGTAGAAAGATAAGAAAGGAGTTATTAAAGCTGTAATCCATGTAGACAGTTGATTAAAAACATTATCCTGTCATCAACTGTGTCAAACCCAAAGCTCACGCTCCAGAAGATATAATGAAGATCAGACAGCAGGGACTCCAAAGAGGATGTCTCTGAGCCATTGCAGGCATCAGGACAGAATAATGTATGTTTGTGTCTGTAGGTGGAGGTGGATGGAGGAAAGGTGGAAGTCAGTGGACAGTGGAACCTGGCCTCCCCACTGCTGCCCCTCACCATTAACGGCACAGACAGGATGCTACAGGTAACACACACAGGTTTAAGTAGTTCAATTATGTTTTTATTTTTACCTCATAATATTAAAAGAAAAAAAGGTCAGTTATTTAGACTACAGATGTATGGCAGATGACCTTTTGTAAAAGGCATCTAATCTTATCATTTTATTTTCAGTGCCTGTCCAGAGATGCTTCGGGAAGGATTGTCCTGCAGTACCTGGGAACATCGGTAAGGTTGCATGTCTGCTCGGCCCTGTACTGACATAATCACACTGGTCCTCACACTATCTAAGTGGGCTATAGTGCAGAGTGTAGTGTGAAACATTGTGGTCATTCTTACCTCGGCCAGCAGCATCAAAGTAGGTCACTGGATCACAAGAGTCCAACAGGGATCTATAGTATGAAGAGTATACATTACCGACAGCTATCATAACTGCGTATCACCGTGTATCATTCATTCTTTTCATATTCAATATAGAATCCAAAATTTAAAAAAACAATTTGTGGGTACCCTGGTAGCTCATCTGGTAGAGCTGGCACTCAATGTACCAAGGCTGAGTCCTTGCTGCAGCAGCCATGGGTTCCAATCTGACCTGTTTTAATATTTTATTTTTATATTTTACGTGAGCCTTTTTCATGCTGATCCCATCCACAGCAGCACCATGGCTGTAGCCAGCTATGAGGTCACCGAGGTCCGGACCTTGGTAGTGTGTCCAGTGATTATAACCAAAATGTTTCAGTGGTAACTCATTTATCACTGTAATTCACTTATCAATCATACAAAATACCTCTCTTTTTATTATATTGCAAATCTTATTTCTTATTTTACTCTAACTATGGGTAAATTCCTCATATAACCCCAGCTCAAAAAATCTAAACTTCCCCTTTAAAGCTACTTGCTTTTTACTGTCTTTTTACTTGTTTGATATATTTTTTATGGATTTTTTTATGGTTCTTATTGTGTAAACGGTAGCACTGAAAAAACGCTATTTTGTCCGTGTTTACTGAATATTGTGTATATAGAGAGAATGACAATAAATTCTACCGTGTATCTTGTACCTTGTACTCCCCAAGACCTGTAAAAGACTCTGATGTGTGGACTTCCCCCTTTTACCCAGTGATTACACTCTTTATTTTATCAGGAGCCATTTCCTCTCAATCACACTGCACTACAAGACACCTCCTCCTTCTGTTTCTCATTGTTTTGTTTATTTTTTTTTAGTTTAAGCTTCGCGTTCTGTCCAAGTTGGCTGCAGAGTTGAACTCCTACATGCCAGAGAAGGTACCGGAGGACACCAGCAGCATCCTGCGTTCGCCGATGCCAGGCACAGTGGTGGCTGTGTCCGTCAAGCCTGGAGATACGGTAACACATCCCAATATGTAGAGGTTTACAACACACCTACAGAGAAGACCTGAGGCAGTTCTTACTCACTGCATGTGGTGTGTAAGTAGGAGGTTGATTACAAGAGAATTATTCATTACATTTAACACTAAGGGAAGTACATTGTCATAGTAAAAAGTGGTAGAATCCAGAACTGTGTAGGATTTCTATCCACTTAACTTGACATGCCCAGTGACAGACAATACAGAAAACCCTGGTTCCAGTGAAAGGAATGCTACAGCCAACAGCGTTATTTATTTTAGACAACAGTGTGCTTCCAACTTTGTGTCAAAGGTTTGTCCTTGAGAGACTACACCATTGTTCTTATATAGTGTGTGTGTGTGTGTGCGTGTGTGTGTGTGTGTGTGTGTGTGTGTGCGGTTATAGGTTGCAGAGGGTCAGGAGATCTGTGTGATCGAAGCCATGAAAATGCAGAACAGTTTGACGGCTGTGAGGCAAGCAAAGGTAAGCATATGAAGTACTGACAGTGGGGCTGTGGTTATTATCGTCAGTAGCTAACGGGATCTAGTTCGTACATTGTAATGTGTGTGTCACTTAATCAGCAGCTGAGATCAGTGCATCAACACTAATGAATATAAAGCAGCAGCACCCAGTCCACAGAATACTGATTGGTGCAGTTACTGGGAGTAAATTAATAATTAATCATGTATATTAGACACATTTATTTAACTGAAACAAGTAATGGAGCATAGTCTTTCAGTTTGTGGCCTTTATCAAGTGTAAATGGGATATACTTTATTGGCCTTTAAAGTTGCTGTATACGACTTTCAGACTAGATGTTGCACTATAGCACCAGAATCTCAGACCGAAAAAAAAGTGAGCGAGTGCTACGGCCCACCAGACTCCATTGACAAAAACACAAATTTTACCTCCCAGATCATAAAATACACACACTATTCAAACTCAACAGACACAAAATAAAACTCATCAAAACCTCTGAAAAGTCCACTGTTCCAACAATCAAGTTAGAAGAGAAAATAGCTGCGGAACAGGTTGCTATGACTACAGTGTAATGTTAGCTAATGCGCCCATCAAAGTACGTCCACTAAAAGTTGTCTGACAACATTATGGAAAGAATCCCTGCTGAGATAGACCTTTTGTTTAAAATGGTAAATGGACTGTACTTATATAGCGCCTTTCTAGTCGACCCCTCAATGCGCTGTACACTACGTACCACACTCACCCCATTCACACACATTCATACACTGATGGCAGTGGCTGCCATGCAAGGTGCCAACTGCTCACCAGAACGGAAACTAAGCATTCACACACAGTTATACACAGACCATCGGGAGCAATTTGGGGTTCAGTGTCTTGCTCAAGGACATGCAGTGAGAGAAGCCGGGGATCTAACTGCCAACCTTTCGTGGACGACCCGCTCTCCCTCTGAGCCACAGCCGCCCCTGTTCAACCAAAAACTGCTGTAATATTGCTCATGGTTGGACCAGAGTAGTAAACATTGCTCAGGGATCAGCCACAGGTAAAGGGAGTGTGATGTAATGATAAATATTACATAGCAAATAGTTATTTTGATGTTCTAAATGTTGTATTTATAACCTGTGTGTGTGTGTCTGTGTGTGTGTGTCCTCCAGGTAAAGAATGTCCACTGTAAACCTGGGGAGACGGTGGGAGAGGGAGACCTGCTGGTAGAGCTGGAATAAAACAGAACCTTTGACCTTTTGATGTGTGACATCAGCACCGGGATGAGCCTTACCCCTCTCTGAGAGGAAGATCCACACTGGCAATCAGACTGGACAATAACAGATGTGTGATTTATGTTGCCAGTGGTCAGTCTCCACAGTGGGCCCCCCTTGCAGAGTTTAGTTCCCCTGATGGTGACTCAGAGCTGAGCTGTATCAGCTGTGTTACAGTGTCTTCTCCACATGTCAGACTCCTTTGTTGTCTGTCTCGGACTGTCGTGAAAAAACCCTTCCGTTATTCTTCTCTGTTTTATGTGTTTTCTAGTTCATTTTTCTTATCAAGTAATTTCACCCACGAAATAATGATTTTCTAATTTTGTCCCTGTGGTGTCGGGCCTTGCAGATAATTGTGGTTCATGTGCCAAGGTTTTGAGATATCTACATAGGAAATGTCTTCCACCACTACAATACAATGGAAGATGTGGGCCTTTGATATAAGCTGCTGTTGAGTTTTTCAAATGTAGTTAGTCAGATATCTCAAAGCCTTATCTGAGAACCAAAACAATGTGCATAGCTCAATACCACTCAAGGTAAGTAGGAAAAATATCTGCTGTACTGTTTTAATTTTGTTAGAACTGACACTCTACATACTACCAATAAAGTGCTCATTCTTTTCTACACACAGTAAGTGACTGAACTGCTGTTTGGATACATCAGAAACAGTTAAGATAAGAAAAGAGATGCCGCAGTATGCTGATGTGAATGAATGTCTGTTTTAATTACTCTTTAGGCTGTGGACAGACAAGACTCACTTACAGATTGAGGACAAACTAAAGGGAAAGACCTGAATAAATGAGTCAATAAACAACAGTTTGGTTAGGCTGTTTGGGGTTTTCGTATATAAAAATCATGGTTGTACTGAACTGCAGTAAAGTTGGAACCATAGTAAGGTAGACAACGAGCTACAACCCAGTTTCCATCAAAACGACCCGTCCTCTGAGCTGGTTGAATAAATTTGGTCGCCATGTTGGCTTCACCTTGTGAGACCGGTGCGGAGGGACCGTCTACAAAGTTCAACATTGAAAAGAGATACTACAAAAAATATTTAATAACTCTTATGCATTGTAGTCTCACCAAAATCAATTTACAGTCTCTTCTTCTTGTTACCGTCACCTTCTGCTCCGAAATGCCAATCAGAAAAATAGACTTCTAATCTAAATCTCTATAATAATCCCAAATAAATAAATAGTACCACACATACAGAAACACACACAAATCTAACCTATACTTTGTCCTCTGTACTTTACCCCACCATCTATTCTTGTTTATTCATTATATCCTATATAAAACTCCTGTATCCCTTTAAAAAAGGCCTACAATACCCTAACCTGTGCTCTCACACATGCTCAGTAGTTCTTTTAATGTGAATTCCTGTACCCCTAATTCCTTCAATTTTTCCTTTTATCACCCCTCTCTCTGTCCCATACGTCCTACAACTCAGAACTACATGTTCCACTGATTCCTCTTGCTGACCTCCCTCACGCAACCCTGTCTGTTTCCCTACTACGTTCAGTGTTTTATTTAGTGCTCATTCGTCCACTCTCATTTCCCATCACCCCTACATGTGCTGGAACCCACAGAAACTTCACCTGACCTCCCTGTTTGTTGTTCTAGTGACTGATTGAAGAACTTCTCATAGTACGTCCTGATAGCTGTTTGAATGGAATGACCCAAACCTGCCAGTACAGAGGATGTATCTGAACAAATTAAAACCTACTTTGTCTAGTATTTTCTATCCATTTTAATGGAACCCATACTGCCACCAATACTGTATAAACCCCTTTCTGCCAAAGAAAATGGTTGATCCATTACACCATCTGTATGCTCCCTCCTGTGCAACACACCTGGATGCTGACTCATTGTACTCTCCCTTCTCTTTCTCCCTTCTTCTGACATTTTCAGAACTATGTACTTGTAATTGTAAATAACTTGGCCATATCCCTATTGGAGACTTCTGTTTCCTCCTCAGATGTCATAACTTTTAATATTTATTTCATTGTTGGGTCTTGGTCAGAATTAGTTCTCTTTTTGATCAGAAGATTGTGTCCAACATATACGAATTTCTAAATCCAAATTAGGTCTAAAAGTTATTCTCCTTCAGGTGGAAAAATAACAACCAGGATTCATCAAAGTTGGCAGTAGATTAGAGCTTTATTATCTTGACAGACAAACAAAGCCCGAGCCAAACCTCCCAAAGCTTCTCCTTATATACTCTTGCACTCTGTCACAAGTCCAGCCCATCTTCTACCTTTCCAACCTATGACATAATGGTGTAAATTCCCTCTGGAAAGACCCTACATTTTTAACTTTTCGGTTCTACTAGTGTCTTATCAGTCAAATTATCCTGCACCTGTTGGGCCCATGCTCCATTCTACTGGTGTCTTGCTCGCCTAATTATCCTGCACGTGTAGGCCATGACATTTTCTTTTTTGCTCTCCTTTCATCAGGATTACACCATTAGAATCTACTTAACTGTTCTTCTATTTTTTTTAAAAAACATTTATTACCTTTTTCTTACACCATTATGTAACAGATGTCTTTTACTGTATTTTTAAAAAAACTTTCTAAACTTTATGATATGATAAGAAACTTGTGTTGCAAACACACACATACATTTGGTATAATCAGTGCTTGTTTTTTTGCTACAACTACACATTCTATATGTTTCACACATTAAATCAAACTTTTACTAAAAGACCATGGTGCTTACTACTTCATCAACAGTATTTGTGCTCATCATGAAATCATATAAACTTAAAACATAATGCCTTCATTAACAACATAATGCCTTCATTAACATCATTGTGAGCTTATATAAAATCTATTCTACTTAACACTCAAAATCATTATTACTTAAAACATAGTGCTCTCTACTTAATTTCCAGTTATCTGTGTGAACAAACCATAGTGCTTACAACATAATATCCAAACTTTTGTGTGATTATTTGATTACTAACTTATAACATGCACTGACCTAAGATAAATTTTATACTACATCATCTATTTCTCCAGAGGTGTCAGTCCTTGTCATTGTTCCCTCACTCAACATCTGGAATTTATCCCTGTCAGCTTTTCTGAATACCCATTTTGGGATTCCACCACCTGGTCTCATTTCCACTCTTTCTCCTACTGAACATGAGCCTGGATAGTGATCGCTGCCTATTGTTGAAACTGACCAAACATCCCAGTTACTAATTCCAGCTAAATGAGTGAACCCTAGTGTTATATTTAATGCTGATTCAGGACCTGTTGGAATGTTTGTCCTGGTTCCTCTACCATCATTCATACAGACCAGATCCCATTTGATATACCACCAAACTATTCAAAAGTTTGGGGTCACCCAGACAATTTCATGTTTTCCATGAAAACTCACACTTTTATTCATCAAATGAGTTGCAAAATGAATAGAAAATATAGCCAAGACATTGACGAGGTTAGAAATAATGATTTTTTATTTGAAATAATAATTTTGTCCTTCAAACTTTGCTTTTGTCAAAGAATTCTCCATTTGCAGCAACTACAGCCTTGCAGACCTTTGGCATCCTAGCTGTCAATTTGTTGAGGTAATCTGAAGAGATTTCGCCCCACGCTTCCTGAAGCACCTTCCACAAGTTGGATTGGCTTGATGGGCACTTCTTACATACCATACGGTCAAGCTGCTCCCACAACAGCTCAATAGGGTTGAGAACTGGTGACTGCGCTGGCCACTCCATTACAGACAGAATACCAGCTGACTGCTTCTTCCCTAAATAGTTCTTGCATGGTTTGGAGGTGTGCTTTGGGTCATTGTCCTGTTGTAGGAGGAAGTGGGCTCCAATCAAGCGCTGTCCACAGGGTATGGCATGGTGTTGCAAAATGGAGTGATAGCCTTCCTTATTCAAAATCCCTTTTACCTTGTACAAATCTCCCACTTTAACAGCACCAAAGCAGCCCCAGACCATCACATTACCTCCACCATGCTTGACAGATGGCGTCAGGCACTCCTCCAGCATCTGTTCACTTGTTCTGCGTCTCACAAATGTTCTTCTGTGTGATCCAAACACCTCAAACTTAGATTCGTCTGTCCATAACACTTTTTCCAATCTTCCTCTGTCCAATGTCTGTGTTCTTTTGCCCATCTTAATCTTTTCCTTTTATTGGCCAGTCTCAGATATGGCTTTTTCTTTGACACTCTGCCTAGAAGGCCAGCATCCCGGAGTCGCCTCTTCACTCTGGACGTTGAGACTGGCGTTTTGCGGGTACCATTTAATGAAGCTGCCAGTTGAGGACCTGTAAGGCGTCTATTTCTCAAACTAGAGACTCTAATGTAATTGTCCTCTTGCTTAGTTGTGCACCGGGGCCTCCCACTTCTCTTTCTATTCTGGTTAGTTCTCTTTTTCTGGCCATTTTGAGAGTATAATCGAACCCACAAATGCTGAGGCTCCAGTTACTCAACTAGCTCAAAGGAAGGCCAGTTTTCAGCTGTGCTAACATCATTGCACAAGGGTTTTGTAATCATCAATTAGCCTTTTAACACAATTAGCTAACACAATGTACCATTAGAACACAGGAGTGATGGTTGCTGGAAATGGGCCTCTGTACACCTATGTAGATATTCCATTGAAAATCAGCCGTTTCCAGCTAGAATAGTCATTTACCACATTAACAATGTCTAGACTGTATTTCTGATTAATTTAATGTTATCTTCATTGAAAAAAACAGTGCTTTTCTTTCAAAAATAAGGACATTTCTAAGTGACCCCAAACTTTTGAACAGTAGTGTATACAACCCTGATTAGGGTTGGTTAATACTTCTTCCCATGTCAGTCCCACTACTCCTAAATGATTCACTGCTGCTTTGACAACCAGCTGGATTTGATCCTTTTTTTCACTTTACTTCAGCTGTACTGTTCCTCCCTCCTGCAGTGAATGTTACTAAGGCCATTTGTTCTTTGTTGCATCCCTCGTACCTCCACTGCTCCCTGTTCATTATTAGCATTGTTCTGTCCCCTTGACGCTCTTACAGCTTCTGCATATGTGATCCTTCTTTCCACTGTATTCTCCCGCTTCATAACCTCACATCCACCATATGCCACATTATGGGCTCCTCCACAGTTGCAGCATTTTGGTCACACCCGTTCCACACTTTCCATACTCATGGTCACCCCCACATGTAGCGCATCTCCTCTGCTCTTTACAGTTTTTAGCTGTGTCCAAACCTTTGATAATTAAAGCACCTCAATGGCTTTGGAACATAAACTCTCACCGGGTAACTAAAAAAAACACCTGAACTCACTCGTATATTTCAATAACTTATGCAGTGCAGTCCCACTACAATCACTGCACACATCATTGGCCTCCTGTTCATGATAGTACCAGTGGTTGATCAGTAGCTGATGCTGATATTTAGAGAGCAGGGCAGGGTTGTTTCTTTCCACCTGATAAAGTACAACAGTAATAACAAATGAGGCACAAAAAGGATGAACTTTAAATTTACACACACTGTACACACACAGTAGCACCCACCAGCATCTTTTAGGTTTTGATCCATCGGTTCATTTCACACAATATTTAATTATTCACTTGAACTTGAAATATCTGGAGAAAAGAAACGTGCGTTGTTGTACATTATTTTAAATAAAATGTCCACAAATAATAAAAAAAAACAAATAAGTACAAAGTACAGTTTTAGTGCCTTTGAGGGCAGATAATAGCATCTCCCCTTGTTTCTGAGAATGAAAATTAGAAATTAGAAAATACCATGAATAAAAATCAAGGTTAGTGTAGCAGCATCGCTTTGTTTTAGTTCCAGTCCTGTTTCAGAGCAGAAATCTCTGCTGCATTTTCTCCAGTTTCCTCTTCCTCCCATTAATGGCCCCACCCTCACTGAATGTTCTCTCATCTCTTTAATTCAATTCAATTCAATTCAATTCAATTTTATTTGTATAGCGCCAATTCATAACAGAAGTTATCTCAGGACACTTTTCAAATAGAGCAGGTCTAGACCGAACTCCTTATAACATTATTTACAGAGACCCAACAGTACCACCATGAGCAAGCACTTGGCGACAAGGAAAAACCACCTTTTAAGAGGCAGAAACCTAGGACAGACCCTTCGGCTCTAGGTGGGTGATCGTCTGTCTTGACCAGTTGGGGTGTGTGAGAGAGAGAGAGAGAGAGAGAGACACACAGAGAGACAGAGACACAGAGAGACAGAGAGAGAGACAGTTGCAAAGCAACAACAGTAGCAGCAACTACACTAATAGTAGTGACTGATGATGATGAACATGAAGAAGATGATGACGACAACAGCAACGATGGGGGACAATGAGCAGTGACAATAGTAATAATAGTATCTGTAGTCATAATATTAATAATAATAATAACAATAATATCAGTGATATTAGCAATGGCAGTTAAGCAGGACCATGGCAGGAGGCTCCACCAGGATCGATAAAAACCTGTGAGACGAGAAAGCACAAGAACTCCGGGGAAGAAGTGAAGTTAGTAACATGCATTAATGGGACATGAATGAGTGCAGAAAGAGAGAGGAAGGGAGGAGCTCAGTGCACCATGGGAAATCCCCCGATAGTCTAGGCCTATAGCAGCATAACTAAGGGATGGTTCAGGACTCACCTGATCCAGCCCTAACTATAAGCTTTATCAAAGAGGAATGTCTTAAGCCTACTCTTGAATGTGGTGAGGGTGTCTGCCTCCCGAACCACAACTGGAAGCTGGTTCCACAGGAGAGGAGCTTGGTAACTGAAGGCTCTGGCTCCTGTTCTACTTTTAGAGACTATAGGAACCACAAGTAGCCCAGCATTCAGAGAACGTAGTGTTCTAGTGGGGTAATAGGGTACTATGAGCTCTTTAAGATATGAAGGGGCCTGACCATGAAGAGCTTTGTAGGTGAGGAGGAGGATTTTAAATTCTATTCGAAGCTTTATTTATTTATATTTATTTTTTAGTCCCTCTGTAGTCCCGGTTTATGAGCTGCAAGTTGTAATGCAGGAAACAAAGTTGCTCTGCATTCTATCCACTGAGCCTCCTCTTCTTTTCATAAAAGGTCCCGACCTCCCTGAATACTCTCTCGCTGGAACAGAGGAGGGTGGAGGACAGAGACACTTTCTTATTAGTGGTTCAAAAAGGCTGAGGTGGGTTCAGTTCAGATTCCACCATTCCAGTGGCAGACCCGCCTTACTGTCACTACTTCAACAGGGACCAGTGACCTGATCAAATTTGAGATGATATCCCATTGTTCCACGGTTGGACATGTAACCTTCCCATGTTCTCCTGCATACACAATCAGGGCAGAGTGAGCCGCACATGTCTTTAACTTGCTGATAATGTCCCTCATTAATGCCCTCATTTACCACAAGCTGCAGTGTGTGTGCATCACAGCTGAGGTCCACTATCTCTGCCAGCCTCACGCCTTTGATCATGTTTGTGCCACTGTCTCTGAGCACAAGCACTGCTCTTTCATGGTCCATATCCCAGTGGTCCAACAAGCAGCATTCTGTGGTGCAGCCAGTGCTTTGATTTCCTTCACAACCAACTGTTTGCTAATACTTCTCACTTTTAAGGCTAGACCTTGGTTCTGCTACAGCCAACAACTGCTGAAAGCCAAAGTCTGTGGCAGTCCTTTGGAACAATCAGTTAATCATCAGTCTCTAGTTATCACACGAGTTCCGTGTATCTCCCCTGTAGACGCATGCTTTATCCTGACAAAGGCCCCTGGCCGCAGTCGTCGTTTATGTATTCCACACCATCAACTTGCAAGTGCTTTATGTAGCAGGCAATCCCTTTAAGAGTTCTTTGAATTCCAACTTCAGGTTAGGTTTCCTGAAATTGGTTCAGCAAACAGATGGCAGTCCTTTACGTAGAGATCTTGCAGTTCACCCTCTTCTTGTATTTGCTGCTGGTCTGAATTTCCTTCACGTGGGCCATTTTTCCTCTTCGTATAGATATCTTAACCAGGGCGTCTCCCACTGGCCCCTTTTCCCTTTTTAAAACGTGTTTTGCACTGCTGTAAAGGGAATGTACAAACTGTGCGTATATTAAAATATGGACTGTTCATTTTCCCGCTGTGAAGAGGTTTTACATGCTGGCTCTTTGCAGCAAAGAAATTGACAGAAATGTAGATACAGTTTTACAGAGAAGAGAAGAAACGATTGAGTAAACTCCCTTCAACTTTACTCTGAGTCTGACCTTCTTTGAAGCCTATTAGCTATCTGTAGATCAAGGAATCAAGGAAGTTTATTCATCATTATTAGTCTAAAAGTAATTCATTATTTAATGCTCAGAAAAACTTCTCTCTGAAAAATTTGAAGATTCACAGACATGAGCATGGATCGAACCCTCATCCTCAAAACCTCCGGCCCATCTTCCAACACAGTGAGCTGTTTGATGTTGACTGGTCTCTTTCTCTGAGCTTTTATCTTTGAACATCTGACTTTAAAATTCACCAGTGTGAGTCGGTCATCTGACACCATGAGCTATTTGATTTGAGACCTTTCTTTTCTTTTCCTCAGAGCTTTTCACTTTTTTTTCCTGGACATCTGATCTCAAAGTTCACAGAACTGAGTAAGGATCAAACCCACATCCTCAAAACTCCCAGTCAGCCTACCAACAGTGAGCCATTTGACTTGAGACACCACTGTAGGAAAATTCCTACAAAAGATTTTCTACAAATTTTCCCTTTCCAAATTCCATACTGTGTTGACCTCTGTCACATCAACTTTAACATTAGCCTCCCCAAAATGAAGACTCATCATGTCTAGAGATGTTCCTGGTAACTCATTTTGCAGTCGACTAGTCTAAAAGAAATTCAACGTTCAGAAAGACATTCCAAATAGATCCCACTATAAAGACACAATGTTACAGCTTCCAGGGAGCGGTTAGGCTAACACTACGTTAGTTAACTGATTGCTAGTTTAACCGATTTAACATCCCTCATGTCAGCCCAGAGCTTCCTCTCCCGCTGCAGCACGGTGCTGTCTGTCCGGCTGCTGGATACGCTTCTGATGGAACATCCGTGTGGTTTCTCTGACTTGTTGAAGCATGTCAGCGTTTACCCCACCAGAGAGTGTGTGAACCATAGACATATATACAGGTCTATGGTGTGGACAACCCAGATGGGTTCCCACGCATCCTGGAAAACCTGGAAAAATGTCTTGTGGTTAATAAATACGTGTAGAGATGTTTATTGCATGTGCAACAAACACTTTCTACTTTTAATAGACTAATGAGGTGAGAAGAAGATTTTTTTTGTAAAATGAAATAAATTCTCCTTAATTTGAACTGTTACTATGGGCTGCGGTCAAAGTCATGTATGTAATGAATACAACTGGAGTTAAATGTATTCAAGGTCTACCAGTAAATAATATGACCGTTTGAGTCAAGAATGGTGATGTGTCAAGAAAACTCCTGAAAAGGGTCCTGGAAAATGATGTCTAGTTGACTAGCCTAAAATTAAGTTTTCGTTTAATCGATGGCAAAATAAGCCGCCAGGGACAACCCTACATGTGATGTCCCAGAACAAAAACTCCAGTACTAAAAAGTTGGTTGTAAAGAACAACTTTATATTTCTGGCCTCTCATCTGCAATGTTACAGCCTGGAACCTTTAAATGACAATCTGAGATCAGTTGTACTTTCCTTCCCGTCTTTCAGCAGCATTTCATTAGGATGGATTCCAAAACAAGGACTGAAGGAAAGAGCGAAATGAGAGAAAGGAAAAATCAAATTTAATTATTAGTCATTAATTAATAACATGAAACCCCTAACAAACCATAGTTTGAAACACACGAATATTAGAAGTTGAAATGTTTCCATGGTAACGGACAAGTTCATCCACTCATTCTCATTTGTTCCATTTCCCAGTCCACGTTTTACATTAGAAAAAGTTACTTACAATAAATGTTTCAAACGCCAAGTTGAAAAGCCTCTGACACATGGCCTGCTTCACTGGCTCACTGTGCAGCCCTCTACAGAAAGCTGGGAACAAGGCAAAGCAACTGATGAGCTGAAAATAATAAGCAGTCAGCTCTGTCGTCACTAAAGCTGGGAGTTTGTCCGCTCTCACCAGAATGACTTTCAGCTGAACAAATGAATGTATTCTGCTCTTGTTACAGAAGCAGTTATGAGGTGTGCACTGTTGGGTTGTGAGGGTGATGGCTCTTCAACCTGTTGTCTCTCTTCATTAAAGGCTCAGAATTTGCGTTACAATTGGTTACACATACTTTACAACACTGTTCATTTTTCAAAAGCACAGCAGTCAATGTGGATTTAACTGTTGGTAACTTTTCATTGCTTTAACATAAAATGCATTCAATTAAATCAGCATCGTTTTAATTTCACAAATTGTTTAAAAAAATGTGTGTATTGACAGTCCATTTTACACATGACTTTACATATTAGAGAAGAGTTGACTCGCACTGCGGTACTGTGTATCTGTATATGTGGCTGTCCTGTATGTATAGACATCCATGCAGAAAGAGGTGCCGTTCCTTTTGTTGTAATAGAATCTTGGCTTGTGCAAATACAATGAGACAATAGTGATATATATTGTAAGTTTTAGTGGATTTTTTAGGTCATGGTGTTCTGACTGAAGATTTGTTGTAAAGAAATGTTTCAATTGTTATGGTACAAAAGCATGTATCAATAACTGTGAAGAGATGTGACAATATGAGCGCAGTATAGAGAAATCAATGTAACCAATTGTGACAACCTATGAAAGGACAGAACAGGAAAGCTGCCGGGTTCTGTTCATAAGATACGTTCTATCGACGATATAACCCTAGTTTGTGTTATTTTCTGGAGGTCATTGAGAGAAGGTGAACAGAGACCCAGAGCCCAATGTCTGAACTAGCCTGTGTTCTACTAGCTGGCGGTAGTTTCACTGTGGCGTTCTGCAGCAATCAAAGAAAAAAGCGAAACGTGGGCCAACATGATATTGACGTTGCCCATAATGTAAGCTTTATGAAACTACTGCCTGCTGGTAATGTCTGTTAACCTCACTGTTGAACACTGTTCAAAATAAATAAAAGTTGAGAACTCAATTTCAATAAATGTTTAAGTTTTAAGAAAAACTCTTAACCTTTGACATAACCTAAGAATAATGTTCTGTCAACCTATAATTGAAATACAGGATTTTATGTTTCTTAAAAAATAAAAAAGATTATAGGCCAGGACAAAAGTTTATTTCATTATGGAAGCTGTCAAACTGCAGCCTGCCTGCTCTTTCACAGAACTGCAGGCTAGTTGGCTGAACCTGCAACTTCTTCCCAAATTCTCAGCAGAGGATTCATCCGTCCCACCCCCCACACGCCTCAAAGAACTGAACATTTGAGGAAATTGTGTTCCACAAAGCAGTCACTGGTTGTGACCTTAAAATTTAAACAAGTAGGCTGCGCTAAAGAATGGAACAGCCGTATGACCCCATTCTGACATATCCAGTGTCCACAGGGAAAGTAGCAGTAGCAGCTGTTAAGAAGCAGACCCTCACAGCTTTATTTGTATGACTACAATGTCCAACTACATCTGCAAACACAAAGTGCACACGGATCATGAAACAAACCTCAAACGCCATGACGCGACAGCTGACACAGTTTCTGTCCTCGGTCCCAGCTGTGCGTCAATGCGTTCTGAGAGGGTGTGTGTGTCGGATACCGGGAGGAGGCTTGTACAGTTATGATTCATTCCATTCAGATTATATGCAGATAGATACTGTATGTACAAGATTACAACCCAGCGTACACATGTTAGGCACAGAAAAGAAAGAAAACTGTCATCTGTCAGAGTCCTGTCTGAGGAAATGAGGAGGTGAAGGTTCAGTTCAGTTGGACAGCACTGAATGTTCCAGAGACTGATGGGTGAACCTCCTTCCATATATTGTCAGTCCACTTTGACCACACTGTAGATCTTGGTAACAAACCAGAAACAGGCAAAGAAGCCGATCGTACCTGATGACAGAGAAAATACACCTTTAAATCACAGCTACATTAAACCTACTACACAGAGTTTTCAACTGGTTATAAACAGTCTGTTTAATACTGATGCCTCTGTATGACCTACAGGAACAAACACGACCAGCAAGGAGAAGACTGCTTATTCCTATAAAGTTATTGTTAATGTCTGCCATCGGGTCAGATTCCCCTTGAAATCAATGTAACAATGCGGTGGAAACACTAGTGCTTTTTGTCCACAGTCCACGTATTGGAGTGCCCTCTGCTGGATTCCAGTCTGTTGCACTTATAAACTGTAAATTTGAATTTGAAGCAGGTCAACCTTTGAAAATGAACCACATTCAAGCTCATTTTCAACTATAAAATAAAAAGTGCCAGCCCTCATATGTATTATTTTTGTCAGATTCCTAAAGCCGTGCATACACATGATTCTTTTTAATAAATCTCAAACATTGGGCCACAGGGTGCATGTGCACAAGCTTCCTTTCCATTCCCATTAAGAAACTGAACAGACTGTGTGATTGTGCACTGGGGCAACCCACAGTGGCAGTGACACCGGCTACAACAAAGTTTATAAAGTGCTTCACAACTGAGGACAGAATGAAAAGATCTTAAACACAGGTTCACAATGTTCCACTCATTGACAGTATATATAGTGGACAGAGCTTCCAGGTCTGTGAGGTGAGTCTGCCATACATCTAAACCACATTACACTGGGATATACCATAAATCAGTTGGACATTGACTAATGATCTAAAAATGCCATTAATAATCGTTGAACTGCAGCACTCACATTTAAAGCAGCAGTAGGTTATATGTTATATTTTCTGATGAATACATCTTCCCTCCCTTCTTTTTCACCTACCAGTGAATAAGAAAAAGATGAGAGCCATGATCATGGTGTATCCAAAGTACAGGATGGTGCTGGCCAGTCCGGTGATTTGCAGCTTAGAGAAGAAGTAATGAATGGCGTAGACCAGGAAATAGACAGCAGTGAAGCCGCTGGTCAGGAAGGAACGCCACTGCCAATGGTAGTCCTGTGAGGAGGAGAGACACAGCCAGAGTTGAGACAAAAGGAAAGAGTTTTTGTAAAATAAGGCTCTGACTGAAGGGTAAAAAGAATGGCTCCTATAATACAGAGCCACTTATAGCCGATCAATGCTGATGAGTAACACAGAAATCAGATATTGTGGTACTGTACTTATTGGAATTGTGACTAAAGTTGTTGCTGCTATATGAATCTTTCAACTTCATGTCAAATAAATGTATTCAAATTTAATTGTAACTGCCGGTAAATTCTGTATTTGAAATTTGTTTTAAAAAGAAAATCTGGCTAATTAGTAGAGATTTTTAGTTTATCATTTGAGCATTACACTCCATTGTCCTATGGACACCCTGGATTCCATAGTGATGCTGTGGAAACTTATTGGGTACAATTATATTCTACGCTAACAGTACTGTAACGCATAAAACTGGTCAAATCTCAAGATACGGAATACTGGGACCAAAAAGCTGTTATCAACAACTTCAATAGAAAAATGTCAGCATTAATATGATCCCTGAAACATAAAGATGCCAGTGTTAAAGGTAATGCATTGTGGTGCTGTTTACCTCAGCACATAAGTGGAAGTAGCAGAGCAGGATGGTGGCCTCAGAGCAGGTGATGACCAGGATGATGAAGACCAGGAAAAGGAAGCCAAACATGTAGTACATCTGATGGGACCTGGAGACGAGAAGAGACATGTCTGAACCCTACAATGGGATTTAATAAATAAAATACACGACTAGATGGAAATGCAGGTAATGGTCAGGCTGCCACCTTCTATGGTAAATATGAGCGAGGACATCATCATCTATCTGGATGTATGTCCAACTATAATCCCAAGTATGGACAAAATGTGATGTGACAGCCAAACCTTTGTCTTTGTTCTCACCAGATGGAGTTTAGTATGAAGAAAAGCTGAATAAATATACATCCAAAAGGCAGAATTCCTCCCATGATGATACCAGGGAAAGGCTTTGTGTAGAACGACTGCTCTGGGATTTGACGAGGGATCTGATTGGTCCGGACTGGGTGCTCGATACCCTTAAACAATGAGCCAGAGCAGAGAGATTATCATTATATTTTTCTTGGTTTTCAGGAATTGTACAGGAAAAATAAAATCATGATGACACAGAACATGACAACACAGACTATGCCTGACTCACTGCAGACACTTTAATTAGTACTGCTGTAGTATTCTACTGTATTATTTTCCAGTTGGTTCTTTTGTTACTGTACTTAACTGATTACATGTACGCCCCCTGGCATGTAATGCTGCTAAAGTTGACCATGACCAGATTTCTGGTGCTTATGCTTTTAATACTTGTCTGTCTAATACTTGTCTATCTAACAGAACATAAAGGGTTTTCTTTAATGGTAGTTCTTCTACTGTGAGGAAGGTGCAGTGAGGTGTCCCCCAGGGAAGTTGCTTGGGCCCACTGTTCTTCTCTATATTTACCAATGACATACCACTTATTTTGAGGAAAACTAGTTATTCCACAGTGCATATGTCGTCAAACAGTGTGAATGAGTGGAATGTTTTCTTTAAAAATGTAATTAAATTGATTTTGTGCCAGGTAACAAAAACTATCTAGCTCGGAATTAGGGATGCACGATAATTATTAGGACAGATAAATTATTGGCCGATAATAATATCAGACATTTATAATAAGAACATTTATATGCTGCATTTAAAGAGAGGGATTACTCAACAAGCATATATTATTATAAATTATCAGAATAATTACATTACAGACGATAAATTATCTGTTGATATTAAAAATCATTATTTTGAAGCCTTTTTGGTTTACGTTTTTTCTAATGAACTTTACTAGAAAAAGTAATTTCCAGAACTATGAAATAATAGATAATCAGAGGAATCATCCATTGCTCACTACATCTACACCCTCTAACTACAGGTTATGAACTTCTTAAATATACAGAAATGTGAAATTATCGGTTATCTTATCAGTATAGGCCATGAAAAGCAGATAACTAAGTTATTGTATTAGCTGAAAACAAATCCATATTGTGAATCCCTACTTGGAATGCATCAACGACTAATGTATTTGGACCAATTATCTCCGTCAAAGGCAGCGTAAAGTGCAAGTCACTGAGGCACTAAGGCTGGTGATGTAATTGTATGTATATATGTATGAATGCAATCCAAAAGCATGTGTATACATTTTGTTCTTAACATTGACCACAGGCAGATTAGTGCTCTAACAGCTAAAGGGGATCCAAATAAACAGCAATGTTGACATGACAGATTACCATTTCTGCAAGCCACCATGAATGGATGTACAGTGTGTGGGATTATATTTACTCACTGTCTTCTTGAAGCCAAAGTATGCTCCTATGAAGGTAAGCGGCACCGAGATACAGAACCAAAGAGCTAATATGGCAACCAGGGTCCCAAATGGCATGGCTGCTGAAGACCCTTCACCCCACAGGATCAAGTTCATCACAAAAAAATCTGCAAATACCACCCTGAGCAGGGAGAGACAGGGCATTAGGTGAAGGAGTGAATGAGTGAGAGTGGGATCGAGTGGTTGTGTCTTTGACATGCAGTGAACTTCTACCCTGGTGTGTTGTGTCCGTTATTATGTCCGGTGTCTGAGCCAGTCGAAAGAGTCTTACCCAGGACAGAGGAAGGCTGTCAGCAGGACGTTGGTCTTCCACTTCTCTCCTCCAAAAGCTGACAATTAACCAAACACAAAGATACAAGGGAGTTTTAGAATCATTTTCAAACGTATTAAATGTATTCTTATTTACTGTTTATATATTAGCATGATATCATCGTCAGCCACTGTACAGTGTTTAAGGAGTGTGACTTTGAGCTCTGCAAAATGAATTACTTTTCATACTGTTGCAAGTGCAAATAATAATAGAAAAAGATTTTTTATTGTTTCTGACCAAGGAAAAAAGCAACTGATGATTTTAAAGGACACCCTTGATTTCCTTCAGCAAGCATTAACAAATATAAAGTATTTGAATGTGATTACTCAATTGTCAGAACAATCAACAGAAACTGCTTTATAACAGCTGCCGTTCAACCTGGCATTTGTCTTCATTTTCTCCTTAAACATGAAACCCTGTGTTATTTTCCTCATTTACATTTGTAGAGGCGAGCAGCCACATATCCGGCAGGAGTTCCCAGAAGAACCCAGAGAACAACAGCACACGTCATCAGAGCCCCGCGGTTTGCAGGAGACAGGAACCCAAGACAGGCAAAGACTGGAAAAGGAGGAGCTTACGTTATGAGACATTTGCAGTTAGGATACGTAAAGCAGTTATTCAGCTCCACTGAAACCAGATTTTTAAGCTAATATTGATATTTGAGAATTTAACAAGATCTGCTTATGAAATACTGGCCGGACATATTATGGGATGCTACTGGGCCAATGGTTTATGCCCATTTTTCCATAGACAATATTGTGTGAGTCAGCTGTAGCACTTCTACAGCTCATTTATGATAAAAAAAGACTTACACAGGGTGACAAAGGTCATAATGAAGATCTGGGTTCCAGAGCCAAGGAAAACCGACAGCAGCATTCCTTTCCTGGGAGGTCGGAACACATCTCCATGGACCAACTTCCACCCAAACTCCTCCTGGGCATCCTCCTGGACAATGAAAGAGAGGAGCAGATATGATGAGAACAACACAGCTGGACTCCACCAGGCGCAGTGTGACACGTTACGGTAGTGTCGTGACGGCATTGTCTGATTATGTTTCATGTGATAATAATAGAGTTTACCCTTTAAAGTCCTCACTAAGAAAAAAGCTATGGATTTTTGTCCTTGTATTTTATTCCTTTGGGGCAATAATAACAATAATCTATGTTGTTGTTTTTTTATAAAGACCCTACAGTTTTTTTTAATATAGATCTCTTCCAAGTAAGTATGAAAACTCATACTCATAAAATTGTTTCATCAAATACATGATATTAGCAACAGTGAATAAGTTTATATGTTTTTTAATTTTGTAAAAATTTAAGATTTATTATGTTAGCATCATCCTTTATCACTTAAGGACAATTCCACCATTTGGTTGAGCATGTTTTTTAGACAGCTATATCATAGTTATTGGAATATTTCAGCATATTATAATAACATTAAATGGATTGTATTAAAAATAAATTATCAGAAGTTTTTATTTCCTACAATAGCTAACTAATGACAGACAACTCTGTTTGGTAGAGCCTGTTTTTAGAAAATGATTTGACCCTTATTAGAATTTAGTTGTATCAAGTTACATAATTCTGTTTAGTAAGACCTCTCAACCTATAATATGTCAAAAAAACATTAAGTGGAATTCCACCGAACAGTCCTCATGTCTGGAGTGACTTTTTTGTTTCTGACTTCCTGTAAGGAGGTGAACTGAAAAGGGCTGACTCATTCAAGACACAGTGACATCTAGTGGCCTTTATTAGCATAACAGACCTAAACTGAGAGGTAGAGATGGCTCAGTCAGGTTGAGTTTAGTTCAGCACATTTTCTAAGAAGATATAGTGATTCAACATGTGCTCTACCAAACAGGAGAACGTAAAGTTAGTTAATCACTCATGAGCACACCTTTCAAGAGCTGGATACAGGAGGTGCTGTCCTTGCTCCAGCTAGACATACGGAGTGAATATGGAATATGTAAAGGTACTGACTTTATGATACTACCTGATTGACGTTGTCCTATTTATTACTACAACTAATGTCCATACATTTGATCTTTTTCTGTTCTTAATCTATCTACCATCAGCATTACATTTATTTTTCTATGTTATGGTGTTACTTAATCTATTTAGTTTTTTTTTGGTCTGTTTTTTCCTACTGAGGATGGGTCTGATGTGGGTTAATGTTTATGTAAGTTCAATATGTGTGTACATGTGAGTGTATCTCTAGTAATGTTAAACTTAAATAAAGTTACAAAAACAAAGTTAGTTAATCACTGCACATTGTAAATATCTTTCATATACTCATATCTTCCAGTACTCACCACAGAGTCCATCTGATTGTATCTGGCGATGTCTTTGTGCAGTGTCCGCAGCATGATCATCGCTACCATTCCAGACAGGAACAACACAATCACCAACGAGTTCATTATGCTGGGGAGAATAAACAGGAAAGCCACGTTAGTCACTGCTGTATAACCATTACTCATTGCTCATTACTTACACATTAATTAATGCTGTATCAGTGCTTGGATGTGGATTGTCTCTGTGCATGGAGACAGGTCAACTGATAGACACCAGGGTTAATTAATGTTTGGCATTTTTAAACCTCAAGTCTGCCCCAAACGATAAGCCTGCGGTCACTATGAGCCCCCCCAATAAGACAGGATTCCTGTGAGACAATAGGACTGGTAAACTGTGCAGTCATGGTCAGTGCTGGACAGAAAAATCCAAGCCTCGGGAGTAGAGGTACAACATCCTATTACAGATGCTTGCTTTCTCTTAAAACCTGGGTCAGCAGTTACAAATATGTCCCAGCATGCTCTCAAACCTTGACTTGTAATCTGATTACCACTTGAATTTGTGTCAGCAACTTTTGGTTGTTGTTGAACTTCCACACATCACTATGCAGATAATTCCTGAATGCTGGCTAAAACTTCTGATCAACCCATATCAATTTCAGGCTTAAAGCTGCAGTAGATTATTTTTATTAAAACATTTTCAAGTTATATTTGCTGAAACTTGACAGTAGAACATGAGACAGATAATCTGTAAGAAATCAGGTTCCTCTGAGTCGCTCTAGTGCTAATCCTGTAGTCCACCGGTCCTGAACGAAAGCAACCAATCAGAGCTGAGAAAGATAGCTGATTGTTGAGTCTCATTCCCAGGGCGTCAAATACAGATACATTGGGACTCTGTATGAGACTCAACAATCAACTATCTTTAATCCTCAAACCTAAAGTGTCTTTATATGTTTCTCAGCTCTGATTGGTTGTTTTTGTTCAGGCCCAGTGGATTCTTGCAAAAGTTATTAGGAGCACTAGAACGACTCAGAGGAACCTGATTTTTTTTTTTTGTACTACTGTCAGAACACAATGGAAATTTCAGCATTTATGACTGTTTTATAAAAATTACTTACTGCAGCTTTAACTTAACTTCTGATTAGTCCCGTCTGGTCAAACCCCGCCCATTCCGAGTACAGATAAAATACAGATCATTTAGTTGGCTACAGATAATGGTGGACTCACTTATCCCTTGTCTAATCACTGTAAGTCAAACTGTCTAACTGTACCTGAACCACTGGATGTTGGTGTGAGGCATTGACTCCAGGATGTAGTCCCATCTAGACGCCCAGCGAATATTCTTGTCTTCCTGCAAACACACAAACACTCACCTGTTTCATTCTATTAAAGTTCATTATGCATAATAAAGCAGGTGGCTGCTTTAATCAATTTCCAGGTGTTTCCATGACTGGAAATAAATTTAAAAAGTCTCTAATTTTCACATCAGTCCATCTTTAGAGCCACATAAACATGCAGCATTAAACTCACCAAGATGATACTATTGTACTAACCACAAAACTGATGGAGTAAGTGTATGGGATCTTGAACACTCCTGTGTCTTTGTTTTTTAGGAACTTTGGCCCTCCAGAACAATCAGGCTTGTCATCATTTTTATTTTCATAGCTGGTCAGAGAAAGAAAGACATAGGTAATAGATTTCAGATCAAAGTCCACCGATATCTAATTTGCATACTGAGATCTGATTATACTGCAGGCAAAACCCACAAGAATGCTAATCAATGGCACACACTTCCACTAATGAATGTAACAGGCAGTTTTCATAGCAGGTCTGACCTGCGATCTTTTAGCCTCCACAAAAAGTGCTGCGGCCCAAATGTAAAAATACCTTGAACAACATGCTAAGCTAAAACAACTGGCATCTCCATTTGGACTAGATGGCTCCATATTGATTACCTTTTGGGTTCAATCTTGGCAGCAACCAGTCGTGCTCCAAGTTGTTCGTGCTCAACGATGTGGTAATGTATGGAGATGTCCACGTGGTTGAAGATGTAAAAAGCATCCTTTTCATTAAAGTTAGACTAGAAAACAAAACCAAGACACAAAAGTTCAAAGCATAGTTCTGTGATATTGTATCCATTGATAAAAACATGATACATTTTTGTGTTTTACTCAGATTCTATGCATATGGCAGGTGGTGTGTTCTTTATACTATGACAGGTTTCCTAAAATTATACTTTAAAATCTCAATATATCACCTTGCTTACAGCATCACAATATATCACAATATATTGAATCATAATCCTGATATGATGCGTATTGCCAATACACATCTCTAACAGACAGGTAATAATGTGTAATTACTACAGCCCGAATGATATATCAATCGGCCAGTATTGATCTATCGCAGACATATTTGTATCGTATCACTATCTGTATATATGTCATCCAATATGCTCCGACATGGAAACTTTTTCTGCAATAAATGCAGAAAAATTGCTTGTGGTAATATATTGGAGTCACTACAAAGTTTCTCCAGCAGAGTGCGCTGTGATTTACAATACTGTGGCAACGGTGACAGATCAGTAATCAGTCAGTGTTTCTCCCTCTAAAATATGTATGGTTAGTCTTATTACAGTTATGTGGAGAATTCTAACTTCCATCAAAAAAGACACTGTGGCAGAGAGTGATACGTGCCGCTGACCCTGTATTTTACCTCCTAACAAATATGACCCGCAGACACTTGCTGTTTCACAAAAGCAGAATTAAGAAATCCAGGATAACTGAAGAGGCGAGACTTGACCTAGCCAAGTCAGAGCATCATCCTGGCTTAATATGTTTCACAAAGGCTAAACCAGGCTGATAAATGCTATATCTCACTGATAGGACTGATCATGCTTATATAAGGAAACAGGACGTATTATGTGTAGGTGGAGATGTTCATACACAAATATATCTACGTTAGAGAGGGCTTCGTTTGTGCCCATGTGTGACACACTGACTCACGTTGACCACGCAGGCATCTTTGGGTCGGCCTGCTTCTGTGACGTAACAGCCAATAGGGAAACCAGGATTACAGAACTTCTGTCCATCTTCAACATCATAGCACCAGGTGACTGGCATGTTATCCACAATCCTACACACACACACACACACACACAAAAGAAAAGCCAGTGACGGTCATAAATACTGAACTAAAATAGTCAGATTATCCAAAATAACAACTCTAAATCCCCAGTTTACATGTAGTTGGTCAGCTATCACATTTCTCTTCTGCCCCCTGCCAGATTTTTCACTCACAGTTGACAGAGTTATAGACGTTTTTCTATCATCACACGATATACTATATATGGTCATATCGCACAGCTCCAGTTTTTAGCAATTAATATAGTAGAAACCATGATTTCTTGAGGGCAGGTACAGACCATGGGGATGCTGAGGCAACTCACACCAAAACATTGAATTAATAGCACTGCAGATGGGGTGAACCATCCCTTTAAGGTGTTTTTGATGCGTGTCCCTTTCTGGTATGTGTATGTCAGTGGATCATACATACCAGTGGTGCTGGTAGTTGAGAAACATGCCTTTCTTGAGGAAGTCCAGTTTGGCTTTGTCTGATGGCTTGCTGCTGTCATAGACTTTGGTACACACCGGCTGACACACCGCGGTTTTCTTAAACTCAAACTGACACACAGGACACACAGTCAGTTGATTAGTCTCTGTCTGGGTCAATCAGGAGTTAATACATGTGCAATGATACACAACATCCCCATTAAGGAACCTACAACATGTTTGACATCAAACCCAGTCAACTAAAAAGGTGAGAGAGAGGTGTTGAGCCTAGCTTAGCACAGAGACTGGAATCAGGAATGAACTTTTAGCCAAACTCCATCAAATTCAAAAAAATGTTTCCCATACTATTGCAGTCAGTTTCTGCCTGTAGTAGTATGTCCAAACACAATCTGAGACTGCTACACATTTAAATGTTTAATGGTGCTGAGGTTCTGCACAGAACCTGTGGGATTAACATACTTACCCACATTTACAGATTTAGGTTAAGAAAAACGACTGAACTCCTGCTCACTCCCAAAGCTCGTAGCCTCTAATCAGCTTATACATGCACAATCATGACTCACAAAATACATTGCTTTCTGCATCACACTGTCAGACATATTAATGATGTCTGTCTCACACAGAACGCACACAAGGCAACCCCCACGATCAAGGAAAGTCAAACATTATTTCCTAAATGTACAATAGTGCGTAAAGAAAGAAAATTTAAGAATTTAGATCCTTTAGAATGACAATGTGCTAAAATAATGACACATCAGCATTTTGGTTTGTCATATTAACCATTTTTCCATGCCTAAAAATAATCTAATCATAAAGGGAAACATCATACTCTGCTTGTTAATATGATCCCAGTGTAATGACAGTTAAGTATACTCCAGTTTAATCTATTTATTCAGTGGCATCTTAGCCTGTAAACAACTTCATCAAACACCATTTTGACGGCATGTGACACACACACAGCTGTGAACCAACTGCTGAACGCATACCAAAGATGTCTCACTCTGAAGAGGCTTTGTTCTGTCTCTTCCACTGGTTCATCATTTATGAAGCTACTATTGTTATTATGTGCATGTAGAGGAAAGCAGAGTGTGTGTGCACACTGAATTATAGCTCCAAACAGAATCTTCATCACGCAAACATGACATGGGGATTAACAACCTCTAAAAGCATTTTCTAGTCAGTGAAATAGTAGTATTACTAATTAATGAATAAGTACTGAATATTGTACAGTTCCAGCATATTATACTGGATAACCCCCTTATCACATATTTTAAATATAATAAACCTTATCTAGGTGTAATTTTTGGTGATTTTCTGGAATTTTTGTTTTTTGACAATGTGTTGTGTCTTACTGAAAATGTTAATCTAGACAGTTTAATTTGACCCAGTGTCTATGCTGACACCAATTCTGTGCCTAATTATGCATCACCCTTTGTAATGTTAACCATCTTTCTTGATGATGAGCTGAGAAAGTTGAAACAGTGTTTCCATGACTGGAAAACTGGTCCCTAAATTAAAGTTTTCCAGGTTGTGTGGGAGCCTCAAACAGTTAAAAACGATGCTGAAAACAGGATGGAAGTATAACATTTCTGTTAGTTTCATGTGTTAATGTGAGCAAGGTCTGTGTGGAGCGACCTCGGCCAGACAAGTGACGAGGAAACAGCTGACCAGTCATGTGAGTTGTTATGAGTGTTTCCATCTCCTGTTAAGAGCATTAACTCTTTTTTTCCAAAAGGCACCTCAGGTGAGCCTAAAAACCTTTTAGTTAAAGAGCTATAATCTAGTGCATGGATACTCTGCTTTCTCCTTTATTGAATTTACTTTCTGCACCTGGCCTAAATATAAGATTGCATATGCAAACAACTGCCCTCTGTATGTATTTTGTTTATGTAAAGCCACTGAAAGCCCTTCATTCATTCCAACAGAACCCTGTGCAGACAATCCAATTCCACCTCCACAGCGTATGACTGAGTCAGTGTTCCCATGTTTGTTGCTGTAAATGTGTGTGTTTGAGCGTCTGCTGCTGTGGGTGTGTGGTACCTTGTATGGCGAGGGTTCGATCCTCTCCCCAAAAAGAACCTGGCCCAGATTCTCTGAGGGACGTTTCATGGTGTTCTCAGAGCAGAAGTCAAACCTGCACAAGAAGGAGGCGACTATTCAAAGTGTCAGAGGCAGAATACATACGTTCCAGAATCTCTGAATATGCAAATGTTGTTCATTTCTAAAGTTTTCCTGCTGGACACAAGATGTCTCCTCCTTCACTGTAAAGTCCATTCTCAGTGGATGTGCACTGGTGGCTTCAAGTTTCTAAATCACCCTGTACAAGTTGATACTGGACCAGGATGACTTCCTAACTATTGGTGATGTCACAGATCATGCTCATAGACCCCGCCCCTTAAAATCTGATGTTCAGTGAGCACAGAGAAACTTTCCACTTTCAGCAGATGAATGTGAAAACATCCTTCTAGTGTCAAACTCTACAACAAGATAACACAGACAGACACATTGGTACAGGGCCACTACTTACACAGTGTATTCATAAGGCAGCACAGACTCCACTGAATCCAGGCGGTTCACAAACAGCTCAATGGTCGACTTGAAGAAAACAAAGCAAACAGACATGTTAGGGAGACAGAATGCTCCAATCAGCTTTTTGTTTTCATCTTGTTAAATATAGATTTGTGATTGGCTGATATTCTTCTTTCCATCTTGTCATAAGGACGTTGTTATGACATTTCCAAATCTCAATAGCAATGTGTCTTTTACAGAAAGAATGTTCTGGATACTGTTCAGAAGTAAGGAAAGTTCATTTTGCGTGAACTGACCCTTATTTCATAAGTATTGAAGCCTGTTCAAAATCCTAAATAAAAGTGATTCAATTTCTTAACATAAATAAAGAATTCATGTTCATGTATAAAGGCTTATTTAAGACAGTAGTTTTCAGGGGTCACCAAAGCTTCTCGGGGGGCTGTGAGGCCTTCTTCATTTTAAGAGGTACATTAGAAAAGTTTGCAATTAAAACCAAAGAGCTAATACAAAAATGGCGAGGTGTCAGGGAGAAGAAAACACTGAATTTGTCAGAAAAGAAGCCAATTAAGTCTGTATGACTGGTAAAAAAAATAAAAAGAGTACATAATACAAACAGAGAACTGTATAAAACCTATGGATATAATTATATTCAAAACTGTGCAATGACCCCAAACAGTGAATTCACTAACTGAAAGAAGTTTGGGTAAAAGCAGAGATGATGTTTGAGCAGATTATTTCCTGTTCAGGGAACTTTTTATACAATTCTCTGTCTGTATTATGGATTTTCATTTTTAACAATCATACAGATTCAGTGTTTTCTTCTCAGTGTTATTAGACAATTTACTTTACATTATATGTCTTCATAGACATGAACCAAACGCTGAGATATAGGCCTGCTGTGTATATTTAAGTTTTCTTACACGCTTTAAAAATAAACATCCCCTCATAAAGCTTTGGCGACCCCTACCGGGGTTCCCGACCCCCAGGTTGGGAACCACTGTTGTATTACACTCCCCAATATTTTACAGTAAGCACTGTGCAGTGTCAGCGAGCTTCCAGAGATGTTCAAATAGCCACTATTAAAACTATCCAAATACAATGTGAACAAACACGGTGGTGTTGTTTCTGGTAACGTTACGTTATGTGGGAATTCTCAATACATGAATAATAGCATTTAATAAATGTCAGTATCAGTTACACAGAGTCTAATTTTGACATTCTAACTAAACTATGTTATTATATCCAAAATAACGCAGTTCCTTTGAGGTGTTTAGCTATACAGCTAGCTTGCTAACCAGTTAGCATAGTTTCCGTTAGCTTTGCTGTTTGTTTTGGCCGCCGTTAGCGTTAGCTTCCTTACATCAACTGTTCCTGAAGGAACAGCTTACCTAACGTTAGCTACCGCGTTCAACCACTTCTTCTCTGTGGATGTAACGTTACTGCCTCTACTGTTCATGAGTTACTCAGTCGTTCTGTTAGAACATCTGGTAGCCGTACAGCTGGTGTGGGTCATGTTGTGTTTACCTTGCAGTCTGGGACCTGGTCTTTCCCAGGCTCACAGAAGCTGACGGGAGCCAGACCCGGGAGGTAGAAACCGGCCGCCCGAGCCAGCAGCGCGGGTCCCAGCAGCCACAGCAGCATGTTCACACCGGCCAGTCTGCTCGATCAGATTTACATACAAATCTAGAGCCCTTTTCTCGGTTTACACTTCATCTGACATCTATACCGGACAGTCCGCCACCAGCATCCGGTTCTGCGGCAGGCAGACACGTCACATGCCGGAAGTGCTGCTCCGTGAAGCGGAGGATTGTGGGAGATCACGAGAAGCAAATTCCAACAAGAGGAATTACGTCATGTTGTTCCAACAGTTGAATTCTTAGCAAAGAAATAATAGGTGACAGAAAATGTGTTAACACAATAAGCATGAGGAGGCAGTGGTGCATATTTCCATTGAGACTGGGATGAACAGTGTTTTTGTATTGTAATAACTTATTGTAATAAATGATGAACTTCCTACATTTTGGCCCTGACAAATACCCAGCCTCATACTACATCAGCAACTATATTCCTGTTGTGTAGTAACAACCCTGGTGACATAGATCATGATTTTACTGTGTTCAAACCAGAGACACACTGAGACAGTACAAATGTAGTCCTACAAAGAGGGAATAAAAGAAATGGGAAAATAAAATTAAAATATAAATGTTGTCAGAGGGGTGAGAACAGGGGCTCATGGGAAAGCCTGAGCAAAATCAGTTGAGAGTGATGAGTCCAGCCCACAAGGTTGAAGGTTCATTTATTTATCATTCTCCAACACAGGGTTGTACAACAAAATGCAAGCTGTAGTCCCTTTATGCTACACACAAAAGAAAAAAATATTATTTATGGTTGAGGATGAGTGTCGCAGTCTGAGGAAAGAAGCTGTACATAAAGGCATCAGCACTCGCACATAAGTAATGCTCAGCAAAATGCTTTCACTGCTGTGCAATTAATTAGTATATATATTACATACTTATTTGCAAGTGCTGACGACTAAATTTACTTTTTCATGAATTTTTGAGTAGGCACCCATCATACTCTAAAGAGGTGAGCACGCCAGGTGTTTTGTTTGAGGAACGAAGCTGCTCTGTAGTCTGGTGGTACAGCAACGGATACTTCTGTATCTCTTGGCAACAAGGTGAACAGGCTGGGGTGGGTGGGTGCTGGCTTTTAGCATCCTTTGGGCTCTGCACAGACACCTCACCTCACCAATATCACTGATGCTGAGCACCAATGATCTTCTAGGCAGTTTTAATCTCCTGCTGCAGAGTCCCGTCTCCTCTGTAAAAGAAGTGGCACAGGAATTTTGCTTTCTTAAGTTCTCTTAAGAAATAAAGTCTTTTCTGGGTTTTCTGCAGTCCCTCCAGGAATTTGCACTGTCACAACAATCAACGCAAATTCAACCAGTCCCAGTGAATTCAGTGCAATGTTGTAAATTTTGTCAACCAATTGTTGTATGCAAAAAAAGGGAAACACCATTTGCAGATTTCACTGTCTACTACAATTTCATTGCAAAAAATGCCTACAATTATCGCAACATGCATAGCAATTTATTTTGAAAGGCTGCTAGGAAGTCCGGCATTATAGGCCACAACAATCCAAAAAAAGCCTGCGGAATCCTGGAGAGACTGTTTCTTAACCAGGGGCGGATGTGAGATGACCATGACAGGTTCTCTGTGACGTTAATTCCCAGGAACCTAAAACTGTTCACCAGCTCCACCTCAGCTCCACTGATGGAAATGGGTGTATGTCTTTGCCTCTTTTTCTAAAATCAGCAATCAGCTCTTTGGTTTTACTGACGTTGAGCAGTAGGTTGTTTTCTGTGCACCACTCTGCAAGATCGTTGATTTCCTCCCGATATGAAGGCTCGTCGTTGTTTGAAATCTAGCTGATGGTGGTGGTGACTTCTTGTTGAACTCTCTGGGACCAGACTTTTTGATCTAAAGGATTTTCTTTGAAAAGACTGCACACTCATTATACCGACACAGAATCAGCACTTAAACAAAAAATGTTTTTTATGGTTCAATATGACATTCCAATTTTCCTTCACATCATTTTACCTGGACACATTCAAAGCAAACATTTGTCTGAGGATGCCATCATCATCATCATCATCATCATCATCATCATCATCAAAGGAGCAACCAGTCACTGATGTGTCCAGCACACAGCATTTTTAGTTGTTGTTGTTGTTATACACTCTGTTATTATGCATATATATATATATCATATATCATTCTAGCATTCAGCAATTTATTGTGTTATTTTATCCCAGGTGGATAATTGAGATATGTGTTTGAGCATGTGTGTGTGCTCTGCTTCATATATATTTTTTGAAGAGGCCATAACATTATTTTGGGGGTTTCCCTGTACTTTAGTGTGTTATATAGATTTTTTGTCGCTGTAGAAGGTGAGAAGTCCACACCAAAAAGTTACTATCTCCCACAGAAAACACTGCTCCAGCACTGCCTCACACGCCTCGTTTGTATTCAGGATTTTCTTCTGTTACTATATTACATCACATTGTAACAGCACCACCTATAGGCTAGGTGACAGTGAAACCTACTGAATCTGCACATCAACATATATAAAGATGAACGACATGACAGCTCTCCAATAGTGAAGCCAAAACATCCCAATCTCCCCCTGGTGGCTGGTTGCAGTATAGGTCCTAAACCCCACCAACTCTATGTTAGCAGATGGGACATGGGCCAAATAAAGATGTACACGTCAAATAAATATTTACCAAACATGGTTTCTGTCATTTTAGGTAGTTCTTATTAGGCTGATGTACGGTCTTATGTTCATTTTTCTGATAAGTTTGGTTTTAATTAGTTATTTGATGCTATAAAATACAGTGGCACCAACCACGATCACTACTGTGCAGACTCTGGCTCCAAATGGCTTAATTTTTGTACAGTGGAAGGAAATGGAGACCCAACGTCCAACTTTAATATGTGTGTGGGGGGGGGGGGACTAAAGACTAAAGCATGTAAACCTATTGCAGTAGATCCCCCAAATAAAAATATAAAATATAAACCTGACAATGAGAAAGTGTTTTGAAAGTGAATTAAAGTGTCAACTTAAGGCAACCACTAGGAACCACATTAGCAAACTTGTCATCCAAAAGCCTGATCCAGAGCTCTCTCACTAACCTGTCTTATCCATCGTCCCTGAACTTGAGACCTGAAAGCTTTTTCATTATTCAAACTCAGAATCACAACCTAAAGTGACCCTTTAAATTGGGCCGGTTTTGTAAAACCTCGGTCCATGGCTGCTGCACACGTTACTTTTACATGAATGTATGGTAAAAAAAAATCAGTTTGACAGCGTAGCATGTTTTCAAATCTATCAGCACACTGATACAGTAAGTGCAGATGGTTCAACTGACAGTTATCTTCAGGCTTCAGCCACACAGTTAGTGTTAGTCTCTTGTCTCTGTTTGACCTCTGACCATTAACAAACACAGCTCAATTTGATTTGATTGTCAAACTGATTTTGCCTCAAGGGGCGTTACATCCAGTCCTGCAGACCGACTTCCAGCTGCCATGAAGCCCACCCACAGTGGGACTGCAGTCAATAGTCTGTAGTGTAAGCTGGTTTAAAGAAAGTGCTCAGGCAGCTGTGAATGTGCAACAGCAACAGGTGTCCAGCGACGGGAGATGTCTCATACAGTATGTCTTAAAGTGTGCGTCTCCTTTCACAGGTCTCCTTGGCTGTAAGTCAATGTCCACTCTGCTAAGGAGTGCTCTCAAGAAGCCTCCATGTGCTGTCCACTGGACATCTTTGCAGTGTGTTTCATAAATGACTGTATTCTCTACAACCAAACATGATCAGTCAGTCAGTATCTGTCTCGGTCTTGGCTGTGGATGTCCCTGGTCCATTTGATCATAGTCTCTGGAGATCGGTAAAGGAAGATCAGTTTGGAGTAAAGTTCCTCTTCCAGTTCCAGCTCTCCTGTTTCACGCACCTGAAACACACACAAAGAAAGGATTTTCCAGAACACTCCCAACAGCATGAAAACAACTGTGTGTTTTCTACGTATTATTTAATAGATACAGTAAGTCTGTGCTGTAATATTGCATATTTCTCAGTTCAAGAACAGCTTATTCAAATGTGTGCATGCCTACAGTAAATGCATGCACTGTGTGTGTGTGTGTGTGTGTGTGTGTGTGTGTGTGTGTGTGTGTTAGTACCAGGAAGATGTCTGTGCAGAGCTTCAGGATGCGGTCCACACAGGGCAGCTCCTCAAACATGATGGAGTGGGAGATCTCACTGAAGAAGCCACGCACAAACTTCCCAATGACTAAGACCACAGACACATACAGGCCCATGATCCTGGAAGGAGACATTATTAAAAGAAAAGAAAAAGAATATTTACATTCAAGAGGAAAGGGGGAAAAAACACAAAGGCAGGAGGAGTAGATTACTTTTTAAAGGTTTTAATGTGGAAATGATACTTTTTTTCACACACACACTATTGTTCCAAGCAGGCTTCGTTTTATGTTTTAATACATAATACATGTCTGGAGGGGATCTTTAATGATACTATAGCTGCCATGCATATTTGACAAACATCGGCTGAACATCACAGCACTGTCATCAATGTACTGTAAAATCATTGATGAATGGATTAAAATAGGACAGTTTACTTGCTTAAAAGGTCAAAACTGTGATAGAGTCTCAACAGTATTTATAGCTGGACTGCCACTTTTAATCACTTATATCCAAACCCACTCCCACGCTCCATGGCGTTAGAAGCTAAAAACATAGACCCACAAAAGTAAAAGTAAAAGTAAAAGTAAAAGAAAATTCTACCAGCCATTTTAACAACAAGCTGGTCTGCCTGTCATGAAATATCAAGCATATATCAAGTTTAAAGTAAACATGATATCTTATATTGCTTAAACATATAAAAATATCATAAGTTTTACAGCTTTCAATCTGTCCATTGAAATGGATCTGACTGTCACCTGAAGGGAAATAGGGAAATACTGTTTTTATTCTGAGTGTTCTGATTTGATGTTCCAATAATACAACATTAGAGTAGAAATCCATTATACACTATTAAACTGTACATTTTATCTTTTATATATATATAGTTATATATATATATTTATATATATGTTCTTAACATATACAAAAATATAAAGTAGCTTAGTGTGTAAGGACTTGGCTTGGGAACCGGAGGGTTGCCGGTTCAAGTCCCACAGACCACAAAATATGGAGTGTGGACTGGTAGCTGGAGAGGTGCCCTTGAGCAAGGCAACCTAACCCCAAAACCTGATCATGGGGCGCCAGATACATTGCAGCCCCATCACTCCACCATCTCTCTCCCCTTTGCATGTCCAAAAGTGCATTAAGTGTGCATGAAGTGTGTGTGTGTGTGTTTATAAAAAGAGTGAAAAGAAAAATTTCCCCTAAGTTATCAATTAAGTATATCTTCTTCTTCTTAATATATGTTGTTTGTATATCTAGAGTTTGTAACGAAAATAATTTCCCCCTGGGATTATTAAAGTATTTCTGATTCTGATTACAATATATTTTTGTGTTTGTAATATATTTGTGTTCTGAAGGGGTTAAATTGTTAAATATGATATATTAAATATGTATATATCCAACCCATGTTGTTTGTGGGTGTGTGTTCCTTACCCATATCCAGCCAGGAATCCCAGGCTGGGTGGGCTGACTTTGTCGTTGAATATGACCATCGGCAGAACCCCACATGAGGAGGGGGCACAGCCTGCAATAGCAATGTCCCACCACTCCTGGTTCCCACTGCCATTTAGCGATCTGTCACTCATCAGGGACAGGGTTATATTCAGGTAACTATCTTCATCACCTATAAAACAACCAATCAGCAGTGTTAAAACACAGACTTTAAAGTGTGAATAACACATATAAACACTGGTATCCAGAGATTGTCACTGTAATGGTATTTAGGCTGTTAGTTGCTAAGCTGCCATCTAGTTTTTATCCTTCTGCAAACACCCGAACAGGCTCTTTGTCAGAATTGTTGTAGTATTATTGTGCTCTGGAGCACCAAGTTGATCAAATAACCCCCTAAGACTCAAATGTCCTAAAGACTATTTTAAAGGTAGGTAAAGGTATTTTATTGATAACCCCTGACCTAGTGTTTCCTTATGGAAAACCTGGTTCTGGTAGAACTGTTACTCTGTCCTGCACTTAGAATAGATTGACATCTCATTTGGGTAGCCCCTTTCCATGACTATCTAGTCCAATCCTGGAAATGATTTTGCCCGTTTTAATATTATATATATATATCTTATTTTGACAGTAACTCCATGAACTCTGACCTTTATGTAGCTGACTGACTGGTTTGGCTTCAGCTCCATTGGGGGCACGGATGTAGTGAGGGAACATATTAGGAACATGCCTGGGAAAGAGACAAGACACCATCTGTAAGATACAACTGTATGTATTAAATAAATATGAAATAAAACGTGCTCCAGAGAGTAAACCTACACAGGCCCAGTGCGATTGCCAACCAGTAGTGAGGCCAGATCTGCTCTGACTGGGTTTCCAGGTTCCAGGTCTATAGAGTGTTTGTCAAAGGTGTGTTCCACTGTTCCTCCTTTACCCAGGTCCCTGTCAGAGACAGATACAAACAGCTTTTAAAGATAATAAAATTCATAGATACACAAATATGCCACTAAAATTCCTGTGAATGGGTGCCCTGGTTTACAAAAGTTTGGGAACTGTGCAGCATCATTTCCATCATTTGTCACAGTCAGCTGTCAGCTGTCAGCTTTAGCATGCTCATATTAGTTTACAATTAACCAGTAAGTTTGGTTATAATTATGCATAATGCATAATGCCATTTTGTAATAAAGAGAGCAAAGGTGTTACCTCTGGAAAGTCCAGGCGAGACGTAGTGTTAGGTCAACAGGACTTCCAAGTAGTTCTTTAATGACTTCCTGCCTGCTGGGGGGGCTGATCCTCCATACCGACCCTGAACTACCTTCGATCAGGGCCGTCACGATGTCCTCGTAACTGTAGAGAGTGATGAACTGCATGGCTACCTAAAAGCAAATACACACAAAATTACGTATGAAAAATAGGTATACAGGAAGTAACTCAAGTAGGACACACACACACACACACACAAATGAGAAAATGCTAAAAAATCGGTATGTTTACACAAAGTACTTTAAGTATACAGTAGAGTTAGAATAGGGTAGTGAAAGCTAAATGGAAACGTTTACCATCGACAATGTTAAAGCCTGAGTATTCAACAATATTACAGACAGAATGACAGAATTTTTTAAATACACTTGACAATGGCACATGGAGCCTGACCGAACCATACAGGACCAGCCTGACTACTGTCTAAAGCACAAACAGACAGACGCATTAATCAAACTTAAATCAGTACACACCGCATTGTCTCCAAACGTTTGGGTGAGTTGGTCATATTCAGCCTCTGTGAAGGGCTGGATGGACTGCTGTTGCACACTCATGGTGAATAGGGGCTACACATGCACACAGACAAAATACACTAGTGAGTTATACACATTTGATAAACTCTGTTATGCTAGGTCATTTGTGCTTTACATTTGTACCTGGTTTCCATTTTGCACTACATACTAAACAGATTTCCCTTTGTGAATAAAATGAATCTTTTGCAAACTGATATCGGAGATGTGCATGGTAACTAATAAACCTTTTATAAGCTGTATTTTTTAAGAGACAATAGAACAAATCTCAAACGTTAATTACCTCGTATCCTCCTAGCTTGACAGTCACTGTGACATCGATGGGGTGGTTGACCACACCCACCACAGATCTGACCAATGAAATGAAGAGAAGGGGAAACCAGATGATGCAGATCAAGAAGAAGATGATGAGTCCACCCATGCCATATTTCACTATCTTCTTTTTCTTCTGCCCTTTAGGCTGTGGGTATTTCTGTGGGAAATAAACAAAAATAGAATATTCACTATTTTCTTTACATGTAATGCTACTACAGTTTAGAGGAAACAATCCACCACCATAAGGTGGAGGTGTTTGTGTGTCCCTGTGACCTTGGTAGCTGTCTTGTCAGGGGCATTAGCCCTTGGTAGGGACTCCATGGCAAACCGGCCCCAGGTGAGGGGCCAGACTAAGAGAGATTCAAAGACCCTGGATGAATCGGCATCAGCGTGGAATTAGTTGCTTCTCAAGTGAAGGAATTCAAGTATCTTGGGCTGTTGTTCCAGAGTGAGGATAAAATGGAGCTTGAGACTGACAGCTGGATTCATGCAACATATGCCGCTGACCTTTAAGGCGAGGCTCTTAATTTAACAGTCAGTCTACGTTAAAACCCTTACCTATGGTCATAAGCTTTAGGTAGTGACTCAGAGAAGGAAATAATGAATACAAGCGGCTGAAATGACTTTCCTTCGTAGGGTGGTGGGCTTATCCTTAGAGATAGGGTAATGAGCTCAGAAGTCTGAAGGGGACTCAGTGTCGAACCACCACTTCTTCAAGTTAGGAGGAACTACCGGGGAGTTCGGACATCTGATAAGGATGCCTCCTGGAGGCCTACCTGTAGAGGTTTTCCATCCAACTGGTAGGAGACCTGGGGGTACACCCAAAACACACTGGAGGATAATATATCTCATCTGGCTTGGGAACACTTCAGGAGGAGTTGGAAGATGTTAAGACTATGATATCATTCAAATTTGACCAAATGTGTTTGACTATAAGGAAGGTACTCTACTGAATGCCACCCACTAAAACAGAAGAACTGAAAAAAGGCGTATGTGGAGGTGGGTGTGGTTTGCGCTCAGCTACAGGAGAGAGAGAGGTGTGGGGAAGGCTTGTGAGAGAAGCACCAGGTGAGTTGATTACTGCAGCTGCTAATCGTTGTCTAATCACTCTACCTTTATCTTGCAGTAGTGTGCTGGACCTGGGAGGGGAGAGGCTACTGAGAGCGAGAACCGCAGAGTAGCAGATGAGTGATGAGTGTCGTTTGTGTTGGTAACAGTAAGATTGAAATAAAAGTTACGTTTACCAACCACCCGGTCCGAGAGTTTGTGTGCTGCCAAGACCCACTGTCGTAGCGAGACCTGCTACAGTGTATAAAGTACGGTCACATCATTTTCTATTTAATGAAATTGCCCTGCACTCACAAAAAGGATGTGATGCAGACAATAAATTAATATTCATCATGATGCTGCAGTTTATAGTCTGTAGTGTGATATACTACAAAACAGGGTTGAGTTCTTCATTTGCAAACACGATGCACAATCACATGATTTGGCTGCCCTTTATCTGTTACCTGAGAAACAACCCATAGTGCACTCCCTGTGTAGTCTACTGCCCATTCATTATTTCCATTGCAACCATTGTTATATACTACTTACTGAGCAGAAGAGTGGAGCCTGGGTGTATTGAGAGTATATGTATGTTTTGTTCTGTTCTCTGTGTGTTTAGTTATGTTGTAATAACTTTGTTTTTTTTTTTCATACCTTCTCTGTCTCACGGCTGCATTTAATGATGAAGATGTTGGCATAAATGTCCTCCACACACATCCAGTTGGACAGAGACAGAGTGGTGTCAGTCCAAACCCAGTCCATCACCGCTCGCAACTCCACCAGGAACGGCACCAGACGAAACCTACACACACACACACACACACACACACACACACACACACACACACACACACACACACACGCTTAGCATCCCTATCAGACTGTCAATATACTATATGCTGATTCTTTACATGTAATATTTTTCAATCTGTTGTTATTTTTTCATTACACATAAGCCCGGAATACACAAACATAAACACAAAGGACTTACGGAAATGCATTAATCGTAATCTCTGTATTATAGATACACATACTGTATCCACCGGATTGTGGATCTCATCCTTGCAGGGGGACTAAAAACATTATGTATAAATAAAATGCAAACTGAAACACATGTGCATTCTGCTAAACAGCACAGACTGCTGCAGATTTGCTTTGTGTCCATACCCTTGGAAGAGAAACAGGTTGAGGTGGTTGTATTTCTTGGTAAGGAAGTTCCCGAGGATACGAGTGGGGTATCCACAGCGGATCTGATAGGCTGACAGGCCGAAGTAAATACACTTGACAAAGTACCAGAGCTGGGCCACAAAGTTCTGATTGAACTTCCTAAACAGAGAGGAGGAAAGACAAGGACAATTAAAGCTTGTTCAATCAAACTTGCAGCAGTACTCTTAAGGATCAACTCGTATATGTGGTATCATACCATAAGGATTATTCATTTTACTATCGACCAAATCGCAGGTCACTCACTGCAATTTGGTCTATTGGTGATGTAATAATTTAATAATAAATACACGATTTAGACTTCACCTTTCAGTGACAGCTGGCAGGATGAAGAACATCCACAAGTGGATCCCAAACACAAGGATCACCTTGAGGGAAGTAATGACAGAATGATCAAATACTTTAAAAGCAGAAAAGCAAATTAGTAGAGATGTTGTAAGAATGAAGAGCAAAGGGAAATCTAAACATCTCATCCTATCACATATTGCAGGTCACTTTGGGCCTTTCCAAAAGTCACCTAGTTTTTACCTGTGACATTAGTTTGCCATCTGGGCATTAATCAAGTTACAGGATGTTGCAGAATGCTTAAACAGGCATGAAAATCCACTCAGTGGTGTCTGATGTAACTAGTGATGGCCAATGAGGGAACAAACAACTGGCAGAGAGCCACAGTCCTCCAGAAAAACATGGAACCAGACAGATACATGAATGCTAATAATCTGAGCACTTGAACTGAACCTGGAAGATGAGTTTTCCCAAGACGGCCTTGCGCAGGTACAAGGCTCTGTCGATGATCATAGTGCTGAACTGGATGAGCAGCATCACCAGGAATGCCTCAGGAACCTGGTCCTCCGACAGGGTGGAGGCTATATCAGCTGCTGCACTGTGTTTCTGAAGGAGAGAGACGAAAGTCAAGAGGGCTTTTCTCTGTTAACTGACTCAAATGTTATGTTTAAAATATGAAATGTCTTCTAATATTTAGTATATATTTATATATTATACAACAAAAATGTAATAAAATAATAATAAAAGCACAACATAAACTGCTTTAGATGCTAGGCCTGTTTATTGAAGAGCAGGAAACCATTGTAGATTAGATCACCTGTTTATGTTTGGCCTAGCTAATTGATGAATTATGAATGAACTTCTTAAGTCCCGCCCCTTTTTGCTCTGTCCTCCAATAACAGTTGAGCAAGCCTCATCAGAACCTCAGTGAACTTTCTCCTTTCCTGTACTTCCATATGCTATGTGCTAATCTATATTGAAAAGACAACCTCACATTTTGAACATGTTCATAAGATTAAGGTGACATATATATGCTAATTAATCGTTTGTTAGCTAGCATTTTGCCAACATTAGCAAACTTTAGATGTGAGTGTATATATATACATTTATGTTGCGTTTTACTTGTTCTTGTCATTCAGACGAAACACATTTCAATTTCACTTCTATCTGAATCACAAAATTTGCTTTCTTCTTAGTGTAGTTTTCATTCATGTAAATGATTGATAATTGGTAAATCATTACAAACTTCCATTCAACCATCAATTCTTCCATCCATCTCTCACCCCAAATGCCCAAAAGCCAAAGACGATGATGATGAAGTCAATGACATCAGTCAGGAACATGAGTGCGTAGACATCGGTGGCAGCCCGATACTCAGCGTGTAGAATCCCCCTGAAGAAACCCTGAGTTGGCCTGTAAACACTTTGGACACTGCAGAGGAAAACAAAATGGGCATTAAACCACTGCATTCGTGGAAAAAGTCATGACATTTCAGTAATACATTACACTGTTTTAAAGCTGCAGTAGGTGACTTTTATGAAAATAATGTCATATTTACTGAAACTTTCACTATATCCTGACAGTAGTATGAGAGATAATCTGTGAAAAAGTTTCAGCAAATAAATAACCTACTTCTGCTTTAATTCCTCCTAGGGTTGCAACTAAATTATTTGTACTAATCTGAAACTATTTATTGAATAAATGATTGATTGTTTAGTCATTAACATGTGAATATATATTGATAAATGTTCTTAGAGGGTTACTGTGGTAACTTGTGCATACAATGACATTACATCATACTCACCCCGAGATGAAGACATGTTTTATCTTGGCTCCAACAGCCAGCAATCTCTTACTGGCTGCCTCTGTCCTCCTGCCTTTCTGCTTCTTCTTCACTGGTTCTTCACTGGGATCTGCCGTCTCAGCTGTGGGCTCCACTGGAACATCTGCAAACACGGAGGGATTCAACAGAATGAGCATCACAGAAAGATAAAATGTAAAGATAGTTTAAAGTCTTCCCTGAAATATAATTCTCTCTTTGTTACACATGCTGTACCAGCTTCTTTTGGTGCAAATGACACATCAGCACAGAGATAACAAGCTGAGTTGAACCCAACAGTCAATTTTACCTCAGTTAACAGCAAAATATACTGTCAGGCCTCGCAAAATAAATCTCAAAGCAAATACAGTCGGATGTGAAGTGGTCTTAATCTGATTGCCACAGATGGTTTTCTTCGGTCTCCACCAACGTACCTGAAGGAAATTGCAGTATTTTCCTCATTAGACTAAACGTCTCACCCTATCACTGTCGTGATTATTCTCCCCATAAGTGTGGCGGTAATAACTTACTAACATCTCAAGCGCGCCAAGAGAATGTTATTGTAACAATTTGAATAAGTTAGAGTTTATTTTTGTCAAGAGTAGTAAAGTGTGTGCGAGTCCCTTCTGGTTAACTGTGAATAACCCTGTAGCTGTGCCAATTACTATTATTATTTCAGGCTACTGTATAAACATGGCAGTTCAACATGGCGGACTCTGCCACTTATTTTCACGTGATTATACACTAATGAAAACATACCTATGAATATTATATTCCAATTCTGCCAAAAGATCCTCCTAAATGTTACACACTGGACCTTTAAGGTACTTTGTACTTGACAGCGATATGAGTGAGAGTTATCTCAGGTAATACTGCGTATATTATTGTAACTTGAATAGGTACTCTCTACCTTCCTGTAGATGTATTTATTTGTAAATTTCTATATTTTTGAAAAATGAATAAGACTAAAGTTCTCACCCTATCGCTCACGTGATTATTTCTCCAACAGTGTCTTTTTCACCATGCGGGATGGTGAGAATAGACCTTAATCACTGCAGTTATGTTGACTCATCACTGTAGTTAGAGAGTGAAGAAGCTTGCACAGTACTAGGTCTGTGGAGTTAACGGTACCATAACAGTCCACAAACCTTTGCTGTGCTGTCGTTTGGGTTGTTTAGGTTTCTTGCGGAAGCGGATACTGCTGCTTTTCTTCGGGGCTTCCTCTATTGCCTGCTCATCGTCTCCCTCTATCTTATCCTCCTTCGGCCTGCTGGGGGGATTCAGCCCGGACGGAGTTTCCTGTTCCTCTTTTGACTCAGTGAGAGCTGGTTCAGCTGCAGGAGGTTGTGGGGTAGCAGCAGTGGTGCTGGTACTTGGTTCTGCATCGTCCTACATTGACAAACAATGGATGTGAAAAACTGTAAAAGTAGAGTTTCTTTAAAAATAAGTCTGATTATACTGCATGATGTCACACTCTATAAAGGCACTTCTTGATAAGTAAGTAACTGTTGGGATCCAAGGATACCTTTAAATATGAACTTGTTCATTTGAAGTGTTTAACTGGACCAAAGGGAACAAAACCTTACTAGACCCGCCAGATAACAGACCTCACAGTGGGGGTCCAGGAAAAGGTTTAAAGGCCATAAACACCCAAACACCGGCCGTCATTGGTCAGAGATCTTTGGACACCAGACCTGTCATCACGGCTATTTAAACCAGAGAGACACTCTTCTCTCTCTCTCTCTCTTCTCTCCTCCCTTCTCTCCTCGCTCACACACCTACACGCCTGAAAAGTTTTGGACCTCGGTGCGGCCAGACCCGCCCACGACGCACGACAAAGGATTATAGCACGGCACAAGAGCCTGCTTTTTCCTGCGATCCCTGGCCAGCGCACCGCTAACTGAAGTCAACATCTGCAGCTTTAACCAGAAAGTCTGTCAGCTGACTTTACCGGAGCAGTGCGACGTTAACGCCGAGTCGTTAACTCTACAGAGCAACAAGCAAAACGCCTTTTCCTCTTGCTATCTGTACCAGCGGACATCACACAGACGAGACTGTTTGGACCTCAGAACCACAATCCTGATCAGCCCGGCTCACAGGACCGCCGGCTGACGTACTGGGCATAGATAGATAACTAAACAGAGTTAACGGCTAGACAAGTAGGCTACTGTTTAATTACTGTTAATGTTACTGATGTGTTTTATTCAAGTTATTGTTGTATTGTGATGTTGATTTGATTAACTGAGGTTACTGTAGTAACTGTAGTCTTTCAGATAGTGCTAAGGTGATGTTAGTTTAGTGTTATGCTTCACACAGACATCGTCTTTGCATGCAACTAACTGACTTTTAAAGGCACCGGTAATTTAAGATCACACACATACATATACATACATAACCCTTATCACACACACGAGGGCAGGGATTCAAACCCTCGCGCTCCTCTATGATCTTTGTCTCTCACCATACCCTGGAACATCTGGTCAGAGGTCAAAGGCCATAAACCTTTAATGGCAAGCACACACACACACACACACACACACACACACACACACACTCCTTTTTCCTCTAGCTTAGTTCCTTTAAGTTAGATTGTATATTGTGTATTTTTCCTCTGTTTGCTTTTATTATATCTGGTTAATAAATGTTTGTGTTTACATATGCTGGCCTGTTTAATTTCGTACAAGAGTGAGTGATACCAACCTCTTCTATGTAGAACTCCAAAGCTCCCACTTTAACTATTATTAATAATTTTGGTTGTAGTTATTAATTTAACTATTAATCTGATTTCTGAATAAATAGTTTAGTGTATTTTTATGAGACTGATCAGTCGATTATTGGTTATCGTTTAGTGCCCCGAGGATCTTTATTATTAATTAAAGTCATATTCTATTATCTGTTGATAATTATTATTTTTGATAACCATTAATTGATTAAACCAATACCGTTAGACCACTCTAACATCCTACGACGAGAGCACGACAGTAACCAATAGCATATTTATATTATAATATCAAATAGTACCAACCTTTTCAAGTTGGTCCAGTTCAGGGATTTCCAGCTTTTCCAGGATGGATGTTGAGCCAGCTCTGCCCTCCTCATCCTCCTTTTCTCCTCCTCTCTCCTTCCTCTTTCCATCTTCATCTCCTTCTTTAGTTTTTTCTTCATCCTTACAACTCTCTGGTAAGGGGCTCTGCTCCTCAAGGGGGCCCTCGTGGTCCCACAGGCCATAACGCTGTGCCCACACAAATACACACAAACACACACAAAGTGGACACACAAAAATATGTGAGGCTAAAGTAAAGCATTATATACAGAAAAAACTTTTTGATAAAGGAAGCATCTGAACAGGGTACATTAGATAACAGCCTGAGCACAATGTTCCTTATCATGCTGTACTATAATACAGGTTCTATGGCACTGCTCAAAGCTGAACATTCAGAAGACACCCACATCAGGTTCAAACACCCAGAGCAGCAGTGTGGACCAGCACAGCATTGGTGGCTATTCCTGCCAGTTTACTGCTGTGGAAATACAGTATAGGTCTTCTTTTCACCATTAGAGTTTCTTTCCTTGATATTGTGTGTGTGTAGCCATCAAATGCTTACTTAAGACCCTTTTGTAGGCTTCCGATGTTAAAACGAGTCATTGGGAAAACAGAAAAGTCAGCCAGACACTGACTTTGACCAACTGAAATTAACAGCTAATAAATATTAAACACAAAAAAGTGAGATTAAAAGACTGCTTTTCTTAATTTTGTCTGAAATCAATGAGTGGAATATGATATGTAAACTCCATACTGCAATTAAAAGCTTGACAAATGGGGCTTAAAAAGACCTACAGAAACTGTCCACTGGCTGTATCTAAATCTAATGGTTGGTTTTTAACACCAAGTGTAATTGTAAAGGGGGTATATTTTGTGTGAAAGGTGGCAAAGTGACCCTTCCTACGTCCCACCCCTTTTTTCTTTTTTTCTTGCTTTTTTTATTGCCTTTATTTGATAGGACAGCTGAAGACAGACAGGAAAGGGGGGCAGAGAGAGAGAGAGGGGATGACACGCAGCAAAGGGCCGCAGGTCGGATCCGAACCCCAGGCCGCCGCAGCAAGGACCCAGCCCCGGTACACGGGTCGCCGGCTCCACTGACCGAGCTACGGGCACTCCCATCCCGCCCCTTTTTGCTTAACTATTACTGGAGCACAGAGCAAAGAGGGGAGGGACTTAGGAGGAGTCAGTTATGCTTTAATTGAGTTCACCCTGTCCCACATCTTTCACACGGTCTTGCTTACTGGCTGTCGAGTGTAACCACCCCTGTAATCGCTGTGAATACTGACCATGAGCAGAGATCTGTGGAAGAACAGAGCCAGCAGCTGAAGAAGATCATATCTGATGTAGTTGTCAGTCTTTTCCAGGCCCAGGATGCGAGGTGGGAAGAAAGGTTTGTCTTCATTTAGGGTCATCTCATAAACACTGTTCCAGGGAAAGAATCCAAACTGGAAAAGGTATTTTACCACCACCATCACCTGGAAAGGAGCAGAGCAGCACAGCGGTACAACCGGTCAGACCAGAATAGAGCACAGGCAGCAGTACACATGCTGCCCCCCATCCAACCAGTCAGTAACATATGTAAGCTTATTGTGACTTGTTGTTAGCACTTCTCTTTGACTCATTACTGTAATTCAATAGGGGTGAGAGATCTCATAAACTGCAACAATTAATTGATTAGTTGTCAACTATTAGAGCTGCAGTAGATAACATTTCTAAAAATAACTTTTTGTCATTACTGCTGAAACTAGTAGTAACAAGTAGAATATGAAACAGATAATCTGTGAAAAAATCAGGCTCCTCTGGCTCCTCCTAGTGCTCCTAATGGCATTAGCAAGAATCCACCGGGCCTGAATGAAAACAACCAATCTGAAAAAGATGTAAAGACACTTGGAGGCTTTAAGATAGTTGATTGCTGAGTCTCATTCCCAGGGTCCCAAAGCATCTGTATATGACACCATAGGAATGAGACTCAACAATAAACTATCTTTCTTGGCTCTGATTGGTTGTTTTTGTTCAGGCCTGCATTTGAATCCTTGCTAATGCCATTAGGGGCACTAGGAGGAACCAGAGAAACACGATTGTTTCACAGATTATCTGTCTCATGTTCAGGATATAGTAAAAGTTTCAGCAAATACGACAAGAAAGATTTTTTTCTAAAACTTACCTACTGCAGCTTTAAATTAATCACCAACTATTGATAATTAGTTAATCGTTACAAGTCATTGGACCAAAAAAACGAATTGATTAATCAATAAAATGATTGAAAGATTCATCAATAATGAAAATAATGGTTCGTTGCAGCCCTACTTGCTGCTGCTAGAAGCGATGAGAGTGCTGATACTAAACCAAGACAATAGCTAAAAGAGGCTATAAAGCTGTCGAGCCAAAGGACACTGCAGAGATGGTGGACTTTTATTCTCAGAGTGTGCGTCACTATGCCCTCTTTCACATGGTGTTATAAAAATACTGACTAGTTTAGCTATAAACTAATTGAAACCGATAAACATTTTTAAAACATTTACTCTCAATGCATTTGTGAGATATTTAGACCTGTAGTTTGGACCTGATATGCAACTGGGGTTGGCACTGATGGATGGATGGATTTTGGTGAATGCCAAAACAATAGCGTCAGAGAGCAATACATGCTATTTTTTGAAGTACTGTTCTGTTATGACCCTAAGGGCCTCTGATGCTTTGGTATTTTTTAATCATGCAGTAAAACAGTATAAAAAGTATACCTCTGTGTAGACTATAGCAGTCATCCAAAACCTCTTGGTTGGTCTCGGAACAGCCAACATAGCCCACAGGAACACCAGTATGGGCAGCACCAGGGATATGACAGAGGCACTGACCACGTTGTTTAACACTATGATGAAATAGCAGACCAGCTCTGAGTTGGCTGCCAGCAGGTTGTACAAGGCGAACAGCAGCTTCAGCAGGCGGTTCTGGTTGTGATAGAAGTCCCTGTTCTGTTCCAGCTCCTCGATGAAGAACTGCCTGCAGGGAGAAACCGGAGAGTCAACCATGAATTTGTATTCATTTATCCTTGTATTCATCACCAAGGCGGTCACATAAAACCGGTAACCACTGTCCCTGTGGATCATTGTTGGCCTTCTTCAGTCCACAGTATCTACCTGTCTCCCAGTAGCTCACTGGCTGTTCTGGAGTGCCTATGTTGTTGTTTGGATGGCACCGGTAGCAGATCTGTAATGCTGGATTGGGGTTCTGGACTCAAGAGGTTCCCAGTGCTGTTGAGCCTTGGCCTGGGTGTAGACCGGCCTGTTACACCTGCGCTGTCCACCTCCAGGCAGCTGAGAGGGTGATTTAAACACACATAAAAATACAACAAAAACTGAGAAACTGAGATGGAAAGTGGATATTCGTACAGAAACTTATTGAGAAAAATGTTTTCATGTAGAGCACCTCTAGTAGCCACTCTTTAAAACAGGTGGGCCATACAAAGACACTATAAAAGTTTATATACTGTATGAAAACATTAATATGACAGCAAATGTTGCACCGTTTACTTCTCTAGTCTGTAGAATAACAATCTGAGCCTGTAAGTGGCAAAAACAAGCACTTTTAGTAGATGTACTTTAATGGTGCATTTGTCCCCAAGGATTTGCTTATGTTAAATAGCAGCCCATTTTGCAGTTATTTTCTCATTTAACTTTGTGAATTAAAGGTTTATTTCAACCAAACCAGCATTGATGAAAAAGACAGTTTTGATGATTTTTATTTTGAAGTGTATGTGTTTGTAAGTATGTGTTTTATGATCTGGGAAATATGTGTTTTTGTTAATGGAGTCTGGTGGGCTACAGCATTCACTCATTTGTTTTGATCTGAGATGCTGACACTCTAGTGTGGCAACCAGTCATATACAGCACCTTTAACTATGCCAGTAGTGACACTAAACATGTACATTTTGTCATTTTGTTCTGAGGGTATCACTAGAGGAAACGGTAATGAGGCATTGAAAACAGAGAGAATGCATCATTTATGCTTAGTAAATTTCATGACAACAAACGCACCTGGCACAAAAGCATTACTCCTTCCAAGCTGCAGAACAGCATCCACAGAATTATGTGTTCTACACACTAATTTCCCCACTAACCTGTATCTGGTTGAGGTTTCTGCATCAGTCTCATCCAAACAGGTCTCCAGTGTGGGACACTCACTGCCCTGAGACAGCTGGTCATCTGTGGAGTCTGCTGTGTGATGCTGCCAATCAGAGGGAGACAGAAATAAGTTAGAGGGTGTGTGAGTGTGGGGGGGGGGCTTGTCTGGGTTGAGTGTTCAGTTCCAAAGATCATGATTTAATTAAACGTACTACAAGGAGTCTCACTTTAATGTGGATCCCTCTATATGACCTACATAAACAAACAAAACAGTCAGCAAGGAGAGTATATAGTTAACCAGGCAGTAGAAACACTACCGCCAGAATTAACACAAAATGAAAAGTTCCTTGCAGGGGCTTTAACAAAAATCTCTGTGTTGTCTTTACCTGCTGTATCTTGTGTATGTTGAAGTAACGTTCGTTGCACAAAACTGTCGACGTCTCTCTGTACTGTTTAGTCAGCAGGTTGAGCCACTGAGTCACTCCGTCCACCATGGCCAGAATGATTGCCCATAAGAAGCGCAGGATGTCCAAGATCCTCTGAACCATCTCACCATGAGCTGCAACACACACACACACACACACACACACACACACACACACAGAAAGGAGAGAAAAACAGGTGATACAGTGAAGGATTTAGCATAAACTTTAATTTCTCTGTATGTATAAAATGTATGTACAGGAATATTCTCACACTTCTACTAGCTCTGTCTTGTAAATCGTGTTTTATAATGACAGCAGAAGGAGAGGCTATGTGTACTGTTATCTATCTCATAAATAAGGCTATCTCAACCTAATAAAGCTGAGAATCTGAACCAATCAGCCCAATCGATCATAGATGGGAAAAATTCTGATTACCAATATGGCTGCTGATATAATGATTTTATTTATGAGCTGGAATGAAAATAGAGCTTTTCTATGTGGAGTCCCCAATATGACTCTGCAAATGTACTCAGGAGGCTGCATTCTTAAACAAATAACTTTATTAAAGAATATTTAAGTGAAATATTCTTTAACATATTCAATAATTGAACATATACATTGTCAACCAGTTGCTGGATAAACTTTGCAGTGACATCAATATTTTATTTTATATTCAATACCACAAGCATTTTTTTTCTGCATTATATACCACGGAAAAATTTATTGATTTCATATGGGTGCATATGTGATACAGATATGTCTGCAATAGGCCAATATCAGCTGATAATATAATAACCAGTATATCTCTCTGGCTCTTGTTTAGGTTTTTGTTAAGCGCCCCATTTTATGATAATACAATCAATATACTGCATTAATATAGCATTAATTAGTTACTCTTATGAGGAAAGCATTCATTCAGTACACACTGTAGTGCAATGGACACAGCAGCAGCAGCAGCATCTCATGGTGAAAGGTGGAGGAAACAAAGAACCACAACCTACCAGACTCCTGTTCCTCTGGCTCCTCTACCTCCTCCTGAACAAGGTCCTCGAACACGTCATTGTCCCCACAACCTGCACACACACAAATAACAAACACACTTGATTTATTGTCTGTGTGTAATCTGTAACCATTTACAACTCATCTGGTGTCTTTTTTCTTTTTCTCTTTTATTTCTTTTTTTGTTAGTCTTTATGAGTGCTCAGTGGTACCTATGCATTTGGATGATTCAATAGTAATCTAGTACTAATAGTAGTCAACCATAAGTTGTAAAAGGTAGGATATTTAAACCTAGAGATCATAGTATCATATTACTCAGAGGATGAAGCTTTTGCATGAAAATGTCAGTTAATACAAAATATCAACATCAGTAAATATTATATATATAATATATATAACATTTTTAAGGTAAATTCAGTTCACTAACTATTGATTCCCTTTAGAGTTGCGGACCAAAACTAAATTTCTGTCATAAGTATTGTGACATGCTCACTGTAATCATGCCAAGTCTGCAAGGACTATGAGACAGCCTTTCAGACCTCAATAGTTACCATGGAAACAAATATTACAATGAATTTAGGTTAATCTTACAAAGTATGTTGAAGCCTGAAACCAGACTCCAGTATCCAGTAAAACATCTAGAAAAACACTTTGCATGTGAGTAACCACATTGCTTAACAGTGTAAAATACAACAGCCCTCCAGTTTGCTGCGTTACTGTGTCTCAGCTTATGCTCTGGCATCCCTGATGGTTAAAGAGAGGGATATATTTAAGAATATATTTTACCTATCACAGAGAAAGGCTCCTGTTGTGACTCCACTCTTGCTTCTTGCTCTTTCTCTTTTTTCTCAACCCTCCTCAACTGTCTCTGGCGTTTCTGACGTTCTCTCAAAGCTGTTTTCACACTGGTCACCCACGCTTGGTACGCCAGCTGAGAGAAAAAAACAAGAATTAACAACTCAATAAACATTTAAATTACAGTTTAAACACTGCAGGTTAACCACAGCAAAACATTTTGATATACAATTACAACTATATACAGTATACAATATTGATTACAATCAGATATGATAGACAAGTGACTCCTGAGACAGGACTGTCTTGGTCTTGTTGAAGCCCCGCTGCTGTGTTTGTCCACAAACATGCATGATGATAAATATATCAATAGCTGCATTTTCATCCAAACGTCTTGAAAATTTTAACCAAATTTCAAGTGAATTGGCAAAAGAAAAGGTGAACGAATGCTTGCTTCCATCCACATTTGCTTCCATCCACATTTTGTAAAGTTTTTCAATCAATCTTTTCTAATGTGATACTTCCAAATCAATCAATGCAAATATATATACAATGACGTAAACACAGCTAATATAAGACTCCTGTTAAAAGAAGGTATATGGATATACTTGTGAATGAGTTGTGAGTCTGACCTGACAGGCAGTCTGTTTCTGAGGCTTCTGTTCTTCAGACTGTAGCTCCTCTTCATCCTCACTGTCTGATTCAAACAGGTAGTACTCTCCTGAGTGGAGCACTGTGAGCAGAAGAAACACGTTAAAATCTTCTATATGGAGATTATCTGAAGGTAGATCAGAAGAACTGCTTCACGCTTCACTCTCCCTTGTGCTAATCCAAGATAAATACCATAAACCCGTACCTGTAGCATGGTCCAACCACGGCTGGTGCCACTTTTTCTTCCTGGACTTCTTCTTGTCTGTCTGGGTCTCTGTAAGGAAACAAGGTTTTGGTTGGAGGAGGTGCTGCACAAGACAAACATACAGACGGTTTTGCTAATCTTGGAGTTTTACTACTAGTGGAATTAAAATGTGATTGTAACCTGAGGGGGGCGCTAGAGAAAGTCATGGGGTATTAAAATTAAATGCATTCATCTTTCATCAGATTTCATGGCCTATTGCCAGTAAGATTATGAAGAACAACTTAATAATATAACTCGGGTGATAATAAAATAACTTAATTTATATAACACCTTTCAAAAACTAAGTTGCAATGTGCTTTACAATAAAACAAAACAATATGTCAGGGCAATAAGCAATCATGGAACCAGATAACAGATATCTGGGCGAAGACTTCCTCTGCAGTCCGATTAGCAACTTTATACGCAAGACTGACGAGAAAGACACATTTTGGCTAATGTCTATTAACAGTTATCTGCATATGAAAAACAACAAGTTGACAACCATGTTACTGACAGGCCCAGAGGGACATAGTGAACATGGCAGATGTTTACAGACTGGTTTTAGCAGCTTGCAGAACGTTTTTACAGTCAAACAGTGAAGCAGCAAGTCCTACCGACAGTCTGACTCTCGTTGGAATCTCCACTTGTTTTGTGTCCATCTCTGCACTTCTGCTGCTTGGAGCGAATTCTCTGCATCCTGAGAGAAGAGGACAGGAACAGCAAGGAGAGGAGACAGAAGAATGGAACTTAAACTCTCTTTTGAACCCATGCTCTATGTATTCTAGCATTTACCTGCTAGATCTTTTGCCTACTGTATATTTAGATACATACACATACATACAAAGAGCTCAGGTGCTAGATTCAGTACACAAATTTAATTTGGAAAAATTTTATCTTTTGATTCAGTGGTATACACAATGTTTGAAGGTCATTAGTCATTAGTTTTGCAGGTGTTTAGTCAGGATCACCAAACTTGGCAAAATGTTGTGCTAGTTAAGTAGACGTAAAGATATTTCACCATGGATATAATGGCAAACCATCCAATAGTTGTTGGGATCTTTCACTAAACACCCAAAATAACAACCTAAGTTAAGTTCCTTCATTGATCCCCCCAGGAAAATTAATTCTCAGTATTTGAATCATCCTAAGCACTAGGAGCAGTGGGAAGCCACCATGCAGTGCCTGGGGACCAACTCCAGGGGGCCCTTTACCACCAAATTAGTTCTGATTCTTGCACCGGCAATATCTAGCAAACCAGCTCTTGTTTCCACCACTGTTGAGTGGAACCACTGTATTCTGATCATCAACAGAGGGCGCTGCACAATGCACACCGATCTGTAGAATATGACATGCCCCCACTTTGGTTCCCAAGAAAAGGTTCCAAACCAATTTATCCTTGGAGGCCAACTCGAGGTGCAACACTCAATAGTTAAGAATTTCATCATTGAGCTATTTCTACTTGTTACTAAAATGCTACTCATGAAAGCAAACTTCAGTTGTGAACACTTACGATCTCTTGAGCTGTGACAGAGATTTCTTCTCAGCTTGTTGGTGGAACTTGATGTTCTTCACAATACTGGCTCTGAAGAGCTCGAACCCCCTGAAACAGAAGAAACAGAAGTTAATTAATTTAGTTAGTTAGTTAGTTAGTTAGTTAGTTAGTTAATTTGCCAGCAGGTAACTGCCAGTTGGAAGTAACTGCGGAGCTATTATCTACAGCAATTCAATTAACAAAGAAAGTATGTCTGATTGATTATAGGAGTCTCTGTGTTTGGGATCTTGTGCTACATCTGTATCTCAGGGCCAACAGTTTTGAAAGTTTTGGCTTGTGACACACATTAAAATGTTATGTCTATATGTACTGTATATTTGTGATGCCTCATCAAAGAGTTTTTTGTATTTTGTATTTTTAAATACTCAAAATCTATTTGTAACAGAGACATTTTTTTTCTTTTCTTTACACCAATCAGAGCCATGAAAGATGAAAAAACCCTTTGGGTTGGTGGCTTGAAGATAGCTGATTGTTGAGTCTCATTCACAGCATCTTTATTTGACGACCTGGGAATGAGACTCAACAATCAACTACCATTCTTGGCTCTGATTGGTTGTTTTCATTCAGGCCCAGTGGATTCTTGCAAATGCTATTAGGAGCACTAGGAGGAGTAAGAGGAACCTGATTATTTCAGAGATTATCTGTATCATGTTCTAATGTCAGAATATAGTGAAAGTTTCAGCATATGAAATATGACAAAAATAATTTTTTTCTAAAAGTTACCTACTGCAGCTTTAATATAGTGGTGACCCCTAGCATTGAAAGCATTGCATTAGCTCCTTCATCCAGCCAGTAATCTGTATGTTGTGTCCTACCTAGAGGCCTGTTTGGCAGAAGCCTGCAGCTCTGCCACCACATGCAGGAAGTAGAAACTGAGGAAGACCCTCCTCTGCAGCAGCAGACAGAGAAAACAGATACTGTCCCAGATGATCCCGGCCTCCTCTACTGGGAGGCTGCAGGTCTTGTCACTCACTGCTTTTGCTGCCAGGGGAAGAAAACACACACACAATGACACATAATAAGATAAAAAAGAATTCTGCAACACTTGAACACACAGTCATTACTATAAATTAAAAAAAGCTACCTAATGTTGACATTTTTGTAATTTATTGTACTGTTTAATACAAAATCACTTCATAAGTCAAAGATCCCATGATAAACGGTAGAAAACACAACACTGTAATACATTATATTTCCTTAAATTATATAGATACTATTCCAAATGCGGCCAGTGTTTTTGTGTATTATTATCATTCTTGAAGCACTTACGGTCATAGTATCCTTTGACTGTGCAGACCAGGCTAAAGAGCTGAATCACCCAACAGAAGCCCTTCTGCATCTCAAACACAAACACACACGCCAGGATCTGAAACACACACAGAAATACACAATTTCTAGGTCAGGTCAGTGTTTTTATTCTTGCACACATGTATTGTGTGTGAAGATTTCTCTTTAAACTCCATGACAATGGCTTTCCATAATATCAAAGAATAGAGCGTCCTTTGATATTATCAACAGCTGTAATGGTACTAGAGTGCTTTGGGGGTCAAAGCGTCACTAGGAAAGTTACAAGCAGTCCAGATGACTCCTAAGTCAGTAGGGCCTTCTCAAAATCAGTCAGTATTTATTTATCAGTTTTGTATAATATACAGTGTCTTCACAAGTGTTTTTTTTTTAATTAAAGTATGTATGAAAATACACATTGGCATCGAATCAAGCACATTATTATATATATATATTTTACAATATATATATATAGTATAGTACATGTTATAGACCCAGTTTTATATGCAACACAATTCTATACAATGTATGTAGGGGTCCCTGCTCTGCCTCTATATAACAGGGGTCTCCAACTTAAATTGTCTTGGGGCCACAGCTGGTGTTGTCATCTCACTACTTACTATTACTTACTTACAACAAGAATGCGTAATACTGTGAAATTATTTACATTACTTCATACTTAACAAAAAGATGCAAACAGCAGTTTCTGTACAATTTTATATCATCTTTGTTGTTCACAGCCAAACAACAAATGAAGGACCAAAACCTGCTCTCTTCTTAACAACCCTTTGCACGGATTTTACCTCTGCCATCATTGTGTGTCAAAAAAAACATACATTTTTTAAAATAGAACTAAGCTTTTATTGTAATTGTATATGAATGGGTAGTTTAAATTAATAAAAATAATAATCTTGTACCTAATTATAACATCATGTTGTAGGCCGGAGGGAGAGGGATGGAAGGCCGGAAATGGCTCCTGGGCCAACAGTTGGACATTTCTGCACTATAAGCTACAGGGTCTGTGGCCTGTGCGCTATGAGCTGGGACTATCTGACACATATCACACATACATTGTTCTATACAAGAGGAAGGAAATAATGTATTTCATTTAATGCAGAATTTATAAGAAGCTAATGAAATATTAAGATTTTGACATAAAAGGCATTTAACAGCATTTATAGTTTACCCTAACTCAACAACTCAAAAAATGTGAGATTTTTTAAGGGAATCTGTGTACTTTTGGCAAGATTTTATGTTACATGTCGAAGTATCCTTGAGCAAGATACTGAACCCCGAATTGCTCCCGATGCTGTGCATTGGTGTGAATGTGTATGAATAAGTTAGTTTCTGTTCGATGGACTTTGCCATCACTGAGTGAATGTGTGTGAAAGGGCAAATGTGCCATGTAGTGTAAAAGCGCTTTGAGTGGTCGGAAGACTAGAAAGGCGCTATACAAGTACAGGTCCATTTCCCATTTACCAAATGATAAGCTTTCTACTTACTGATAACATATTTTTCGATACAATGACCGCCACGTTATAGATGATGAGACAGTCCCACAGGGCGAGGCGGGTTCTGGAGGGTTTGACCAATAGCTGGGTCCCAAACAGCAGGAAAAAAAAGCAGGCGAGCAGGTAGCCCAGTCCGAACACAGAGATCCTGGTGGCCCCAGTGATGAAGACCACTGACAGCACAAACCAGAAGAGGTGGCGAAACACCAAAACTTTAGCCATGTCCAGGTAACTCCTGGAGGAGGACAGGGGGAAAAAATACTTTATGCTTGAGAGTTGTATACAGTTGCATATAATGCCAGTATATATACTAGAGGTCACATATATGTATATATATGAGGCAGCCATATGCTCTAATGCTAATAAGTCTAGTTTGACTTACTCTCAAAAGTTTGACTTGATCGACTTTATTCTCAAAATGCAAACTTGAGTTCAGCTAACACTGACATACATATTCAGTCCAATATGCAGAGTAAAATATCCATATTATTTTTCAAAATGAATAAAATGTCCTATGTATTTTGTCTTACTGTCTGACTATAGCAGTCATACAGTACAGACGACCTCAGTATCACCGTCAGTCCAGCTCCTTACTAAGTATATGATCCTTCAGTTATCATTGCCACTGTTCCCTGATTACCTCTATTAGTGGTGTCCATCCTTCTATAAAGGATTCCCTCTGTACAATTTGCATGGATGTTATTTTTTTCATTGTATAAATACTTTGTATTGTTAATTGTTAACCACTCAGCATAGGTGGGGGAGGGTCCTTTTCAGACCAACAAATATTGGCTGATATATCCTTATCAGACTTTTTCCCTTCCTGAACACTGAGTAATGTCAGATGGTCTGTGTCTCTGAAGTAGTGGAACTACAGCAGGTTCAACTGTTGCTAAGTCAGACAGACTGCATTTACCTGCAGTTGATAAAGTTGGGCGCAGGGTTAAAAGGATGACCTTCCATCGGATCTGGGTTGTCTGTGTTGTCTCCTGCCAGAACCATCCACTCCTCTGTGTGCTCACACTCAAACACCTTCCACTGCTGGGATGCACACATCAGCAGCACAAAGTCCGCTATGGACACACACAACAACACAATGAATCACTATCATCATCACCATCATCATCACCATCATCATTATCATTCATTCATCTTCACCATCACCATCATGACCATCATCATCATTACCATCATCATCATCATAAAATGTAAATTAGATGCTTTTCCATCAACTGGTAGGCTACAGTTTCAATTTCTTCAGAAGTTAGCAGTATAGGCTTGGATTTGGTTCAATACAAATAAAACATTCAATACATGTGAACGTTTTTAATTACTGTATAACGTTTTTATACCAAGCATTAATTTAGAATTATGGTGTTCTAGAAATTAGAATGTTTAGTATAATTAAATTTAATAATTTAGGAAATATATGTGCACACATTGAGTTGTTTGAGAGTTAATCTGACTCACTAAAAACAGCCAGAATTTAAAGGCTTTGAATGCAAAACATCTGTACATGAGGTGTTCAATGTTGACAGTATCTTACAAGTCCATATGTGATATAGTGGAAGAGCATGTGACAAAGGCAGACTTGTTTTGTTCATACACATAAATGAATGAATGAGTTAACTCTGACACACACACACACAGACACACACACACACACACACACACACACACACACACACACACACACACACACACACACACACACACACACACACACACACACACAAACTGACCTATGAGGTTTTTGGAGTTAGGTACAGTGTAGAAGTCAGGCAGATAGATCCATTTAATGAGAGCTGAGTTCATCAACACTGGAGTGTTCCACCGCCATGGGTAGTCTGTGGGACACACCAAAAAACACACATACAGGTAGGTACAGGTAGAAGAAGGTTCAGTGTCACACAATTTTTTCTACAGTAGTTTAACTTCAGCACAGCTCTATGTATGTGATGCCACGTGGGTCATAATCTGAAGTTTGCTTTCTACAACAGTCATTGCATATGCGAGAATTTAACATTGTGGCCAAAGCACTGAACTGTACAGCACTCATAAGTTCTATAGAAATACACACTCTGTGACCTGAAGCTGACCCTGACTTTTTTTTCCTCTATATTATTCTACGAATTTAATTATCATTTTCTACATGTGTAGCATGAAGAAACTACAAACTGTAATTTCACTATCAGTGTTGGGCAGTAACTCATTATTAGTAATAATATTACAGTAATAATATTACTTTCTCCATTAACTAGTAACATAACTAATTACTAAAATATTTTAGTAATAATATTACAGTTATTTTTATTGTCACCTGCTATTGAATTGAAATCCAACAATCCAATCACATTCTTGGATTAATTTCTGTAATCGTGGAGGAAACTAGTTTGGATAGTGGAAAAAATATTCCATTACTTTGACTTTAACAAACAAAACTGGATTTCAATCGTTTTAAATCTGAATTTTGGGGAGAATTAGCAATTTTGTGTGGAGTTGCACAAAAGTAATGTAACTCGTAGGATAACTAATTACTGTTGGCAGGGAGCATTAAGTGAAGTAGTATTATTACTTTTAAAAAAAGTAATGAGTAATAAATTACTGGCCACAACCTTCTGTTGTATATTGATAAATACATTTCCCTGATTCCTTGATAACTACATAAACCATACCCACACATAGAAAGTGAGTGAAATACCAAGAATTTGCTTAAAGTGGGGCATTTCAAAGGTGGCAAATCCCACACTGTACAAATAATGTACAAGAAAACAATGAGGTGAAGTGTTTTCCATTATTCTGTCCCCATCGTGTACATCAGTGGTTCCCAACTTGTCAGTGATTGTCAGGAATCCCCAATTGAGACACACCAGGCTGCGGACCCGTATTTGATCAAATCTAACCTCATGGATCCCTGTAATAAGCCCTGATAATATTGAGCGTTGATTAATACTTATGGAGAGTACAGATGCTCTACCCAGACAACATACTGTAGTTGTGTGTTATATAGTAATTTATCAGGACTCACCTATACAGAGAGCAGGCGGGATGCCCACACACAGTAGGTACTGGTAGATCATGAAGATGGACAGGAAGAGACAATATTTGGGCCAGATTCTGGCAATAGCTGCCCGTCGCCGCCTTACCAAGATGGCTACCAACCAACAGCCATGGATTATCACCAGGAAGTTCATCCGCTGGCCAATCACGTTCACCGTCATCAGGAAGCAAATCTTTTAAAAAGAGGGTAGGTTTATGGAGATTAAAAAATAAAGTTTTACAACTCGATTATCCTTTTTTTCTTATGAATAACGTCTCAAAATTATTGCAATAGAAAACTCTCTTGTCAAATCCAGCGATGAGGTGATGTCTCCAAGTTACCTCCAATCCAAACTTGTAGAAGGTGTAGTTGAGCAGGTACTTTAGGCAGGGAATGAGGCCCTGGTCCAGAGTGTCCCTGGTGGCGGCGGGGAACAGAGTGGGGATGGTGGGGGGAGATCGTTGGAGCTGACGGTAGTGGTGAGCCTGGTGACGATACACTGTCGCCTCAAACACCAACAGCATCAGCACTATTAAATGGTTCTGTAAAAAAAACAGTCAGGACATTGATTCAACTCTGAGATGAATTAATGGGCCCTTTAAAGCAGCTTTGAGATGGTGCCAAAGCACTTTACTGGATGAGTAGACTGAACATACAAAGGAAATTAACACTTTAATGTGTAATCTCAGTAATGTAGCTGTACTGTGTACTGTGTCTGCACTTATTTACCAAGGTCTGAGAATTTTTTTTAATTATATTGCCTCCACTGGAATACAATGTATGGAATATAATTAAAATTTTTGGAATTTCATTTATTTTAAAGTCATTATAAGTTTTAACATTTATTTATTTATTTATTAATCTTAGCACTATACATACAGTACACTGTGTTTATACAGTATATTAAACCCTTCATAAACCTAATATAGTAACATTCTTCATTCTTCAACTGGAGCCAGTCAGCTTGATATCGTGCATTTTTCACAGAGTAGGAAACATATATTGAACATACCTTACTGTATCCCAGTACGGTGGCATCTTTCCTGATGCCAAACCATTTGGCTGGATCCACCGGCTCCTTATACAGAGAGGAGTTCTTCATCTCCTCTGGCAACAGGTTGGTTTCATTTGTTAGAGGCTGTGAGGAAGACAGGAAAGAAATTCATAAGCAGGACAATCAACAACTTATCACTCCATCTGCCACTGGAACACATTACTACTGTTAGGTCCAGTTACTCTACAACACAGGTCTCCCAGCCTAATGGGAAAAACAAGAGTGGGAAAATAAGCAGTACTTTTACTTTTTTATTCCTCCTCTTTTTTATGTTAACATAAAAATATTTTTATATGTTAAAAATGTGGATTTCTCCGCCCCTAAAAAGGCACATTTCCTCCTATTTGAGTAATGTTTGAAGCTTCTAGAGGTTTTTTCTTTCATAAACCTTACCTGTTTGAGCTTAATTGCTTCTCCTATCCTTCTTGTCCCCTATTGCAGCCATTGTCTGTCCTGCCCTGTCAATCTGGCAATCTACACATTAAATATTTTTGGGACTCCACTCCTACAGTAGTATAATAATCCACACTTTCAGCGAGAGAGGATAAGATTTTTTTTTATATCTATATCTGTTTCTGAGTGCCACCCCAAAGTTTCCATTTTTAGGTGAAATGTTCCTCTATGAACGGCTGTGGAGACTGGTTCAGCATGAGCATGGAAAAACTCCGCCTGCTGCCTTGTAAACAACTTTAATTGCAGATGCAGAGTGGTTAGATTCAAGAGATTACTATATACAGCTGCAGTAATACAAGAGCTAGACCAATCTCCTCAGCTCGCATGTGTGTGTATTTAACAGCTATTAGTTTCACCGCGGGAGTGAGCGACTAAGGTCTCGTTCAAACCCCGTACTCGTCTTTGATGTGGTGTGTGTGTGTGTGTGTGTGTGTGTATATGTGTGTGAGAGAGAGTCGCTAATACTCCTGTTCCAGTGAGCTCTTGGTCATCCATTAGAGGAATACGGTAGACATATGTCTTGTGACCCCCTGCTGCAGTTCCAAATCCCCTGAATTACTACTCACGTCTCTGAATTTATCAATGAGTGAATGGGCTGTGAATGGGCTCCCAGCTGGAGAAACAACAACTCAGAACTGGTGCGCAGCACTAAAATGAATGATGATACAAATCTGTCCAAGTCAGACAGGTAAGGACATTTTAAACACAGCTCAACAGTCAACAATGTAATCACCACTCGAATGAGCCTAATTAGGATGTTGGTATTAATGGGAAAATGGATACAACATCATGCCTCTTGTAACAGATATACATGATGCAGCGTGTGTGTGTGTGTGTGTGTGTGTGTGTGTGTGTGTGTGTGTGTGTGTGTGTGTGTGTGTGTGTGTGTGTGTGTGTGTGTGTGTGTGTGCATATGTGTGTGTGTGCATATGTGTGTGTGTGCATATGTGTCTTACCCGGCTACAGTTACTGGAGTACTCGACAGGGTTGACAACAGTGAGCTGGTACAGCATCTTACACACAATGATGACACACACCCAGGCTGTGGACAGACAGGAGGCCATGGGCCTGAAGCGACCGTAGGGCATCGCCAGAGACCACAACACCACCAGGACCAGGTTCATCACAGATGGCTACACGGAAAACATGGAAACATTATCATATATGTGAATAGATCATTTATCTCTGAGGCTAACACCAAAACAGTAAATCAGTGACAACATTTTGCTGTTAGTTTGAGAACAGTCACTCAATACGACTATCAATAAATAACCTTAAAATTGATCCTTACTAAGTCCCACCCCTTTTTGCTCTGTGCTCCAATAACAGTTGAGCTATCCTGAGGCTCGGACCTTCCTCCTTGCCTGTACTGCTAGGCTCATTAGACATAGACAACAAACAAATCTTTGAAGGTGGTTTTAAAGATAAAAGTGACACATATATATATATATATATATATATAATGTGGTTGTCTTTTCCACATAGATTCGCCTAGCATATAGCCTATCTAAGTACAGGAAAGAAGAAAGTTGACCGGGGTTTTGACCAAGGCATTGGAGCACAGAGCAAAGGGGGGGGACAGAGTTTCAAAATGCTGATAAGAATTAGAAGTATCTGATTTTCTGTGCAGTGTTTCATTCATTCTTTGTCTGCCTTTACCTCTTCAAGCGCAACCCACACAGAGAAGAAGGCCACCATCTTGAGGATGTGGAGCTCCAGAAGCCGCCAGAGAAACACTTGAACTTTGGTAAGAATGTCAGAGAACCTTCTGGACAGAACCAACAACCTGTCCATCACCAGACCCCACTTACTGGGCATCAGCTCCACTGAGACAGGATGGATGAACAAATTATTAAAGATAATTATTAGTTATAAAGGAACAACACTTTTACTCTGATGATGAATGCACACCTGTTAAATAAAATGTGATTATAAAGTTCAGATTAATTAAGCGGTTTCTAATTATAAATAATTGAAGAATATATGAATGTACTGTTTATCAGTAAGCAGCAATTGGATTGGGAAAGTGAGGCTTTACTATAAACTGCCAGTGTTGTCCTCTTACCTTCGTCTTCAGACTCCTCATCGATGTTCGTCACTAGGTCTTCCTCTTCAAAGTTCACTCCAACGTCACCAGAGCCAATCTGCTCAGTCATCTCACTGTTCTTCTTCCTGGAGGCAGATTGTCTTATTATTTTACTCAGAAGAAATATGATGGCAGGAAACACCACCATAAAAAGCAGAGGTTTGATTATTAATATTAATTTGTTAAGCAGAGATATGGCGGTGAGCACATTCCAGGGAAAAAAGTGGTCTACTGGACCATAGACTTCCATTCATAATCGGTCACATTTTCTTTAAAATTTAACAAATGACTAAATAAAAGAGACTTTGTGCTGCCAATATATTGGCAGCACAAATATAAAATTCAAACATTTCAAATATCAAGATAAATCCAATCCTATTCTTCTGACATAGATGGAGGTCTAATGAGAGGACCCTGTTTCTTTGAAGATACAGTGAAATTAAGATCTAATCCTGTGTCTCTGCGTTCATTGTTTATTTATCTCATCTTATGTGCCATAACTATTCTTAAAAAGTCATTCTTTATACTCATTAATTAATACTCATTGTGAATGCATGTACATATACATACATTTGTCCAGTCAAATGTGATTTGATCGCACATAATGTAAAACTGAACTTTTGGGTTGTATGGAGGAGGAAAATGTGTGGTTGAAGAATGTGGTTGAAGTTTAATTCATTTTTTTTCTCTTTTGGTTCCCAACCTGGATCAAGACTAGGGGCCGACAAAGCTTCACAGGAAAGGAATTTTTTATAATTGTACTTAGATTATTATTATTATTATTATTAATATTATTATTATTATTATTATTATTATTATTCTTTAGATTATAATCCTGCAGTTATTGTGTTCACTGCTTGGGTTCATTGTTCGGTTTATCAGTTGTTTCTACTGTTATACATTAATATAATATGAAATATCCATAAAATAAATCACAGAGTCGGTTTACTCAATGATAGAAAAGGGGTTCCTGGAGGAGAAAGACTGGGAATCTCTGCAATAAACTCCCCCAAATATAAAAAATATGTCACACGACAGAAGACACAGTTAAGGCACCATTTCACTGTGACTTTAAACAACATTGTCCATGAACAATATGACATTTAAAAAACACGAGTAGTGGGAGTGTGTAGGCTGTGTTACTTGTGTCTGGGTGTAACATGCTCCAGGTCAGTGATTCTCATGAAGGGCTTGTGGAAGTAGTGCAGCTGCAGAATACAGGCCAGCAGGAAGAAGCCGGGGATCAGAATGCTGGTGAAGAGTTCGGACAGAGCGAACGTCTCCAGACCGATTGCTCCCAGCCTGAGGACAACGGGGGGTGGGGGGTATGATTACACTCTTATTACTTCAGCACATTGCTCACAGAGTGGAAGGAACACAGAGTTAATAGCCCTGACCCTGTATCTACAGACCTAATTACCACCATAATGTTTTTAAGCTCCTCCTAGTGCTTCTAATGGCTTTTGCAAGAATCCACCAGGCCTGAATAAAAACAACCAATCAGGGATGAGAAACATATAAAGACGCTTTAGGTTGGAAGCTCGAAGATAGTCGAAAGTCTCATTCTCAGGTTCCCAAAGCGTATGTATTTGACGCCCTTGGAACGAGACTCAACAATTAACTGTCTTTCTCTGCTCTGATTGGTTGTTTTCGTCCAGGCCCGAGGGGGTTCTTTCAAATACCGTTAAGAGAACTAGGAGGAGCCAGAGGAACATGATTTGTTTTACAGATTATCTGTCTCATGTTCTACTGTCAGGATATAGTGAAAGTTTCAACAAATAAAAAAGAAAGTTATTCATATAAAAATGACCTACCCAGCTTTAAATATGACAGATATCACAAACTTATAATGACAGCAGAAGCATCCTACAGCTGAAAGAGAGACGTGTCAGCAGGCTAAAGGTGGACACTACCCTAAAGCTTTTGTAAAAGAACATACTGTTCTTCTGTGAAACCGGTTAAGTTTTTCCAGTATCCAGGGAAGTCTTCAAACTGGTAAGTGTAGATGGAGATCAGCACCAGCATGGTGTAGGCCACAACAAGCCACCAGAAGAGCTTCAACAGACGCCTCCACAGAGAATAGTACACCTGGAAAATGTGAACAAGTCGCTCATTACAAGTAATTCTGGAATTAACATTTTTAAGAAAGAAAAAGAGAGTTAAAAAAATTCCAATAAAACATTGTTCTAAAGTGATCTGTGATATGTATCTGAGACATCTGAATAAACTTAGAACCAACCTGATAGAGACACAGGCAGACCAGGAACAGCAGCATGTAGATGATCTTGTATCCAACAAGTTTTCCAGCAAAGGAGACCATGATGAACATGCCTCCGCACACATAGATCCAATACTTGGCGTAACAGCTCATCACCATGCCTCCCAGAACCTTCAGCACCGACTCATTACCAGCCCCCTCTTCTGAACGGGAGAGGAGAGGGAGAAGGCTCAGATGTTGATGGTCAAACAAAAAGTTATCAGGAAGAGACTATAGCTACATCAGGGGTCTCAACCTCAAATTACCGCCAGTTTGAGACCCCTGGTGTACATGGTGAAACAATGTAAGGACAGTTAAGCAGGGAAAGACAAACAGTTCATCCATCTCTTTGTAGAAATATTGTGTTTGCACAAATCTGGAGTTTTAAAAATGTCACCCTCTGGGGACAAATTCAGTTACAGACAACAGTTGTGCCAGGACATGGTCTGAGGAGGCTGACATTCAACCTAAAGCAAATCATGACTGACTTCAAATATCATCAGAGTAAAATGTGTTCATATCTTGTATCCATACTTGTAAATAAAGCAACTTTATAATAAAAAAAAAAAGACTTGCTCTGTAAATGATAAATATAACAACTTCTGATCAACTTCAGTCAGGCAGTGTTTCCTTGCCCTTGTCTCCAAGGTCTTGCTCATGGTGGTACTGTTGGGTCTCTGTAAATAATGTTATAAGGAGTTCGGTCTAGACCTGCTCTATTTGAAACGTGTCCTGAGTTATCTTCTGTTATGAATTGGCGCTATACAAATAAAATTGAATTGAATTGAATTGAATTGAATTCAGTTTTAAATTAACAATTTCCAGTTAGTCCCACCTACTTCTGGTTTAAGCAACACACACGTCCAGTTTAAGCCCTGCCCAGGACGGATACAGATAATGGTGTACTCACTCATCCCTAGACTTCACACTGACTACGTTTACATGCACAAAATATTAATTTTTTGTCCCTTATTATGAAAAAGACAGTATTCCCAGTAAGCTGTTTATATGGCTAAAGAAAATGAATATTCCACTAATATTCCTCTTTACATGCAGCTTACTCTGATTGACCTAACTGTTAATGACGTACTGGACGTCCTTCAGGGGAATTTCCCTCCTTTTCAAACTGCAGTCATGTTGCTCCCGTGCTAAAGGTGGAACAGCTGGAGCCGTTTGAGGCATTTTGCCTTTTTGCACTGGTGATATTATTAACATTGTCATACTTGGAATAATAGTGGAAAATGTGTGTGCATGTAAACTTAGTCATTGTTTAAGATTGCATTCAGTTTAGAATGTAACTTTTACTTGGGAACGTAAATAATGATGATATTTAGTTTTCTGTAAACTACAGAAATAACTGAATTCAATCAAAGTTTGTATAAACAGCTTGGGACGTGTGAATAAATGGTGCAAGGCTCCAGCAGAAGTTGTTGTGGTTCAATATAGAGTGCTGCAGGGACCACATATTTTGAACAATATGGACGTATTTCATGTTGTAGAACAAAAGGTGAAAATATCTTAAGCTTGTGTTAACCACAGACCTTATTTTCAGACATCTAACCAAAAAAACATGTTTAAGAAGGTGCTAAAATGCTAACTAGTTTCTGGGTTTTAGGCTCTATTCCATCCCTGTTTGTAATGTCAGAGTGAGTCAATTGAATGTTTGTGGGTGTAAAAGATGTCAGACCTCCTGTAGTGACTTCCTGTAGTGGTGTGGCCATTTTCCTCTTCTTGCTGAAGTTATCCTTCACTGACTGACGTACCAGCAGCCAGAAGGTTAAAGTGAACAGAAGCTGGAGAGAAAAAGAGTGAGATTGAAAAACGGAAAATAATGCAGAGACAAGAATTCAGTTCTCTGGGTTTCTGGAGAGCTGAGAAAGGCGTCTCTAACCAGCAAAACAATCATCCCATTGGATGTTCAAAATCAACGCAATTCTGAACTTTTTCAAATTGAATTTTTTTGCTGCTGAACTTTATTATCAAAGAGAGCAGACTTTTGGAACAGCCTCTCTGACTCTCTGCAAGCATTAGGGACATATGTAAGACATCTCAGGCCACTGTCAGTGCATCAGTATCTGACTTCATTTATAAGATTAACATCCTTTTTGTCTCACTCCAGATGTGACAGTATACAGTATGCTGTGATTTATCCTTTAGAAAAAGAGAGAGAGTTCTCTCTACCCAGCAGTTTGGCCCCCATGCTGGTACTATGTGGAGGAACGTGTGTTGGATTTGGCTGTGATATATACTGCATGTAATCTGGCACAACCAGGAGTTCACTCACAACATTTTGTCAACAAGTAACAGGCTGTACTGGCTGAGCTCTTCCCTCGTAGTGCTGCGTGGAGAGATGAGCCATGCTATATCTGGTTTTTATCACTCAGCTTTATGGACAAGCTCAAGTTTCCAAGAGCCACACTCCACAGTCAGTGGTGAAGGGTTATATTTAATGATAAATATCACACACAAGTCGAGCAGCATCTGCGCTCTCATCTTACCATAGCTCCCAGTCTTAAGCAGGGGTACTGGGCTCTGTCCAGCCCCAGTTGTCTGAGGCTCATGGTTCCCACAGTGGTGGGCAGTTCAGGCTGAAGCTCCATGGCCCAGACGTACTGCAAGCAGCACAGACCCAGGCCGTAGAGCAGGATGAATGGAGAGCACAGTGTGGCTGCATGCCGTCTGCAAAAAGAGAGACAGAGGTTGAAACCCTGAAACAACACATCAGTGTGGGTTCAGTCGTAATGCAACATGGGAAATCTACACTACTGTATTAAAAAACTTGAAAACTAAATTTCTTTAGTTAACGAGACCAAACACTCACAGCACAAGCAATATATGTAGGAATCTATAAATACATTCCCCAAGCATCAATTAAAACTGGACCCGAGTCATTGTGACTTGGACTCGAATCGACTCAAGTCACTGTTTTAATGACTGTGCAGCTTGACTTAAGAGAAAATAAATGACTTGAGACTGGACTTGGACTTAAGTTAAAGACTTGTGACTCGATTTAAGACATGATGAATGTGTTGTTCCTTTTATGTTTTCAGTTAAAATATTAAATATATAAATATAAAAAATATTCAGCCTGTCTGTGTAACATAACCCAGTATGGGAGTGGACACTGGGAATGGGACTGTCATGATTGGATGAATACCCTGTCAGTCAAGCTCCTTGCGGTGCTACCTGATACCTACTCATCATCATCATCATCATCATCATCATCATGCCTGTTCTAAGAATCATCACTTTCAGATTCAAGAGTTGGAAGAAAGGCCAACTGCTGAATGCAAGACCTGCTCATTGACAGCCAGACTACAACCTCAAACTGCTCATCATTTGAAGACTCATTCAGATCAGTAAGTGTCTGTGGTGTTAGCTAAAGTTAGCCAGATAGTCTGTTCTCTCACAACTCTCTAGCTTGCTAAAGTTAGCCTGATAACGTCTGATATCACTAACCAACCCAATCATCAGAATAAAGCATTGTCATTGTAACGTTACATTTCTTCAAACTATGGATATACTTTTTCTAACAGTTTCAATAAATTGGTCAATAATATCATTATTACACAGGCACTAAAAGCTTGCCTTCATAAAGACCAGACAGTGCAGGTAATGCTGCACTGTCTTTGGGGGCATGGTCTTGACTTGGCATCACTTCTGACTTGACTTGCCCAAAAAAATGACTGGGGACTTGCTTGACACTTGGAGCAATGGCTTGAGTCACACGTCTGCATGTCCTATTTAAACATAATCTGATTCCTGTTCTGATCTGTCAGTGCTACAGGTGTTAACAGTACCTGGAACGCAGGATCCAGATGAGACAAGCCCACAGCAGCAGCACAAAGGTCAGCCAGCTGTGGTACGTGATGCTCCACACCTGAACAACATAGAAACAGCACACGAGAACAGAAACAAAGCCGGTCTGTAAGATCCATAATGTGATGCTGCTTTGGTATGCTGGTACTACTATAGGCTGACAGGAAGGTTGTGATCATAACTAATTACAGTAAGTTCCATTGTGATGATTGAATAGACTGAGATAGCAATGTGTACTGTATTGGTCTCATGTCAATCCTGGATTATTCTTTTAGTTACCATCATGGCAATGAGTGCACAGACGTAGCTCTGCTGCATGACCACCTTTCCCAGCAGGAAAAACGGACTTTCACTCTGTTGGCCACTGGGGGCGCCGCTATCACCTGTCAAAAATAACAGTCCTCTCAGTATATAAAGCATTACATAGAAACAAACAAACCAGCAGAGGAAGATCTTCAAAACATGTGGTCTGTATCAGTGGTTCTCAACTGCTCTCACCTTGGGACCCACAATTTCCCTCGGCCATTAAGTTGCAACCCACTTTTATAGAATTCGTACCAAGCAAATGTATTTAAAAATGGGTTAGTAAACACATATACAATGTCATCATGGCTCTTTTTAACATAAAACAACAAATATTTTCATCCCTGGAATCAGAGCGCATTCCTCTAATAAAAACTGAGTATGAACACCACAACTGTGTGCTGCTGAATATATGAATAAAGTTAACATCATAACATCATTTTCACTCTACAGACATTTGTAGTAGTTTAAATAAATATAGCATAAATAAATGTATAAATATAGAACAAATGTAGAAATAAATAAAAAAAGGTAAAAATATAGAAAGAGCCATTTCAATAAATATATATAAATATATAAATAAATGAATGAATGTAGAAATGCATAAATAAATACATGTAAAAATATTTTCCATTACCAGAATTATTATTTTTTTATTCTATTTTATACTTTTGTCATTTTTTGTCCTTCATACCCATAGTCCATGACCCCCCAGTTAAGAATGCATGTTCTATATCATGGTATGAGAAGTCCTTTTGTCTGTTTATTACAGCTCAATACGTCAGATTACAGCAGCTCATCCTCCTCCCCAACTTTCTTTTTAGCATAAAAGGCATTCAATTGTTTATTCTTTGAATGTATATGTTGACCAGTTATGACGTCAGATATGGTTGAATTAAAACTGACACAGCGTTGGATAGACAGATGGCTAAATCAACATTTTTTTATCATTTCTATCATCAGTGTACACAACAACAACATGAATTCCTGGAGGAGCTCTTTCCATTTGCTGAGCTGCTGTCATCAAAAGGATGATTGGCCCAGCTGTCTAAGAGCCCTGAGAGCAGAGATGGGACTTTCTGAGAATGTATTCATTAGTCAGCTCAGATCAGAGGGTGTGATCTACATTCAACTTCAACCGGCCCTTTTGCACTTTGTGCTGCTGCACATACATGAACCGAGACAGCAGGTGGAGAGTTTGTGCGCCGAGGTCTACTGCTCTTCACTGATCATTTAATTGGTTGATTAAAATAGGGCCCACCATCTTTATTAAGCCTACAAAAAGTGTTGCTATTCTCACATTACCTCTATATAATCAGGTATTTAAAGACATTGTCGTAACTATCAGGAGAAGGTTTGTACAGATATTGTTTGTATATATATTATATTATTTAACTGTGAATGAGAGAACAATTGGTTATTTTCATTCACTTGCTGTAACCATAGTCGTTCTGACCTAAAAGGACTTCCTCCACATTGTCCAATTTGTCTGTAATCACCTAAATCCTGAACAGATTTTCCACTGTTGTAATGTTTGTCTTTTCAATTGTATTATTTGGAAATAGCACACACATATTGTTCTAGTTAAATAAATGATTTCTGAGAAAAGTGCAGTACTCCATACCCAGATCTGGCTGACTCTCTCCAGCTACAGTTACTCCTCTGCTGCCTTCTGTTCCCATGGACAGGAGCATGAGCTGGAACAGAAGAGCACACATACATATGTATATATTATTTTATTTATTTATTTACCTTGCAGATCATTGTAAAACACACTTTGACTGGACAAAAACAAAATGAAACAAAAAAAACCCAGACATTTTGATTAGTCTTTCCACTGAGTTAGACGAGTGAACATATTCTGGCTTTATGCCTCAGCTGGCCGCCACAAAACAACCAACAATGGCTGCAAAAGTAAAAGTGCTTGTTGTTCCCACTAACACGCTGAGATTGTTATTCTAAGTATCTGACAACATTAAGGTAAGGATCCCTTCTGGGTATAACAAGAAACAGCTCTCACTCGCAACCAGACTCCATTGACAAAGTCATTTTACCTCCCAGAGCAGGAGCAGATCTGTGTACTGTAGCTACTTCATTTCAGAAGACAGAATACACGTCCAGAAATACCGGGAAGAATAACAAATCTAGAAGTATGAGTGTGTTAGTGTACCTCACTAAACTGATCAAACAATCTGTTTTATATTTATTTCTTGGGCACTAGACCATGAAAGTCCGTACTGAACCCCAATGAGTAGCTGACGTTGAGATATGAGCATTTACCTGTGTGTCATCTTCATAGTTATCTTTCTGTTGATTCCATGACCTTAATTCCACCATGTCCTCCTTCAGCGATTCCCTTTCCGCCTGCTGTGGCTCCTCCTCAACCTGCTAAACACAAATAGCATCTGAGAATAAACCTGTATCCAAAGTCACAGTTTAAAATGAAAAAAACTACAATCCCTCAATCTGTGCAAAAGTTGTGACCGGTTACAGAGTGATGATAGAGGTTTTTACTTTATCTAAGTCATGGTAACAAGACCAAAACGGTACTTCTTTCAACACCTTACTTTTGTAAATGTTTTTATTACCAAATAAAGCCAAAGTCCTCAAATTTAAAATGACTTTTTTGACTGAACAGGGTAAAATTATTGAAATTTAAATCAGGAGTTGTGATCTAGGAAAAACAACAAAATTAAGTTAGCTTTGTGGGGGAGAGTAATAGCTGATGTAACATAACGATAATGGAAATAATACTCATTACACTGAAAAATGCATTATTTGTTATTAAAATAATGGTTGCTGTAATGTATCAGAGACCCCCACAGATCTATGATTTTACTGTTTTCATGGGAGCTCAGATCCCTTCTTATGTTAGCTCAGCTCCCACTGGCTCCCATGTCACTCAAACCCTGGATTAAATGATGCTGGTCATAACCCCCTGAACACACAGATTTACAATAATCATAACAGCAAACATCCATCTTGCCCAGCATGCAGTTACCAATCTATCCTCTGCTATGGAAACATGTCGGTCGGTACCAATAAAGAAGGAGTAGCAGATACCTGGTTAGGTGTTCCATGATATCCTGTCTTGATAACAGTTGCTATGGTAATGTAGAGGAGGAACAGTATTCCTGGGTTGACATAAACTGGCCAATCATGATCGGCATTAAGGTTGAGGTCATAGGGCGAGGAGCAGTTTCCTGGTATGATGATGTCCTTTAGGCCAAAGAGTCTAGACAGGAACAGAGATAAAGAAATAGAGAAACAGAAAGAGAGGGGTTGGGGATAAAGATAAAGACTATAATAAATTGCATGTTGAACAAATGTGAAGAAATGACAAGCATGTAACATTTCCACATGCCGAAATAGAACGCTATAACGTTGTATTCATATGCAGATATCTGTTCATAGAGATTCAAAAAAACAAGTGGTTAATCCATTTTCTGTAAAAACTGTGATATTAAAATTTGATCAGGTGTTGCAGTTGACATCCAGCTTCATTTCCATCTCCTTTGGAGGGAAATCCAGCTAATGACAGTTATACTACTATAAATGTGGCTACCTCAGAACCACAAAATGTATAGTTCATTCCACAATTATCTTTACACATTTCACTAATAGAAAACCACAGAGCCCAGGGTCCAAGTCTGAAAAGGCCTGTGGTCAACACTGTAACAGGATAGTGACACATCTGACAGGTCAGATTAGTAGTAATATATATTAGAGCTCCATCTAAAAATGGATTTGTAATAAAGAGCTGATACTCATCATGAGACTCTATGAAGCTCAAATAGAGTATGTGCAGGTCAACTGAGGTTAGGGAAAGTTCAGGGTTCTTGAAGGACTACAGCAAATGGTGAGATAAACGTTAAGCTGTGTAATGTTACAGCTTATTGAAAGCACTGAGCCTTGATTAATGGACTACATTCAAGTGAATGTATATTACAATAGAGTGAAAATATCACTTCTGATATAACCCTAGCTCTGTCAGTCCAGTCCCATCCTGAGCCCACAACGTCTAACCACTGCACTACACGCTGTGTGAAAACTGCTGGCTCCCTGGAGTGGCCACGTTTTACTACAGTAAGCGCTCAAAAAGGTATTGCATGTAAACAAGATACAGTCCATTCCCATGTTTTGGTGAAGAGAGAGGGGCAGCAGAACAGACCAGTCTTTCTCTTTCTCTTGAATGTATAAGTAGGCTGCTAACACGCACATTTTAATCACAGTGTAGCAATAGTAGGCAGGCATGTGTAAAGACGCACACAACTCATTTAACTTCACTGTTGTGTTTTGGGGAGAGAGGCTGGTCTGTTGTGCTGTCTATGGTATATACTGTATACACCCATACAGATACTAACTGTATCTTGTACGAACACAAATTGAGTATAGAGTCAGTTCAGGCGGGACATGAAGTCAGCTCAGCTCACAATCTCAGCTACAGCAGCTGATAGCTCAGCTGATTCCCTTCAAGCATCCGATTGGCAAATGTCATTCAGGGCGCCTTCTTTAAGCTGCTTCAGCCTGCCTACCATTGCTGCTTCCTCTGCAAGCCGCTTTACAACCTGCCTCCACCCCAGCTCCTTTTTTTATGCTGTATCTGATTTATTCAATGTCATTTCTGTTGTCACTGATCTGTTCTGTAACCTGGAGGCCCTTGCTGCTGCTCTCGTTGCCTTAAGCGTTCCATGTATGCAAGTGGAAGGGCAAGGAGGTCCCAGAACAGAGCCATACCCCCAAATAACATAACACATTTTATTTATAAGCACTTTTCAAAATACTCAAAGACACTTTACATAAAAACATAAAAGCAGCAAAGCAACATCAAATAGTAAAACATTAAAAACACATCAGACTAAGCTAAACATTAAAAGCAATTTTAAAAAGGTGTGTTTTTGTCAGTGATTTGAATGTTGGAGGGTCGGTACAGTCACGAAGTGTTTGGGGAGAGAGTTCCAGAGGGAGGGGGCAGCTACAGAGAACGCTCTGTCGCCCCAGGTTCGGTGCTTGGTCCGGGGTGGAGGAGTCAGGAGTTTTGCGTCAGATGAGCGGAGGCTACGGGATGGATTGTGGCGATGGAGCAGGTCAGTGAGGTAGGAAGGAGCCTGGTTATGGAGGGCTTTGTGTGTAAGGAGGAGGATTTTGAACTGAATGCGCTGTGGAACTGGGAGCCAGTGGTGTGGGTGAGCATACGTGCAGCGGAGTTTTGGATGTACTGTAGCTTATTTAGAGTTTTGGATGGTGTGCCAAAGAGGATGCTGTTGTAGTAGTCGATTCTGGAGGTGATGAAGGCGTGGATGAGGGTTTCAGCAGCAGAGAAGGAGAGTGATGGGCGAAGACGGGCAATATTCTTGAGATGAAAGAAGGCAGTTCTGGTGATTTGGTTTATGTGATGTTCAAAGGAGAGGTTATTGTCAAAGATGACTCAGAGGTTGCGACTGTGGGGGGATGGAGACAGGGTGGAGTTGTCAATGGTGAGGTGGAAACTGTCTGTGGTTTTGGTGAGGGATTTGGGGCCGATAATGATAAGGTCTGATTTGTCACAGTTGAGTTTGAGGAAGTTGGAATGCATTCAGGATTTGATGTCGGTGAGGCAGTTGGAGAGAGTGGAGTGAGTGGCCGGGGTGATGGATTTGGTAGAGATATAAAGCTGGACGTCATCGGCATAACAGTGGAAGTGGAGACCATGGTGACGAATGATGAGTCCTTGATGTAGTAAAATGTGTCCTCAATATGTATTTAGTTATCTCTATGGCCACTCCGGGGCTCAGTATGGCTCTCTTTTTGCTTTAATGTATGTTTGTTGCCTAATGCTCTTTTCTGGTTAATTCTAGCAATGCATTAACTCATAGTACATTTCCTACTTGTACTTTTTTACACAATTTCACTTTTACTTGAGTACATTTTCTTTAAAGTAACAGTTCATTGGAGTAAAATACTAAAGTACTCCTTCCACTGTTGATATGAAAATGTGTTGAACTTGAAACATTACAAAAAAAGTAATCAGCTCAATGTTGCCTTTAAGTTAATATTAAGTATAAATGATCATTTATCATGATCAATATGTAGGGTTTTTTTCTATTGCTGTGAGTCACAAATAATAAGAGTCCTCATAAAAATACAAACAGGCCACACACACACACACACACACACACACACACACACACACACACACAGTGTGCTGACAGCTGGTTATCCTCGCTAGGTAAAGGTCACACTTGGCTGATTGATGAACAACTGGTTACGTGATACCGACACAGACACCTGGCAAGAATCCTGGTGACGATAGACGAGAGAGGGACAGACGGGGAGAGAGATGGTACGTCACAGTGGAATGCTGTGCTGCTCGCTCATCTTTCTACAATTGAACTAATAAGGTGATGTGAGGTGAGTTGATGGAGCATCAGCTACTAGCGAGTCATTCCACACATACCGGCCCAGAAATCACGCTCTAGTCACATTCCTCTGCTCTAACTCACACGTTCACTTTCTGTTTTCTTCTCTTTGCCTCGAAACTCTCGCATTTTCTCACGCTTCAATACGTTTCCAAAAATTCCACACAGTGCAAGCACACTATGAATAGATATAGCAACGGTTTCCTGAGAGGAAGGAACATGAGATTTGATGGAATATCATCTGTCGTCCACTAAACTATGAGGACGGCAAGCAACATGGTGGGGGTAAAGAGCACTTTCTATGTTACAGAGGAAAAGAAGATGTGGTAAAGCAAATAAGGAGTGATTTCGGAGATATGTAGGTGACTATGTTCCTTCAGGAAGTAGGACATCAGAATATTTGGGACCGGTGGCAGGTCTCAAAAAGTGACCAACATGTCTTCTTATGGTCTGTAGGCAGTCTGGCATACAGATGGTGGAATCATGGGAAGTATGAATTTATGAATTAAAGATTATACATTGGGTGGTGGAATCTGGAATCACCCAATTCATCTTAAATTATGGCTAAAAACCTATTTTGAGGTGATAATGACCTTTGATTCAAAAGTATCAGCAATTCAGTTTGAAATATGGTCACAATCTCCTTATTGTGTTGAATAACGGACAAAAAAAGTGTTTTTCCAGGACATTATGAAGTCACAGTGATGTCGACCTTTGACCTTTTGGGTAAAAAATGTCACCATTTCATTGTTCGTGTACCATTAAAGCTGCAGCAGGTAACTTATGAAAATATTTTTTTTACATTTGCTGAAACTTTCACTATATCCTGACAGTAGAACATAAGAAAGATCTGTGAAACAATCAGGTTCTTCTGGCTCCTTAAACATCTGTCTGAAATTTGTCATATTCACTTCTTGAGGTATAGTCACAGTGACATTGAACTTTGACCTCTGACCATCAAAACCTAATCAGTTCATCCTTGAGTCCAATTGGACATGTGTGCCAAATGATGTGCTATATATTAACTTGTTGTTTTGGATGTCTATGTTGTTTATGTATGTGAGGCTATGTACAGACTGTGGCAAAAAATTCCTGGAAAGGAAAATTAAGAATTTTATCTAAATAAACCTGACTCCGCTTCACTTCCACGTTGCACTGAGCTGCACCTGGTTTGTGTCAACGCCTGTGGTCACCATATGTGACTGCACCAGAAGTTTAGGACTAAAACTTGGTATTTTACTCGGGGGTGGTACCTTACATCCTCATTGCCTCACATTGGATCGTCTCATCACTTTAAGCTGGAAAAACAGTACCCCGTAAAGTTGTTTGTTAACCTAATCTTTGCCTTAACACCAGGATTAAACCTACAGGAGACCTCATGCGTAACTGTACGTTCAAGCAAAGATGACTTTTTCTGACTAGTACGTTTTACTGGAAAATATGTACAACTAAATAAACGAGCATTTAGGACTAACACATTTTATGCTTTCGTGTACAGTCTTACCTGGCCCACAAACTGTGTGGGGGGAACAGGGCCTGGGCCAGCAGACTCTGGTACAGGTACAGACAGACCATGTGACCAGAAGTGAAGAAGCCCACCATCACACACAGCGCATTGAAACCCAAGTGGCTGATGGGAAGGTGGCATGCCCACCACGTGCACATGCCGATGAAAAGCAGGAAGTAGATGGCTGAGAAGGCAGAGGGCAACGTGATGCCTGGGAGGAGAAAGGAGGAGACAAACATTCAATACATACACACTATACACACATTTAAATACAGCTTAACCTTCCAAGCTTGTAGAAGAAACAACTATGGTGGGCACAAAACTCCATTTTGGGCTACTGTAGAAACATGGTGGCCTCCATAGAAGAGTACCCACTACTACACTCCCTCTGTAGATAAAAAACACTCAGTCTAAGGTAACACAAAACACAATGATTCCTACTTACAGGTGATTATACACTTATGAAAACATACCTATGAATATTATATTCCATTTCTGACAACAGATCCTCATACATGTTACACACTGGACCTCTAAAAGCTTGCTATCAAACCAGTGTAATCCTTGGAATTTAGTGTTTCATTGCAATGGAAATAAACAAAGAAAATTCCATTCACACTGCCTTATTAAAATTCTTTGGCGTGTTTTGTACATTTAAATAAACAGTCGAACATTTGGAGAAAATATACTGTTTGTTGCCTCTCTTTCCCACACTCACATCATTGTGCATCAAGTACAGCCATACTGTATTTGTACTTGTTTCTCCTAGCTTAGAAATGATGATTGCAAGGGGATAAGTTATAATATCATGAGAAATAAGTCTGAATATTTAGAAAATAAATTCCAAATTAAGAAAAACTGTTGTATATTTTGAGAGAAAAGATGAGGCACAGTTTATTTGTGTGGACAATAAGCCACACAATGGGGAGATGTATGCCTGACCAAAAGTGTTTTCCACCTCTGATGAAGAGCAGTGCAGATCCACTTCCCTAAACCCTATCTCATCCAGAGACCAGAGCCCAGGGTAATGGATGGTTTTGAATGGGATACTACCATATATTTTCACTGACATAGCTGAATGCCACAAAGGCCTGGGAAAGTGGATTGGTATTAACCAGTACACAAGAACAGTGTTTCTGTTAAAAAGTGGGAGCAGCAGAGCACTGTTAATGCACTGTGTGAACCATTATGGTACAGGTGCAATTTTTACATGAAAATTATTTGAGATTTATATAAGAGAAAAATGAACTTGTGCTCTTAAATGAATAATTTTTGCACCTTTGTGCATACAAACACTTCAGGTTTTGCCCTATAAACAATGTGTGTTATCTTAATTCCTTAAACATACACTCAAATGTCAACCATATTGTTCAAGGCTGTGTTCTGGTAATTCGTGCACTCTGGTCTTTTTTTTTACTCCAATACATCTGCAGGGCTTTTTCCTCAACCGTCGTAAATGCAGTTAACACAACTTTTGCTTTTACTAGTGCCATAGTATAGAAATGATGGTACAGATTATATCAAATAATTACAGGTGGCATAGCTGTCATTCCAGATTAGTGGTCAGTAAACACTACCTGCCAAAGCCAGCAGGCCGATGGCCAAAATCCTCCCCAGGTCCCGCAGAACCTTCCGGGCTTTGGCTTTCAGACGCTCAGCCAGTTGCTTGGCTCTGGTTACTGTGGAAACCTCCTCGTCAGGGTCACCAGGTAATGACCGCTCCTCTTCATCTTCGTCTCCTGATGCCTCTTCTTCCTCCTCCTCCTCCTCCTCCTCCTCCTCCTCCTCCTCCTCCTCATTCTCATCATCTGTGGTTTTGTCTGGTGGATCATCTTCTAGCTGAGGTGGGAAAGAGACAAAATGATAGTTACAATAATAATGTACAGTATAGTCACACATTGTCACACACAATTAACCCTCCCTAAGTCCCACCCCGTACAGGTATGTTCCGGTGGTCCCTCTCCTTCCACTACGGAGCGAAAATGGCGACCACTGAGTATGAGAAGTGGAAAAGATGACCATTATGAGTTTTCTTCAGTTACACACACACACACAATGTATTTGTAGGTCAATATATATTCATGAAAAACTATAGAGTATATAGTAGCCCTAACTGGCAGAAGTAAAAAAAAAAAGACTCGGACTATTAATGGAAATTTTTGCCTTAATTTGTTGACTAATAATGAAGCATTTGGATGAAATCAATTCAAAAGGGGTTCTCTGTTCATATTCCAGAAATATGAAGCTGTGCTTCTCAGATCGAGGACAGCATACAAGACTAGTTTGAAACCTTGTGTATAGCTGGACCGTGTGTGAAACACTAAAATTGCTTTTAATTTGAAACGGACACAGGAAGTGGCGCCATTTGGCCAACCAATGGTGTAAGTTCATCACTCTGCCACTTAGTCATCACGTTTTGTGTTTATAGGGGTGGCCCCACTGTTGTGGCCCTGCCAAAAAAGGACTGGCGCACACAGACTGATTTGCAGCCTTTAATAGAGCCAACAGATGTCTGTTTCAATCCTCAGCATACATTAACATGGGTTCTTGATCCAAGGTAAATGGAAGGTCATTTGTAAAAACAGAGTGGAAAGGAGGCCCAAGCAGCTCCCTTGTGGAACCCCACAGCAAACGTTTTTTAGAATCGGAAAAGTGGCTATTGAGTCCTGTTGGATAAATAACTTCTGATCCAAGAGAGTGCAGATGTTGAGAAACTAACATTCAAACTGGCAAAAGTCCATATTAAATTAAATAAAAGCTGATACAGTGCTTGGTAATTTACTTTGAACAACATCTTTAAGCCATCTTAAGTCATTTGGACTACAGAACTCCACTATAACCAAGTCTGTAGGCACGTTGAGAGCAAATGATTAATTAGTTATTTACAAAGTAATCATAAATCTGATCAGAAACAATTCTCCCCATGTATGGGTCAGAGTAACTCTGTATTGCAGTCTACTCCCACGTGGAAGAAATGCACACACCCTCCTAATAATTCTATACACAGTCATATGCAACATGACAAAATAAAGTTGAAGTATGAATGAAATGAAGTATCTCAGGAATGCCTCAAGGGAGTTTCTTCAAATTTGGCTCAAATATCTACTTGGATTCAAGGAAGAAGTGATTAGATTTTGGTGGTCAAAATTGCCTTTACAGATGTGTTTTTGGTCATAAATCAAGAATTGATGCAGTAACTATGACAAAATGTCACACAGATGTTTAATGGGAAAAAACGATGATGTGATGACATTTTTTTACCAAAATGTCAAAGGTCAACTTCACTGGGATATCATATTGTCACACAGATGTTGACTGGGACGACACACTGAGTAAACAATAACTAACACAGTACAGGCTTTCAGCTTTCCATCTCATCCATTCTGCCTTTCACTTCCTGCCTCGTTCTGAATTTGTGATGAAACCTGACTGCCTGATTGCCTTTGCAATCTTTAACGCTGAGGAGTGATAACATGCTGTAAAGAAAAGTGTTACAATCTGTGTGTGTGTTAATTGTATCATTAAATGCCCTATAAACGAGACATATACTGCAGTATAAGCAGTGTGTATAGGAGCAGAGGCCCTACAAAACTTTCCATGCACTTCAACTTAGACTCACTAAATATTTATGTAGGCAATTAAGTAGAATCCTGCAGAGGGGAAGGCTAAAAGTCTGACTTATATCACTGCACACGTAGAGGAAGAGGATGCAGGTATCTTAAAACAAAAGTAACAGAGGCTTATCAGTGCATAACATCTGGCCTCTGGGTTTGAGGGCAGCTCTGTCAGTGCTGTTTGCTGAGGGTGTTGCTGTCGTAGAGGGAAGCACAGCATGCACCAAAGTCCAACCATTCATCAATTCATACATTCACTCAAAGGGAAAACTACTAGTTATATGTACAACAAGTAGTCAAGTTGCAGTTTATATCCACATCTGTCTAAACTCATATATGCACCAATACGCTGTTTACAGCCAGGTACGAATGAGAATCAGAACGACACAGGAAGTGAAAAGCAGAAGGGACTGTGACACTTATTTTTTACTCATTGTGTCGTCCCAGTAAACGTGTGTGAAATCTGGAATCGGCCAATACATGCTTAAATTAGGGCTAAACATCTATTTTGAGGTCACCAATTCAGTGACCAATTGTGAAATATGGTCACAATTTCCCCTTCTGTTCCTGAGTTACAGTGTTGAATAACGGCCAAAAAAAGGATTTTTCCAGAACATTATGATGTCACAGTGAAGTTGACCTTTGACCTTTGAGCTTTTTAGGTAAAAAATGTAATCACTTCATTTTTGTATCCTATTAAACATATGTGGGACATTTTGTCATAATTACCACATCAGTGTTTAAATTATAACCAAAAAAGTGTTTGTCAAGGGCATTGGTGGGTACTGAGGCATTAATACCATTTTTCCTAATTGTGCCAACAACTGTATGCACACACACATACACACACACACACACACGCACACAGAGAGAGAGAGAGAGAGAGAGAGAGAGAGAGAGAGAGAGAGTAATCTAATATCCCTGTGAGCACACAGTATAGATAAGTACCAGCAAAACAGTCATGATATGCAGTAACAGGTGTAAAATGTTTCTTATTACTGAGACAGGAATATCACACAAACTCCCTCGTCCTACAAAATGGGACTTTACTGCTGTGTCTAAAAAGTATGCAGTCAGACCGAGGTGAGTAGTTGGCTTGGGAGAACCCTCTGAATTATGGAATATGATAAATCATTCAAGAGTGTCTCCCAGTGCCTGTTACACATAATGGATTTCAGAAATACCCTTCACTACAAAAAATCTAAAAAAGTTTAGAAGCAGCTATTTTTAGTCTAAAAGCTCAAAAGATCAACCCGCTGCACACTGCCGGCCCCACACTAACTGCCCCACACTACCTGGCTGCTCCACACTACTTGCCCCACACTACCTGCCCCACACTAACTGCCCCACAGCAGACTGACACAGTTACAGAGGAGCTGCTGGAAACAATGCGAGCGCTGTGAAGCAAAACAGGACGTTTGTGGACCAAACAGTGGGTTAAAAAAAAACTTAAAAGCTCAGTAGAGCTGAAGGGAACTTTGTGGGTTCATCACTATAAACAACATATTTTGCTTAACACATTTAATCTATTGTTTATATAAAACTAGGGATTAGTGCAGCTTTAATCTTGGCTGCTAGTAATGGCACAACTGTGAAGTCTATTCTGTATATCTGTATATCTCCACTAGCACCCCTAAAGGCTGCCAGCTCTGAATTGTGATAATGTCGATCTAGATCAGGGGTCTCAAACTGTCAACCCGGGGGCCACTTCTGGCCCTCCAACCTGCAATATGATGTCAAAAGTATAATATAATGGGTCCTGCAAGATTATTATTTTTTAAATTATTTTTTACTCCTTATTTATTATATTGCACCTTCATGTACATTCAAAATTCTGATATGACTGTTCACACTGAGGTCTCATCACACAAATATCAGATCTGAATCTGATCCGAGTCACATATGAGCAAAAATATTTGATTTGGGCCACCTTTGCCTGCAGTGTGAACACAGCCTCAGAGTTTACCATGTGGGCCAAACACATTTTTAGTGAGTGGAGAAAGAGGGAAGGACAGAGGGTCAGTAAAAATAAAAAGCTTCACAGCAAATTCTATGACAGTGTGCCTGCTGTGAGATACAGTTACATCCTAATGATGGCACTTGAGGTTCATTCATCAACACAGTGAGCCATATCGCTCACTCTTTCACACACACACACACGACTCACCGATGTAATGTTGGCAGCAGCCACCATTTCTCTGTTCCTGACCAATCTGCTGCAGAGGATCACCGTTACCAAGGCAACCACACACACACCCAGGTCAGGGCACATGAGGCGTAACACGCTCCAAGGATCATCCAAAGGTAGCCTACGAGACACACGAAAAGGTCAACAGAGGTCAAACATTTCCTCGACTTAATAGTTTGTTATTTCCTAAAATATTTTTCACAGATTTTACTCAGGTTCTACTAATACATTGCACACAATAATGCTGTAATATCTGTTATTACAGCTGCTTTCTTCCATACTTTATACTTCAAAGATTATTGACTATAAAAAATGGTAAGTTAAAAGAGTAATAAATGGATAAAAATAAAAAAGTCCACAAATGAAGAAATCCTGGACTAACCCAGGTGTCTTGACCCATTGTGTTGTCTTGTCATGTCTTATATGTTTTCCTGTCTTATTGTTAATTACATATATTGCACTAATTCAAAAAAACACAAAAAAAGATTGCTGACTGTTTATGACCCACATTAGTAGGTTTGGTGAATATTCTGTACCCTACACTGTGAGCGTGCTGTATTTATTCTGTATACACACTTTATGTTATTTAAAATACGGTATATGGACATCACATTTACACCACAGCAGACTACTGTCTGGATACACAAACTCAACACCCTCTCCCTCCATCAGCATCCAACCATCAGGGACACTGGTGCAGCACTAGTTACATACCTGGACAGTCCTATATGTCTGGTTATGGTGTCCCATTGTGAGCAGTTATCACCTATGGCGATGTTTAGGGGAGGATACGTGTATAATACTGTCTGGAAGCAGATGTGGGCCAGTACAAATAGTAGACTGGTACAGAACACCGCTCTGATAAACCGACCCGTGTGACCTGGAAGACAAAGAGAGGGAGAGAGAGGGACACAGGATGGAGAGAGGTCAACGTACAGTCAAATACAACAATTATAAATAGTACTCCATTTAATTAATGTTAATAAATCCCCCTGTTAACTATCTTTCCAAGAGCTCCATTGTTGTCCAAAAACTATTAAAACTATAGTTTATTTTGACTCAGTCCCACATACATACACGGTTCCACTGAACAACAATAGCCGCTGCTTAAAGAGGTTAGTGTAGATGCTGCTAGCATCAGTTCTATCAGAACTGGAGAGTATTTCTTCTTTGAAAGAAGAGCAAACAACGACACTGAAGGTTTTTCTCCATGGAAAAGATGTTTCCTCTCTTCTCCCGACTGGCTTCAGTTAAGAGTTTGACTGTTATATGGTTCTTAGATCTGATAGGCTGACATTGACCCGTGATAGACGCTGACAGACAGATGGTTCAACCAATCACTTGCTAAGTATTTTTTTGAAAGTGCCTGCCCTTTTCCAAACAGTTTCCAATGACGACTTCCCAGATGGTTCTGTGTAACAAACAAACGTTCAGATTAGTGGTCAAAGGGAAACTTGGCCTGAGGGTGGAAATGCCAATCTACAGCAAACTTCATGGCAGTCTGGCCAATAGTTGAACGGTATGTTTCTGTGAGCACTGCACAGGCTGCCAAACTCACCAGCAGCCATAGGAAATGATGTCACTTTGAACATGTTATATGTACTGCAGGTGTCAGTCCTGAGCTTGGCTGCACTGCTGTTGAATCATTACAGCCATTAGCTGCAGTATGTCAGCGCTGCATTCCTCCGGCCCTGTTCATTTTAGGAATCAGACAATATTGAGTCATCTAGGAATGCTAAATGTCATGTGCAGTTTGCTTCTTCTCTCTTAATGTCTCTAACTTCCATCCATTGGGGGAACTCAGCGGGGCAGAGATGTGGTGTTAGGTTTAACAGGGCGAGGTGTGTATGTGTAGTGTGATCCACAATAAAGTTGTGATGAAGTCGGTGACAGGCTGTCAGTAGATTTCAGCAGCCTCGTAAATATCTCTGAAACATTTGATGCATGTTGGCCCCACTGCACAGTGGCAGCTGTGGCATGGATATAAACGCAGAGACAATTAACATTTGCCACATGCTGTCACACACAGCGCGTAGCATAGGGACGTCTTCAGATGTCTTGTTTTGTCTCACCAACAGTTGGAAACTTAAAGATATTCCCTTTACAATCACACAGCACGATTCAGAAGCTGAAACTAGGTAGTGTGTGTTTTGGGCATTTTTGATTGGAAAATGAATGAATGAAATTATTAACTGATAATCAATGTAGCTGCTGATGACGTTTTCTGTCATTTGACCAACTGACTAATGGTTTCAGTTGTAAACAGCAGTGACTACTGTAGGAGATAGATCATACTCGGAATAAACATGTAGGGCATTTTTAGTGTGTGGGGTCACAGTGGTGCAGCTTCCCCTGCCACTGTTTGTATTTCCAGCCCAGCCCTCTCTGGATGGAAATCACTCCACACACAGCTACCAGTGTGTGTGTGCGTGCTTGGTAGTTTCCACTAAAAGAAAAGAGAGGAACTTTCAATGTGAATAAACTGTACAGCAGTTTAGTTTGTTGCAGGAATTTCCTGATTTCCTCAGAAGGCAACATATATGGCTTCAGCTTCTAAAAATCCATCTGTGCGGTCCTTTTTTGTTTATTCATGTCTCTGTCTTTGCAAACTTGTCTATCTATCCTTCCTCCTTTGACAAAGGAGAGGGTAGCAGAGGTGAGACCGCAGACTGTAGAAAATTAGTATTACTGGTAACAACCGTGTTTACCCTACTATTTCATGTAAAACGATGTGAAAAAAGGTCAGTTTAAAGCCTTAATGGAGCTGAGCTGCAACGAGTAAGTGGCAACCAGTACTGCTGACTGTCATAAGCAGAGACACTTTTCCAACCAAACACAGTTCCAAATATACATCACCCCAAGCCATTTCCTTAATGGAACAATACAACTCTTTTCACAGCAGCGGTTTTGACATGAAATAGTAGGGTAAACACAGGTGTTTCCAATATTTGTTAAGGTTCCATTCCATTCAGGTCAACGGAGTCAGGGTCCCGCTATTGTACATGTTGGCTCACTGGAAAAGGCTCTGCTACACTATCACTATTTCTTGCATTTGAAATTAATTTAGCAAGAGAGACCTTTCCTAGCTTCTTGATGAAAATATGTTTAGGTTTAACTGATCTCATTCATAACAAAACTGTATGTGAGTCTTGAGGTAGCTGTAGGTAACCATGAGATTGGTAAACCATTCTCCATCTCACCATTATCTACATCCGCTTATCCGTCGTGGGGTGCTGGAGCTTGGACCCTACACGAGTGACCAGTCTATCACAGGACTGACACACACAGGCATGCAACTATTCTACTACTAATTTTCACACATAAGGACATTATAGTTTCTAATGAACCAGACCTGCATGCCTTTAGACTGTGGGAGGACTGCCTGTGCACCAGGCGGGAAGTCCACAAAACACACAGGGAACATGTAAACACCACACAGACAGCCGTCAGCTGGATGGCAGATTAGAATCCAGAATGTTGCTGTGAGGCCAGGGTGCTAACCTAAACACACTATCTACTATTAAAGTATTTCTGATTCTGATTAAAGTACAGTGACAATGCTCACTATATTTTAAAAGTGCACACTTTGCATTATTCACTCCCCAAGAGCTAAATGCTGGCATACTGCAAAAGACATTTGACAACCTAAAAGCAGCTTTTCAGATAGCTGAATTTGTTTAACTTTCCGCAACCAACAAACTGCTAGTCAAACCTGTGATGGTGAGTAAAGGTATGAAAATAGCCAGAGCACCCAGTATGCTGTAAGTGCTGTTCTCATTCCAACTTCATGTTCGCTGCTGAACCACATCAATCACTTTGTTTTGGCATCGATGAGGAGGTGAACTCACTGCAGCCAGAATTGGGTACAAGTCATGAAAAGTGGCCAGGACAGACCAGCTCACAGCACGGATAGACTCCATTCACACATGGAATGGATCATTGCTGGGTGTATCTATCTGTTAAAATAATGGTCTGTTGGCATTCAAATGTATGGAAAGGTTCCATGTTTATAAAACATTGTAGGACTGTTAAAGACAAACCCAGTGCTATAAGGAGGATTCACAGCACCTTTTCCTCAACACCATGGTTGCAGAAAACGCAGCTGGTCTAATTTTGACGGAAGCCGCGAGCCAGTTACGTCAAGAAGCACAGAACAGATCACACTGGCAGAAAGTCAGGTACAGAAACGGCATAGAGAATCTGTTGGATTCAAAATGAAATCCTGTGTGCCGCTCAAATTTCACACTACCTCAACATTGTGGCACCAGACCAAAAGTCAATCAGTCAGAGGGCAGATAAGAGGAGATTTGAAGCAGAGAAATATACATTTTTTCTTAGTGGGATTTGAAGACGCGCAGATCACGGAGCCAAATCTCCCTAATAAATGCCGTATTTTAGTGGATATGACATATGGAATTCTGCTGCCTATTTTATACAGTGCAATTACAAAACAAACAGCAATACAGTCTTGATATTCTGTCAACTTATAAAATGTTAATAGATAACGTGTTAGCAAACAGGTACCTCCTACATCCAGCAGACAGGCACCCTCCCTCCCACTGTCACCTCTGCGCTGGGATCTTGTATCAAACATGACTGAGCCATTAAACACTTTGTGTTCCAGCTGGCCTTGAATCTCATTTAGACCTGTTAACACATGCAACACAGCTTTTATTTATACCCCACCTTGGCAACATGCCCCCTCATCTCTACACTGTCTTTTCATGTCTCAAATGGTCTGCAGGTCAGTGTCTTCCAGCCATTCCCCAGTCATCTGTTCTTCATCTGCCTGCACACCTGCCCTTCATTTCCCTATACGCTTCTCCATTATATGCCAGCAACCATAGTCTCCCGCCAAGTTGCCTATTGTGCATACCACCCTGTTTCCTGTTTCGCCTCTCTGCTGTCACTTTGCCTGCCTTTTTGGATCTTTTAGATACTACCTGCCAGGCCTCTTTGCTTTGCTTAGCTGTTTGGACCGACTGCCAGTAGACAAACTTTGTTCTGAACTGCACAGGAAGTCATTGTTCTGTAAGTCACAAGAAGGTCTCAAGTCAAAACCAACAAGTGCAGCAAGTACAAGTCAAGTCCAGGGTCCTAAACTTTGAGTTTCAAGTCTTAAACAAGTCACAGTACACTCTTCAACAAATGTAATGCCTTTTCTTTCAACAGAATGAACTAAACGAAATTATCTTTGGTTTTCATTTTTCCAACTGGTGTTCAGTAACGTGACCTTCATGGTCTCCCCTCCCCTGATTTGATGCTGTTGGATTGGTTCAAACAAAGCAGGGGTGGGGTAATTAAGTGTCAACTTGCTGGGAATGAATAGAGTTAACATTAGTTAATTCGGGAAACAAAGGGAAATAAACTGATCGTGGCACACAATATCATACTTTTTTAATCTTTAGGCTTGGAGGAAGGTATCAAGTATTTTCCATGAGAAGTCTACTGATGTTAAAATTCAAGTTGCAAGTCTTTTTTGATGTTTTCAAGCCAGGCCTAAAGTCATCAAATTCCAATCCAAGTCCAAGTCATGCAGTGAGTCCACACCTCTGTTAAGTTACAATCAATGAGCCGAGTCGTCACACGTGTAAAGACGGGCCTCGTTTCATTATAAAAAGGAAAATTCGTTCTATAAGTTCTATAATATAGTGGAGGGCTCCAGACCTCTTCAGACATTAAAAATGATACATGCATTGCTTGAACAAGATCATTTATCAGTGGTGGAACATTCACTCAAGTACTATACTCAAGTACAATTCTGAGGTTGGACTTAACTTAAGTATTTTTTGCTTTCTACTTCTTCTCCACTCCACTACATTTACAGTTTTAGCTTCTAGTTTAACATTAAGATTTTGTAAGATTACATAAAAATACAAAAATAAATACATGATACACCCCTTTGTCACAGGAGTTGTTAACAGTTCCAAATAGTTCCTCTAAACTTCTCAAATCTGTTACATAACTGTAATCTCACAAATAAATCAAAGATTACTTTTACTTATGTAGGATTTTTAATTCAGGACTTGTAGTGTAGTATTGCAAAATGGAGGTATCGGTACTTTTACTTAAGTAAAGGATCTGAGTACTTTTTCTACCACTGCCATTTACCAAATAGCATATGAATTCTTCAGCCTTCTGATGGTTTTAAAGACACAATCCTACTTTGTCCACTAACTGTGAACTGTGTTCACTGGCAGTGATCTGGTCCTTTTCAGGTGTGTATTTTAATGCAACCTTCCAAATACATCCAAAGTACCCATTTCACCGATTATGGTTTACTGAAACTCTGAATCAGGAAGTCTTCAGAAGGAGCCATGCGTGAATAAACTGCAATGAAGTAGAGTGGAAATCTGGCAGGGAGTGAGATTTCAGCACAACATTGGTACCAAATAAAGACAAAAGGGGGGTCTACGGAGCCCTGGAGTGGCCATAGAGAAAAAAAAAATAAGGCCACATTTTATTACACTGAACACAAATTCTAATGCGTGCACACAAGATTCCCACGTTTTGATTCGTTTGTGCACACACAATCACTGAGTTTATAGAGAATTCTGCTCTGGGGGACCATAAAAATCCAGACTTTGAGAAAAATCGGACCAGAGTATTGGAGAGACATCAACATCCTCAGACAAAAAAATCCCCTTCTAAAAGGATAAGTATTGTAGTCTTTTACATGATGTATAGAAGAATAATTGAATATTTGAACAAAGGCCAGTTGTTGACTCATAGCTCTGACTTAAACAGTCTGTCCTTGGAGACCAACAGTGCTTCCTATTAGTCACATCATTTTTTTCCTCCACTCAGCTTACACAGCTCTCTGTTTTGTGTGTGCGTATGAACATGTGTATGCACGTGTCAGGGTCTTGGCAGGCCAGTGGGTTTTCCATTAGGGGTACTCCCCCTTGCTCTCCGTTCGCCCCTTGTCTGTCTTTAACTATTCCCACTCCCACCAAAATAAAAGCCTCTCTCTACACATTGTGATTACGAGATCAGAAAGACTGACAGGAAGAGAGACAGAAAGAACTGGAAAAGTAGGCAAAAGATCTGTGACTTTTGCCCTACTAGCAACCAGGACTACGGATCGCAATGTCAATTGGCGAGGGAGCAATTTTCATTTCAACACTGTGGAAAATATGAGTGGAAACTAGTAAAACCCAAACGTTTAGAATCTTCACCAAGAAGACAGTTGGTATGTATCACACATGATACAGACTATATGATACCATTCCTGACTGGAACAGAGTTCTGGCTCAATTTGTAACAATCTTTACAGATATTATACAGCAGAAATTGGTTGGCCATTTTGAGGTTAAAATTTATTAACACAGCTTGAGACAATTTAAGATTTCATAATATGTCGATTGAAGGACTAGTGTGTAGGATTTAGTGGCGTCTAGCAGACCATTTGAATACAGCTCTATTCCCTGCTCTACGTACAAACTGGTCTGTATTAACAGAAAATGTTTCATCTGAAGTGAAACGTAATCCTGTATTGTTTGACTCCATGAATGTCTGTCTGAGTGAAAACAATTAGAGTCTCTGTGAAGTTCTGAATTACTGTACTGTCTACTTGCGCTATCTCACACAGACATATATACATACACGCTCCACACATGTTCACATTGTCAGCCCGAGGGCCACTTGCACTTGAGGCCAAAAGACAAAGACTCAAAACATATTCCAGCAATCTAAATTGTTTAAATAAGATGAAAAATTAATCAAAGGCACTGCGTGATGGAGAATTAGACCAAAACAAACAGAAAAGCATCAGGTTTTCAGAAAAGTCCCGCTGCCACAAACTCTGTTACAAGACGGGCTTGACTTGTTCGATGTACAGTGAACTTGGACTCATATCGGCACTTAAACAGGTCATATCTTGGTCTCTGTAATTTAAGTAAGGGACAAAGTTTTTCACTTTCTATTATACTGTCAGAAGGGAACAAACCACCCATTGTTGGCTGACTTATGGAAGTACAATGTCTAATGTGTTTTGACATGGCTATAGGTCATGCATTTGACGCCACAGACCCTAATATCTGTCACACAGACAGAAAAGAGCAGAACTGAGAATTGCTCATTTTCGCCTGTAGATACATGAATATTACTGCTGCGGTAGTTTCAAGTGAGATGATCCAGGGTTACATTTAATTGCATTCCATTCAATAAAAAGGACTGAGATTTATGGATATTGGCAATTAAAAAGGCTGTTGTGGAAATGCTACATATGAAGGAGTCATTGCTTTGGTTAAACTTGGTCACCATTCGCAGAGTTCTAGAGTTCAGAAGGCTCTGCAGGGTCATTTTATGATAAACAGACTTGTATTAATACAGCGCAGTCCAGTCTTGCAGGACATGCAGGTATAGATACAGTCATGGATGTCATGATCCTTAAGCTATGTCACCCAAAGTGTGAAATACAGCTTTATCAAACGAGTCCTTGTCCATTTTTCTGGTTAGTTTAGACATAAATGTCCATCTCTTAATCTTCATCTCATTTGGACAACATATGAAAGTTTGCTAGCCCAAAACGACACGACATACCAACTTATCATGTTAAAATGAGAAAATGTCAGTTTTGTGCAATAATGAAGACGTTTCATGATGATGAAATAACAAGATAAAAAATGAATAAAAGAATATATATTATAACATGAAGAATGTAATAATATTTATAACATGAAAAGGAACTTATAAAACAGAAATTGAGTATAATTGTTTTTGTCATGGCAGCAACATCAACTTTCTCGTTTCCTATACTTAGACATGCTATGTGCCACAGATTAGACTAGATTAGCCTTGCATATAGCATATCTAAGAACAGGAAAAGAGAAAGTTGACCAAGGTTCTGACCAAGGCTTATTCAACTGTTATAGAATCTGTCAGGCAGCAACTGTCAAGTCTGCTGACAACCTTAGACTCATATCACCTTACATCACAACAGAGCAGGGACAAGCAAATCATAGGCGAAAATGAACACCAGGCCGGACAGAGCACAGGCACACAGGGTCTGAGGTAAAATTAGGGTATCTAAGATGCAAACACAGATGGTCTTACCTCTGATTGTGTGTTTGTTGGGACACAGGAACCATGGTAGCAGCAGCAAGTAGAGGAAGTAAACCAACGACAAGACGTTGTAGCGAAAAAGACAAGCTGCAAAGACAGAAACACTCAGTCAATCAACAGCATGCTTCACATTTACATATATGTTGAAGAGATTCTAGCATGTATGACATCTTGATCTGGGGAGAGACATAGAGCATTAATGATTATACCGTAACTGAAAACAAATCTATAAAAATGCTAAATGATACAGCATGGATTATATGACACCACATAACTGAGCTGTTTAGTCAAAGACGAGGCAAAGACAAAGGACGCTACACAATTACCTGCATAGCAACCATCTTAAAAAGCCACAGTAGAACATCAAATAGGAGGAAATATGCATTGGCATTTGTCCTTGCACATGTTTCCCAATTATGAGTGATTGCCCTATGTTTGCCTAATTCCAACCCTAACCCCGTTTGGCACAACTCCATGTTCACAGTCACCAACAAACCATTTTTCTTCCCCTATATGGAAAAAACATTGAATCGTCACACATCTAGAATATAAACCCACGTAACTGCAAGAGGTTTGTGTAAAACAAATGACTTGTTTAGGGAACTTTTAATGCAATTTTGTCTGTATTATGTATTATTGAAATCATTTCTAACAATCAAACATACGTGATAGGCTTCTTTTATGACAAATTCTGTGTTTTCTTGTCCCTAATGCTTGGCCATTGTTCTATTAGACAATTTACTTTACATTCGAGGAAGTGAACACAATGCTGACATATAGGCCTACTGTGTATAATAATACAAATATAAATATAATACAATAACAATAATAATATATAACTGTGTTTAAACTTTTTAACACACCTTAAAATCAAGAATGCTTTGCAACCCCCATGAAGCTTTTGCAATCCCTAGTGTGGAACCACTGATTTTCCAGACATTGCATCCAGCACTGCTGTCATCTTTCTTCATGAAATGAAGCTAAGCTTCTCTCCATGACTCCTTTAAGTTGCAAGTTTCCAGCAGTTAAGATGCATGAGTTTGATGTCACTGCAATGTGCAACTGTCAGGAAAATCTGTCGACATTAATAAAAGGTGCCATATGATTCTGATGGATCAAACAATTTGGAACTCTATTTGAAAGCCATATTGACCCGTACCAATACAATATATCAACCCTCACTGCTTGCAAAACAATAAGAGATTACTTTCTAATATCTAGAACACTACAAAGAAGCACATTACCATATTATCAACCAGTAAATGGACAACTGACTTTAACCTCAACTCTAATGATCTATCCTGTCGAAAAATAAGTATACACACATTCCACATGTCAGGCAATGCTCAAATCTAAGAGATACAATAAAAGATCCTTTATAGAAAACACCTGACTTAATTACACAACATGAGACTAAAGCCAGTGTCCAACATATAATCAAGTAGACAGTAACTTCCATGCATTCTGGCTTTGTACACACATTCAGTCATTCTGGTCACATCAAGGCTCTCTCTCATTGTTGACCTCAGCATTCCAATCATCTGTCTGCTTACTCACAGAACTGTCATCCATGTTGTCCAACCATCTTATGATGAGGACGGCCATTGAGAAACTTTCCACCCCCCACACGTACTAACCCTCCTCTGGACATGCTGTACTGACAGTTGGATGCCTCAGTACCTGGAGGATGAGGTGGTCTTGTGTTGGCTGAAGAACAAATAATAGATACAGAAGCTTCCACTGCTGTACCACCAGACTCGAATCGGCTTATTCCCTCAGGCAGTGAAGCTGTTGAATTCTTCCAAAACAATCAATTATGCAAATTAATATTACTTCTTATTTTTAATAGTTTTGATTTTATTTCAAAGTTAGGTATCATAAAGGGAACTATATCTGAATGTCATCCTTAATAAAATATCCATGCATCCTTCAAATCAATCAATTAATCAGTTAATAATTTTAGCTGGGCACTGCACACTGACTCTGTGGTGAGAAAGGGGAGCCAGAGACCGTTTCACCTCAGACCCAAGAAGAAATACCAGGTATCCCCTCAAATACTGAGGAATTTCTACTCCTGCACCATGGAGAGTGTCCTGACAGGGAACATCACTGCCTGGTACAGAGCCCTCTCCCACCCACATTACTATTAAGAATACTTTTTACCTCCAATACATTTCAGTACTGTAGGCTACCTGTATGATACATATATGTGACAATGAAACTGAAACTTGAACACTAGAATTTGAAATCCTGCAGGTCTGACCAGTGCTTGGTATCTCAGCATACTTTTAAAATAATGACCTCGGGGATTTCTCATTTCATGAAAAACCACTAGAGTGCAGAGTGTCACTGAAAGAGTGAATTCTTTTCATTGTGGAATTGTATCATCTCGCCTCAGAGAGGGCCTCAGAGAAAGCTCTACAGTGTCTTTCTCCTGTACATACAGTACAACAAGAGGGCTTTTATGAGGTGTTGCTGTCTTGAAGGAATTAAGACGATTGGCTGACATTAAGACCTGTAAATAAAGAAAACGTGTTGTCTTATTTCCCCCCATTAAACACACACGGTGATAATTATTAGCTCACCTAGGGTTAAGGCCTGGATTAATCTCGGCCTGTTGAGATCACAGTTTGCACATGGAGGTGAGAGGTTTACCACACAGACTGTATCGTCTGTCACTTGATTCATAGCTTCAAGTTCAAGTTTAGTTTATTTAAACTGCACAACACCCAGAGAGCCTCTGCACTTTACAGGTTAAATGTAACATCCCAATCACAAATATACATGAAAGAACGTTAATATTACAACAGCATATCTGGAATCTCTTCAACACAGTAAATACTGTTTGAAGGCCTCCACGTGTAGCTACATAAGTATGATGAAGGCCAACTTTGCCCCTGTGCACACTGAATTCACTGAAGTAACATGGATTTAATCAGCTCAAAGAGAAGTGTTTGTTCCAGCCAACACTTCAGTTTTGTGGGCTGTAATGAACATTGCAGCCTCTAGAGGCCGTAGCAGAGCTGCAGACTTTCACAGTTACATTTGTTTTACTTATTCTATTGAATCATCAGTTCAGATTTCAAAAGAAAGTGTGCATCAGTAACAAGCTCATTCTTATCTCTTTTATCTCACTCTGTCTTTCTCTCTCTCTCTGAATCGCTTTATGATAGAGTAATTATATGACTCGTGCAATAACTGGGACACAGACAAAGAATCACACACACAGACACTGTTATTTCCTCTAAATGCTAAAGCAGAAATCACATTGTCTTCCTGCCTCAGTTCAGTAATTAGACCACACCAGAGGGAGGCTACCTGGCTGCTCCTCGATACCTTTGTATCTCTTCATTTCACCATAACAACAAACTGACATTGAACTTTTATTCCATCTCCTGCAAAGCTACACAATATCCTGACAGTAAGTTGTAGTATAGAACAGAAACTTTTAGACACAATAGACACAAAGGGGGTATTGTTAAGTGTAGTCTTTTGATGGAGTCATGTATTAAGGGGCAATGGCTGTTCTGGTGTAATCTTTAGGACAACACTGACTAAACAAACCCAGCCCTGAAAATCCACAATTAAAACTCCATGCAGGATACCGCTGCTACTGCACCCTGACTCACACGTGGCCCCATATCACTGTGTTTCCTCTTTCCTTACAGTCACGAGATTCAACACAAATTTAACCATATTGCTACTGCTTTTACAAAGCCAGGTCGAATCAAAGCAGATCTTAACCTCAAAAGCCCAACTTCCTGATAAATCTATTCACAGCTGAGGGCTACGCCTTTCCAACTAAGGGATCTCTTCAGGAATATGGTTTCCTCTCATCCTCCACTACTTCAAATCTCTGCAAAACTTCCCCACTCAAATGAAACATCTGATTTATACTGGCAACTCCCTGGGATATTTTGGGTATATACATCTTAAGGCTGAGCGGATGTCAGTAAATCAATATGAGTTCCTGTAGGAAATGTTGAAAAATGTGTATCTGCACAGACTAGTTTACAAACTCTTGCTATCATGTACCTGCATGCACGTCTTTATTGTGGTTTTGTTTTTACTGTGTGTTGTTCTTCTCTTTTCTTTTTTTGATCTGCATTTTTATAAATCATCTTAATAACTCTGTAATTTAAATCTTATATTCTATTTTTAGGGCAACTTTGTAACATCTGTTCAGGGACTACAGATGAAAAATAGCCACTTGGCTTTTGCAGCAATGTTTTATCACTGTGCACTACAGTACTAATCAACTGCTCACATGTACCTACCAAATTAAAACTAACTAAAAGAAAATTGGAGCTGGTGTCTTCAGTCTTATATTCAGCATTTTATTTCAATTAAGCTTTAGATTTCTAAACATTACAGCAATTTGTTGCAAATAAAGCATCCCCAGTTTGTAACATAGGTTTTCTGTTATAAATGTCTCCAAGACCAAAGTAAGATTACTCAAGTTATGTCACTGGAGTGGGAATGGGCTTGTTTGTACAGCGTCAGTAGGACTCATGACAACTAAACCGATCTTTAAATCTAAAAATCAAAAATACAATCCTGTTACTTATGCATTGGGGTGGAGACAGAACTTCTAGGGACATATTTTTCTAAAAGCAAGAAAAATAAATTGCCACGGAAACAATTCAATGTTCCTAAGTACCGCCCCTTTTTGTTTTGTGCTCCAATAACAGTTGAGCAAGCCGTGGTCAACTTTCTCTAGTACTTATGCTATGTGCTAGGTTCGTCTACGTTGAAAAGACAATTTGAAGAGTGTTAAAAGACAAAAGTGACATATTCAATTCAATTCAATTCAATTCAATTTTATTTGTATAGCGCCAATTCATAACAGAAGTTATCTCAGGACACTTTTCAAATAGAGCAGGTCTAGACCGAACTCTTTAAAACATTAAAACATATAGTCACATCTTAAAGGACCAGTGTAACATTGCAACTCCATTGCTTCAACTTCCTCTTCCAAGCACTACTACAAAACACTAATGGTCCTATCCAGAGCCAGTGTTTGGTCTGTCCCTTCGGGGCTACTGTAGAGACATGGCAGTTCAACATGGTGGACTTAGGAAGGGTCC